TGCATTATAGCTGGTTAAACTTCAATGTTAACATGTTGTGGGTGTAGTTGATTCATCACAAAATAACTTGTTCAATATCGTCGTTTTATTAATAAAAAATACAAAGATTTAAATTTTGCCCAAGTTTATTAATTCTGACATTAAAAAAATTCACAATACAACCCGGAGAAAAAAGTAACATTGATAAAACAATTCATGCAATATTGAATTCTTTACTATATTTGTAAAAAAGTATTTTATTGCATGTAGACAAAATGCAACTCGTGTCGAACAAATCGCTTACTTCTTCATGGAGATAAGGAAGGAAGAATGAAAGGGGACATTCAACTCCTCCACTTTCAAGTTTGGTTCAATATTCCAATAACCGAAGCAAGTTTTCTTTTCTTTGGTCTGTTAGGTTCGAAGCTTTTTTACTTTACCCCGTTTGGCATGCCTCGTTTCATCCCTTTTCTACGTCCTTATACTCATAATCATACTGAAAATTAAGATGAATAAACGATGCTTCAGAACATATATAATGGGTCATTAATTATGTATAATGCATCATCATTAATTACATGTAAAACAAAGTTTAAAAAAACCATATTCAATCAGATTTTTAATTAGTTATAGCTATTCTTCGGTTGTCTATTGCTTTTGGCAAAGTTACAAATATTATATATAGTTTGCATACGATGGAAAAAATATATAATATCATTCCTTCTTTTTTTTTGTTTTCCCTTTTCGGTGCCAATTTGATGTTTAGTTAATTAAGAGTTGGACCACGTCAAGCTTTTACTTTTGTATTGATATTGATTATGGTTTAACTTTATTTCATTATCTTTTTATATTTGTCCTTGTCTTTTTCGTTTCTTTTGGGGAATTTTCAGGAAGAGAAAAATGGTTCTCAGGTGGTCGTATTTAAGGGTGAGGCCTTGGAAGTTTTGCCAATTTTACACGACATTTAACCTCATAAATATTTTGGTATTTTGGTTTTATTTTTGGAAAAAAGAATGATAAATTAAGGATGGGTTGTTCTTTCTTTTGGAATTTTGACCAGAAGAAAGGGGGAGTGAGGGATGTTAGTTCGACTTGGTTTGGTAGAAAAAGAATAAAAAGACATAAGGTGAGCATCAAAGCACAAAATTGTCTAGGTATAATGTGGACTGATTGCAAGTGGCACCAAGAAAAAAACCCTTGTTGTCTTAAGGTGGCTCCACAGTTGTGCACTCATGAATCTGAAAGTTTACCAGAAAAAAAAACGACCACGTACCAATCTTTTGTATTCGAACTCTGACCTACACATCATTGAACTTTTCCTTCTCTAGTAGCAGTGTGATATACCTGAAATTTAATCATAGGCATAATAACATTAGTGAGAAATATAAGGCATACCTTAGGTGCAGAGTGGAAAATTTGAGACAAGGTTTTGTTAAGCTTCTAAGCGGCATAAATGGCAAAACTTATGTAGAAGAAATTGACAACATGCATTACAACCCACGCTATAGGATTCCTGCTCTTCAATTAATGCTTCAGTGACACACATGAATGTCTGATTTAGACATTAGTTAGTATGAGTGGAGAAAGTGTTTGAATTCTTCATTTATGTTAGACCTCCACAAGAAGTGTGTATAGGAAAAACAATAAGTTTAGTTATACTTTTTTTTTCCATTATTCTAAATGTGATTTTAATTGCTTGATAGTAATTTCTTCTAATTTAGTTTCTGATCAATTTTAAATTAATATATATAAGTTCTTCATTTGTTTTTAAATTGTTACAATCAAGAGATTTTATTTTATTTTTACTTAAAATTCTCAAATTATCATTTTTTCTTTAAAAACTCTAAAACCTACACTTATTAAACCATGTAAAATCTATTTCCACTTAATTAAAATTCACCATCAAAACTTTATATTTATGTAATTTTAAAAAAAAATTATTACCATAACCTAATATCTTACAAAACCTTTTAAAATTGAACAAATTTTCAACTCAACAGTTTTCAAACCATTTTATGTCAAATATGTCCATAATTTCCAATTATTTAAGTAAAAAAAAAGGCAATTTGAGAATTTTATGCAAAAAAAAAAAAGTGACAAATTAAAGACTTAATAATGAAAAGAGTGAACTACTCTCTCTTCTTAAAAGAATTGCTTAAATTACATTGTTCTTCTTTTTTATGTTAACCTATACATTTCCTTTCCCTAAAAGATGAATACACTTTCTTCGTAATGATATTTTATATTTTTGTATAATTATCAGCACTATCAGCAAATAATTTTTTCTCTTATTTCTATTTTAGTATCTTGACGATATAATAAAGTCTTAAATGCCTATATTTTTCAGCTTTAACAATTTGTCTAGAATCTTTATTTTATCTTCTAAGTTCACAAAATTAATAGTAAATATTTAGCATTAGTCATCAACCATGCATATTAAAACAAATTCATATGTAATACACAGACAACTTTTAACAAAAGAGAAGTGGGTATTTTAGAATATAAAACGAAGAATATATTATAAACATCTCTTAAAAAGGAGAATGCAATATATCCTTATAATAGTTAACGTGAAATTGAAACTAGGGTGATTTATTAAACCACATGCAAATTGAAATTAAAGGCAGTTTGATTGAATATGACTTTGGTTTAGTCAACTGCTTGAGGAGATATAGATAAAACTAAAACATACGTTAGACATACTCTTATTTCTTTTTGCTTATACTACAAATTTTTTTCCCGCTGTTTTGACTTTAGGAACATCTTTACGAAATATAGTGTCAACTTTCATGAAAACTGTTATTATTACGAATTATACAGTTTCATCTTTACGGATTATTTCTCCAACCTAATTAAATTGACCCAAAACCATTACTGTACAGGCTGGAATTCTTTTCGACGAGGAGAGGATATAAATACTTGGAATTGTTCACCAAAGATGCTTGGAATACTTTTCAAGAATAAAAAAATTAGAGTTTTGTTAGTTTCAATCTTTGGGTTGATTTTAAATATGGAAAATTAGAAAGCTTTTATTAAAAAAAGTATATTTATTTTATTAAAGATATAAAAGCATAATATATGTATATATTTTTAAAATTTGTAAACAATACTCTAATAATAATACCAAATCTGCCAAGAGACAGAGGAGGGGCGCTGAAGAAGAGGGGACCCGCAATGCATCTCTCGGGAGACGGTGTTTACGCGTTGCATCCAAAACTACTCTCACTTCCAGCTGCCATCTGATGAAATCAAATAATTAATGGCTATTTTATTTGAGGGAAACGTCCCCTCTATCTAATGTTCCACAAAATGACACAAATTTCTAATCACTGTTCCTTATACTCCATTTTTTAATCACCACGCTTTGATTAATTCACTGAACGGGGACTGCGTCTCCAATCACAACCTCACTTTCAGACCTCGTCACAATCAATGTTGCGTTCATTTACACTCAAACACTATAATTAATGACGATAATTGTTTGCGTATACATACTATTTCACCATTTGATAATTTGATTGAACAGTATGTTATTGAATGAAGCAGCATTGGAGACATAAAAAGTCAAAGATATGAATCAAGAAATCAAAGTCAAATTTACGAATTTCCGGAATTTGGCATAAGCCGTTGAACGAGTCCAATTAGTTTTGCTCTGAATAGTGAAATCCAACTAAAATAGTAGTACAACCTCACTTTTCTGGATGGGTTTGGTGGTTTTGTTGTGTTGTGTTGAGTGGTCCAAGCCCTCTCGCCTCCAAACCGTCAACCAAACTAGCTGGTAAAATATGCAGCGCAAAAACGACCCATGACGTTAAATGTTTCCGAACTATAACAATGCCAATGTTTTTTTTTTTTAAATATTAGAATGCCAATATTATATTCCTGTTCCGTTCTTTCACATGCTCACTTTGATTTATACTTTTCCGAAAAGTAATTGTTAGACATCCATAAGGTGTATATATCCAGGCTATTTTTTGTACAATTAGTTGATAAGCTAATTTAAAGCTTATAAGCTGTTAGTAAAAATTTTAAAATGTATAAATTAGTTTAAAAATATTTGATGAAATTAATTATGATAAATAAGAACTGCAATGTGATGTAGAAAGTATTTATTTATATATCTTTTTATAAAACCCTTTTTTTATTTTGTCAACAAAAACGTTTTATTAATTATTGGAATTTATTTTAAATAATTATCATTTTATATATTTATTTTTTTAAAATACTTTTTAGGATAAAGATATTATTAAGAATAAAATAAATAGTGTAACAAACAAAATAATTGTATTATAAAAAAATAACACAAAAAATAGTAAAAAAGAGAATAATAATTAAAATCATTTACACTTTTTTCCGGTAACAATTTGCATGCTCATTAAATTTAAATTTAAAGTTACCAAAAAAATTCCCCACATAATGCTCAAAATAGACATCAGATTCATCCAATTCCCGAAATAATGCTCTCTTCATTGTCGGATCACAACATTTATCGGTTAGAAAACGTTTCTTTAGCTTGTTCTTTATATATCATCGGGTGTTATAAAATGGCCAATGACTTGGATCATTGAGCCCTTTACCATGCAATCGCCACTGGCATCCATTTTTCCGTTGATTAGTGTAGAAGTTCTGGGGTTCATAATGGACTCAAGGACAAACAAACAGAGAACATATGCTTTAAGGGAAGCTAACAGTAAGATTAATTATGGATAAGAAATATGTATATGATACAGGGATGCCGCATTAATGTGTATTTCTATACATAAGGAAATGGGCGCAGAAAACAAGAATCAGTGTTTCTGCCTGGAAGATTTAATAATATATAATACATACATGAAACTCAGTAATATATGACTATTCAATCATTTTAAATGATAGGTTACTGGTTCAATTGGGAAAATCTTCAAGATGAAGGAGACAGCATGTTTTGAGAATCGCCAAAGCACTTACCAAGATGGAGGAGAACCATCAGAGTTCTCGGAATCACTGTTCTTCATAGTATGGTGGAGTTGACTCAATGTACTGCTCATTTTCGTCTTCGTCGTCTTCTTCATCCTCTTCAGCATCTACCCAATTACTGGGGTGATGTTGTGAAAATGCTTGATCGTTTTCTCGCGTCATATCTGCAGATATGTACTAATTATATTAGTTGCTGAAGGAACAACAACATTCGGTCAGCCCATTAACAAGCCTGATTAACAAACCTTGAGGCTCTCGTCCATGATCCTTTTCAGTTGGTTGGCAGCTGAGATATCAGTTAAGGTAGAGACTAACAACTATTACTTATGAATCCAGCCACCTCAACAAAGTAGTGAGAAGGATGCACTTAGAAATTGCTTTAAATGAAAGGGAATAAAGCATGCAAACAAGTCTAAAATTCAAATCAAAGGTTTCACTCCTAGGGTCTGGTTTGAGCATCCTATATTTCATAACTGCTTTCTGATAATTCAACCGGGAAACCGATGTAAAGAAAGCAATTATAACATTTGTGGCCACACCATTTTGGGGACAGTAAATCATGATAGAAATGTTAACAAAATGGGGCAAACAGTAACATTGAGGATACATATTGGAACCAATGGGATTATTTCCAGCAACTGATGTTACTCTTGAAATTTGTATTGCGCTAATCCTTTGAATCTCTCTTTGCTGATTATCATTCAAAATTGTTTCTCCTTGTGCCTGCCGTTCCTCTAAGACACTAACATTTTTAACTGCACTTGCTGCAAAATGGAAAATCAAGTGAGAATTTAGACAAAAAAAAAATATATCCAACTCAATATTCAAAATACCTGAGAGGTCCGACCAAATACGGGTGTGGTCAGATGGAAGATCTGATGCATTCATTCTGCAGTTCTCTTGCTGCATGTCAGATCCATTTCTTTCTTCAGTATGAGCATGTGTTCTGGTGGCCTCAACAGGAGGTTCTGAGGCAGTGCCTTCGTGAAGTTGAGATATTAACATGGTTGCCAGTACAAGGGTAGCATCAAAATTTGAGTGAGACCCATCTTCCAAACCAAATTTAGGTGCCATAAGAATAGGTCTGCTTGCCAAACACAGTACCATACAAGAATACCGGTAAATAACACATAACAATCAATTAATTAATTATCAAATACCAAAATATACTATATAAAACGAAAAAAAGAGAGGTCTTTATATTTCAATACGTGTGTGTGTAGCATGTTTCTCCACTTAAAAATATAAGACAAATCCATCTTCGCATCTTTTCACATTTCCTATGCTGTCATATTCATAGGAAAAGCTATGCCAACAATCATACAACTTACTACTTAGAATATGAGTATAAATTGTGTCAGATATCAAATATATCTTACTCGCCAGCTTTCTCAAAATGTAAATGAATATCAGCTTCACAGCCCTCACAAAATGAAATAAATGCCTGCAGTTTGATGAGAAAAACATCAAATGCATTTTAAAAAGTCAATTAGCCTTAGAATTGGAGAAAGAAAGAATAAAAAAAATAATAAAAACTAAAAATCCAGATATCAACAACAGTTAATAAACCTACTTATCTCAACCCAAAAGTAAAAAACAAAAGACTTGGATAAAACTTGGCTTACTTTACCTTGAGTTCTTTTACACTGAAAGTTACATCTATTGGCTCTCCAGTATGATGATACTGCAAAAATTCCTCCTTAGGATCTATCCACAGTTGGGTGTGCAGCAAGGTATCATTGTCTGCCATTGAATCTTTGCACGTAAATATACTGTTTACAATAAAGCTACCTACAAAAGTATCACCTTTATTCTTTACCTTTGGTTGGATCAATATAACTTCGAAATTCTACAGCCTTTCCACCAATTTCATTTGTAGAATCAGAAGCTAGAGAAGCAGGTTCTGTTGCAATGATAGTAATCTCTTGAAGTGATGACTGAAAATTAGCAAGTAACCTGTTAAGATCTCGAGGTCTCACAACAAAGTTGCTTGGAAATTTTTGCCTATCAAGGGACAAGTGCTGTATGTCAGGTTCTACATTGCAAGTAATCCAATAGGTTTTTCTCAAACCTGCAGTTAAAAAATAACACATCCTTTTTAATCCACAACAGCATCAAAGGCACTGCACACACGCATATATTATTGAATGGTAAGAAAATAACAGCATAATGATGAGATGCCTAACATCATATACATAGTACACCAAATTATTAATAGATATTTAAGTCCAAAGAAAGATTGAAGTTATCACAACACCCTTTAGTTTATTTAAGAAAACTTTGCTACTATATGATTAGAACTTTCATGTGTGATAGAATTGAAGATCTCTAGGAGATACATTTAGTCAGGGGCTGTTACAAACCCCTAAGCCACTCACCCAAATATAGAATGCAATTGACACACAAAAAGCCTAGCTAACATTAAATGTTACACTTAGCCCCACTTAAAAATAAGGCCACGTCATCAGTATCTAAAAGCACCCTTGATATCATAACAGTTACCAAGTGGAAAAATATAACTAGTTTTTGTTCAGAAACCAATTTCACCATCAAGCTTGTTACAAAGACAAGTAAACGATTAGTCTCCCACAGTAACCCAAATTAAATCCAATAACAGCCGCTGGTTCCCTTTAGGGCAACCACCAGATTGTGTATACATTAAATAAGTAGTGTACCACTATAGCAATCCAAAATCCACTGCACTTTGGAAGCATCTGGATCAGGCAGTTTCACGGTCAAATGATCGATATTTGCAATAGGGGTCCTAAGAACAGCACAAACAGCCTAACCAAAGCATGTGAGTGAGAATTCTTCATTTGCAAACCCAATTCAAATTCAATAAATTTGAGAAAGGCTTTTAAATCAATTTTAAGTCCCTATATTTCAGCAAATTTTTTGTTTTTGTCCCTTTCAACAATTTGTTTTTGCAAAATTCTGTTTTTAATCCTCATTGCTGACGTTGTTCACTAAGAAGCTGCTACATGTTAATTTTTGGTCGCACCATGTTAGCAAGAGAGACTAAAAACAAAAATTCACAAAAACTTGAACTAAAGAAAACTGTTCAAAGGAACTAAAACCAAATATTCACTAAAATGTATGAACCAAAATCATGTTTAAGCCTTTAAGAAACGACCATTCCGCACCTTGAGAAGCACACTGCATTGCACGAGGTTACTGGAAACCGCATAGGCATCAAAGAAGCCAGGATTGAAACTTAAGGATTGATAGGCAGAGCGTGAGGAATTAATAGTGTGGAAAAGAAGCTGTCACAAATCAATGAACCAGAATAAGCAGCGTGTTACTAATTCACTAGTTCATTTTAAAGTACCAATTATGCCTGAAAAACCCTAACTAAAATGTAACGAGAAGTAAAAAGCTTCACCGGAAAGTAAACGATGAGAAATGAAAATATAATTTGCAACGAGCAAAGAGGCACGTTAATCGAAGCGTAATTTGTGAAGCTGGTTATTGTAAAATGAAATTTGGTTTGGAATTAGAAATTGCGAAACATAGTTGAAGAGAAAGAGTTGCAGAGGCATTTCATTGTTACCTGAGAGGACGAGGCTTGAATTGCGAGCTCGTTTCCGACACGTGCGAGACAAGTGATGCATCGTGCAAAGGTTTTGAGAGCGTTATCGCTCAACGTCCATTCCATTGTTAGACACCACACCACACAGTGCGCAACGCTCCTATTTAGGATTCGCGCCTTGGCGGGAAGGCCACAATCCGTTTCCCTGGTGCTTAGCTGCTTGTAATTTTTATTTTTAATTATTTAAGTGAGAAAGTAGAATTTTATTTAATATTAACTTTAAATATTTTGTAAATATAATTATTATAAATATATTTATTTTAGAAGAAACAAATCTATTATTTTAATCATCTAATGAGAGTGTTTAACTTGCTTGAACACAATTGTTTAACTCCGGTCTTGTGATTGCATATCGGAAACAATTAATTACTTATAAAAACAATAATTATTAAACTTGAAAAGAATAATTTATAAAATAAATATTATACTTACATCCATATATACACACGCACATTATCGTAAAAATATAAAAATATTTCATACTTTCTTCCGATAGCAACTAAGAATATTTGTTGAAAAGAAAAGAAAAAAAAATAGAATTATTCTATTCATTTTTATATAACAACTCGAAGTCCTCGTCTTTAAGAATAAGACTAACATTACTAGAATTTTAGGATTTTTTTGAAAATTTTTTATAAAAATTTATGAAAATTTTGCAGAAAAACATATTTCATGTCAATTTTACTGCAAATTTATTGTCACAGAAAAAATTTTTGTAAGTAATTATTTCTATAAAAAATAAAGTCTGTCGGTAATTTTTTACAAATTTTAATAGGAATACATTTGCAGATGCTTTCTTGTAAAAATAATTTCCAATAGAATCTCTTAAAAAATATATAAATAAATTTACAGATAAATTCTAAGAAAAATTTGTAAAAAAAATTGCATGTAATTTTTTCATAAAAAAATTGTAAAAAAATTCAAAAAATAAATTTGCAAATATCTTTTACTTTTTTAAAGAAATTTGCAAGAAAGTCTATAAGTCAATTTCTTGCAAATTTATCAACAAAAAATTTCTTAAGAAAATAAGACAAATTTGTAAAAAAATTTACAACAACTAAACAGGTACTTTTACGCTTAAATGCACGTAAAGCTTACCTGTAGCATCACAAACAATTAGATTGACAAATAATACAGAAACAAACATTAGCATCCGATGAGTTTAACTGATTCATTAATAGTAATACTAATATAAACTTTAAATCATCTTAGTCATTACCCAGGAGCAGAGGACGCTTTCCATTATCGCCGTCCATGAGGAAGAGATGTTTCCCAGATCTCCCAGCAACTAAATGTGCATTTTGTGATGCTGAAAGAAAGACCATAAAGAAATGGAAGCTACAAGAATATTTATAACAATTCATACTGTCATTAATCTAAGGCAAGTGGGGTACAATAAAATATAAAATCCTTTTTATCTCATACTACCAATCATATATATCCTTTTTGTACATTTCAGAAAATGTAGCTACCAGATCCACTACTTTATGGAAAAGGCAATAAACAGAAATAACCAATCTATCTTTATATAAGATTTTATAACTAATACGAAAATAAATAAATAGGCAACTAATTGAGTCTGTTTTGCATCAAACTGATACATACAATTAGTTAGTCAGTTACGTAAATAAAATTAATAAATAGTTAGAGAATTGGTGCCTTTGGGAATTGGGAGGAGCATAACCTTGATATTCTGCAGTTTTGTCTTATAATTGGGGTTTATCCCTATTTCGCTTTTACAAAATAACTAGAAACATGTAAATTGTCATAGAATAATAAGCACTGTACTGTAACAAATTAACAGTACAATGAAAAACAAAATCAAGCACAAAATTGTTGTGTATAATTAATTTACTGTAACAAATTAATAGTATAATGAAAAGTTCAAAAAATTGAAGGACAAATATAAAACAACTAAATGTTTCAATACCTCAACCCAAGTTGTGAGAACACAGTTTTTTACATCTCTATTTTACATCAAAGACCTCAAACTGCAATTAATACTTATGCAATGAGATACACATTTGGATGAAATTATCGAGTAGGGTTTTGCACATTATAAAATAGATTTTGAAAATTTCTAAAATGTAAAAGCATTGCAAGAAAAAACAAAATAACAAGAAAGAAACCTAGTATTCAATCTTGACGTGAAGCTGGAAGATATGTGAGTAAATAGCCTGGACAGATTTGGGACAAATGGCCTTGAGCTAGAGCTGCTTGAGTGGGAGGGAGGTTTAAGAAAAAAACACAGAATGTGTGAGCAGGAGGGAGGTGTGGGAACTTTTATTCCAATGTGAGTTTTTATTTTTTAAGTAGAATTTTTTATTTTTATAATTTAATATAACATATAATATATTACTTTTTATTTTAATATTTAATAAAATATATATTAATACTCTCTTATAATTTCAATAATAATAAATATTAATTTTAACAAAATTATGTGAAAGTTAAAATATTTTTTTTATATAAATAATAAAATAATAAGTAAATCATGTAAAAAAATAAAATTTCTATTTAACTTAAAATCAATTAATATCTTTTGTTAATAGAAAATATTTTTTATTTAAATTAATATAAATTTTTTAAAATTATTTATAAGTATCTTCAAATTGTTTTATATTTTAAAAAAGTTATTTTTTTGTAATGAGAAAATTAGTTAATTAATTTTTTGTGAATAAATGATATTTTTATTTTAAATTTGAAAAATATATTTTTTTATAGATTTTGTTGCAAATATTTTTACACTAATTTTGGCAATAAAATTTATAAAATTATTAAGTTTTTCTACAAATTTACATACAATTTTTTCTATAAAAAATTTTACACAAAAATTTGCAGGAAATATTAAGTTTTTTCTGCCATTTTTATTACTAAGAAACAATGTAGGAAGTTTTAACAATTGCTGCAAATTTTTTTTCAATTTTTTTATAAAAATATTGGCAAAAAAAATTATAGGAAATTATGAACTTCTCTTACCTTTTTAATTCCTAAAAATTTTTATAAGAAACTTAATAAATTGTTGCAAATTTTTATACTAAATTTTTTCATAGAAAATAAACAAAATTTCTTCAAATTTGTTAGAAATTTTGTAGAAATTTTTTCAAGAAAAAAATTGCAAGAAAAAATTGCAAGTAATAAGTAAAATTCTAGTAGTGTAATTTTGTATTTACCTTCTTTTTTGGGCACATATCTTTGATATTTGGCATTAAGTTAAATCATTTTTTTCAGTGTAATTAATTATTTAAGATTACAATATTTTACATTTTCTTTTTTTTTTCAATCAATGTAGAATTTTCATTCCCTTAATAATAAGCCATAACAAAGTATTTATAAATTACCATCAGAGGAATATTCTATCAATCAAAATAGTTTTCTCTTATATATTTTAAATTTGTACATTTCATTTGTAGTTATAAACATCAACACAATACATGAAATACTTGCTGTTCTTTGTATTGGATCATCAAGAAATATACAACTAGTGCTTATACATTATATCCGCCAAAAAGATTGCTGGTAACTGAGAAGATTGCATGCTAACATTTGCATTTTGCAATTTACAATTGAAGCAAACGATTATTATGTGTCGGCAGGAACCAGTGTGTGAATGCAGCTGCGAAGCTTAAAGATAAGGTGCGTTGGAATTGTGTAGAACACAGAAGGAACCAGGTTCCTCAGAATGATCGGGAGAATATGAAAACAGGAATGGATAGAAAGTGGAGTGTGATTAGCTTAATTTTACCATTAATATCGTGTTTGGTTGATGTTAATCAACTCAATATTTTCTGCAACATAAAAATGGCCTCGAATGTTATATAATGTGTCTGACATCATTGAAATGAAATTACACTGATTGATTCTAATAATCTAAACATTAAGGACACTATGGTCGTCGATTGCCATTTGCCGTTTGCAGCAATCAAGATCTATTCCGAAATTATGATGTTATTTTAATAATATTTCAATAAAAAGTAATAAAATTTTCAGAAGTATATAATCATGCAGAAGTGTTTTTATTAATACTGTTTTAAAATATTATGTCAAATTACCTTTTAAATAAATATTTTTAAACACAAATCAATTTAGTTTTAACCAAAATCATTTTATAATATAAAGTCTATGGTCTTTTAATCCATAACAATGCTAAATGGATACTACTACTAAAGTTTGAGAGCTTTGATGTTACGATTTAATTCCACCTCTGACGTGCAATTAAATCCTTATCGGAAAAAAATTCGTAAAAGGCAAGCAATTTCTCAGTGAATTTTGAAAATTTCCCAATGAATTATGATTACATTATGTTAGAATAAGAATAAGTTCGGGTAATGGGAATGTCCAAAAAGCATCAACTTGACATGGGAATCAATCAAAGCCATAAAGAGCTTTTCAGGGATTTAAAGAAGGCATTATTAGTGGTTTGTATAATTTTAATCCAATTTGGATTTTCTTTTAGCTGAATCTTATTCTGATTTTAGAAATTCTTCGAAAAGTCCATAGTTTTCGTCCCTAAGAAGCCAACGATGGATGTGGCTAATGATCTGCGGGTATTTGATGAATATAACAGTATAACCCTTGATTGAATATACATTTATTCACCTCGTAAGCATCTAACCACAATGCCACTAAAGTAAAGTGAAATAGGAACGTTGACTCGTTTGAGATTCTAAAATCCGTCTAATAATTCAAATTTTTTATTACATCTCCGTGCACTACAAAAATGACTCCATGCTCAAACGTGTTGTACGCATAAACTTTTCACAATTTGAGATTTCGGGAGAGAAAAATGAGATTCCCGACTCAGAATTGAAAGCATAACGAAAATAACACTAAAGTAATGGAGTAACAATTAATACTGAGTAATAAAAAAAAAGAGAAAGTTAGTTAAGGTGGTTGAAATTCCACTGATATCCCTCACATCACATGACTAAGCAAGCATTAGGATTTTCATCACTGAATAATTCGAATGAACAAGACGTTGGTGAAGCGTAAGTTTCTGAGTCGGACTCGGACCCACCACTACGATACACGTGAGTATACGAATACGGTTGTGGGAAGGTATAATACGCTGAAGCGTAGCGGCTGGTAGTAGGATACGCTGTGTGGAAGGTTCCAGCACACACCGGAGATGCTGGTGCATGGTAATGCGGGGGGTACAGATGCTGTGGGGGGCTCTCATTGGGTGGGCCCATAATTGTAACTGGACCTGGACCTGGCCCATGCCCATGACTGGGAATCTGGTTCCAACCACCGCAGTGTTCAACAGTAACACCCTCGTCGCCGTTGATGATGATATTCCCTTTTTGCCCCTTGATTTTGCTCTTTCTGCTTCCAATGCCACCGTCGATTCTCTCGTTCGGTGCTCCGTTATCGTCAATGCCTGGGGCAGCGATGGTAACCCTTTTTTCGGCCAGCGATGACTGGTAACCGGGTGGTAACATCACGGTTTGCCGCAGCTCCGGCCTCGGCTCTTGGAATTGTACCCCGGTTAAGCCCGTTACGCTTCCTTCACCAAACTTGATATTGCCACCTTCGACATTTCTGGCTGCGTCTTGAACTGCAACCTTAACGCCTTCTTTGTCGTTATCGTCGCCGCTTTGGTTGCTTTCTTCACTGCTTTCTTGTTCGCTCTGTTTCTCTTTGTTCTCTGGTTGTTGTCCTTTTTTCTTCTTTTTCTTTTTCTTTTTCTTTTTCTTCTTTTTCAGTTCAATTTGTTCAGGCCACAACTCTGCGCGCTTCCCTGTCTCTTGCAATTTCTTAATCAACGTTTCGCTGTCTACGTTCCCTTTTACTACGACCTTTTGTTGCCTCAAATCAATTGATGTGCAATAAACACCTGACTTATCGAGAAATTAACAAGGATAATGTTAAGACAAGCTTTTAATGAACTGAAAATATAACTACTAGCTTAGAAATATATGGAACAGTTCATGGAGGAAACAAATAAACATAATGAATGAATAATAATGGATAAACTTCAATGAAATTACACATGGAAAAGGAAAAGAGAAAAAATAAAAATGAAACGAAATAAAAGATGTTAGGTATTGGATATGGTTACCCTCTATGCTTTGTAGAAGTCTTTTTACTTTCCTTGTGCAGCCTTGACAATGAATGGAGACTTTTAACACACAGCTCTGATTGAAAAAGAGGATTAGAATCTGAAGGAGTAAAGGATTGGTAAAGCAGAAAAATGAGAGAAGGGGGAGAGCAATGCTATACCTTGCATGGGAGAGTTTCTGAAAGCTCTTCTGCTTCTTTTACTTCAATTTTTGTTTCTGTTGCAGCCATTTGGAAAGACAGAAACTGGATATGGTAGAGTGGTGTAACAGAGAGAGAAGAGAGCTTTGAAACTGGTGAGAATGTTTTAAACGCAAACAATGATGCTTTAAGAGTTTAAAGCATATAAAAGAGTTAGGGGAAATCGGGAAAAAAAAAGAGAGAGGCTTTCGTGAAAAGAAAGGACCTTGTGAAAGGGTGGGGAAATATCGCTGGCACAAAGGAGCTACGGTAAAATTCCTAGATCTTATGGGAGAAAAAGAGAAATTTATTATTCGTACCACTACCAATTATATATCTCTCACTTTATACACATAATAATAATAATAATAATAATAATATACAGGAAGGAACAATATATTCAATTTTTTTTAAAAGTTACACCATAAATAAGAATTTGGGGTAGCTACATATTGTCTAATTTAAGGATATTTATTTTTTTTAATAAATGTATATGATGCTAATTTTTTTAAAGTTTAATTAAATAATGGAATTATTGATTTTAATTTAATATGAATTTGATTTGTATGCTGATACTTGTCAGGAACATCAATATAGCATTTGATGCAAATTCCCCTTTTTCTTCTTTTGTCAGCCACGTACCATTTGAAGGTGGATTTTTATTTCTTTAATAATTATTTGTATATTTGATAGAAATATACTCATAACTCATGGTTTGACATGTTTTGCTTGATGTCTTGAAATTTATTTAAAATTAAAAAAAATTGAGTGTTTTATCAGTAATTTAATAGTTTTTATTTATATTTTTGTAATAATAACAAGTATTTAAAAATATGTTAAAGACTATGTTAAATTTTTTTTTCAAATAAATGCTACAAATAAAAAGTAATAATATAAATATTTATGACACTCTAACTATTTTATACTATTTGAATTAGAAGCAAAAACATAAAAAACCACTTTTACTATATTTAATCAAATCATAATAATATTTTTTTGACCTACTTCTACACTTTGATATTGTCCACAAAAGTTGCCAATACAAACGCCACTGATGAATATTTTGTTAAAATAAATAAATAAAAACTTACGTGCGCAAATAAGAGAAGAGAAGAGAAGAAATCGAAGAGTGAAGTTGGGTGGGAATGAAATAATCATTTGAGGATTTCTGTGATGGTATGATAGTTAACAACATTATCACTTCACTTTACATTAAAGTGAATGAAATTTTTTTATACATGTATACAACTCCATGAATCTAATACAACTGTGCTGCTTATCTACCTGGCTCTAGTGCAAAAAATAATGAACTATCATAAAAGAATTTAAAAGTTTTCTTTATGAAAATCAAACTTGGTATTGGTTTTCCTAGAAAAGTCGAGAGAAAGCCTTTTAAGTTCTCCAACCAATCCGTGTGCCCCACAATAAAAAACACCTGAAAATAATTGAATACATTAAAAATAAGTTAAGCAAAGATATGATGATATGAATTTCAACAATTAAACTAAGAGCAACATGTAAGTACTCACCAACTCTTTTGCCAGGGTGTTTGAGGGCAGCATGTTTAAAGACACTACGCCAATTAGGTCTAGCAAAATGTGTCTTGACTCTTGTGCCTGAAACTATATCCACACCATTTTTGGCATGGTGGAGGGACTGAAGCATTGTAATCAACGCTGATCGAGCATCTCCTTCCTCATACACACTTGTGCAATAGTTATGAAGTTCGATTATTCCATCCTTGTCATACTCAGCAACATCATCCATCACACCCTTAAACCATTCAAAGGAACCTTGCTCGCGAGTAACCCAATAGAAATAGGCTCTATTGGTAGCGAAAGGTTTTCTCTTGTTGTTCTTAACTCCACTCTCTACCATTCCTTGTTCTATGTCTTTCTGTTGTCTCATGTTGTTTAGTACATCTTTGAGTATACTAATCAAAGGGGTGGCACCAATTCCTAGGCCCACGAGAAGGATTACTTCGTAGTTTTTGTAATCTTGCGCTGGAGCTCCATAAGGGCCATCAATCAAGAGCTTAGGCATCCTATATTTAATTTCAATTGCAATATAATTAGTAAAAAATAAAAAAATCAATTTTGGCATTTAAATAAGAAAATAATGGGCCTTTGTTCTCGATCACATAGCCTCTATTTGTTATATATTTAAAACAAGATAAAAAATAGCTTACCTTGGTATGTTGTTGCCTTGTAACATATCAGCTCGGAGAAGGCCACTTTGGTCACCACTTGCTGGTTGACATGCCTGCACCAATCATATGGATGGTATAGTAATTAGTAAGCATTTATGCCATGAAAAAATTAAAGGAAATGCACAGCACTACATATTAGCATATTCTCCCAAAAATAAATGTTGTTGTCTAGTGCAAAATTTACCTTGGCAAAAACAGCCTTTAATTGTGAAGTCCAATCACCCAAAGTCCGAATGTGAACACTTACGTAGTCATCTCCCGGGGCTGATGTAATAGAGAAAGGATGCCTGTAGATACCACGCAACAAAATTGTTAACTTTATTGAATGTCACTCTCATCATTTTAATTGTAATGTGTAATAATTAATTAACCATGACAAGGACATGAATATTCACTTACCATTGAAATGGGGATACATCTGAGCAGTTAACAAAAATATATTGTCCACTAGAGTACTTAAATCCTTGTGGTTTAGACATATGCAATGCTAGGACATTTCCTGGGTACACTGCAACCTGAATTTTAACAAAGAGGGTTAAAAATTTTAGTTAACAGGAAAAAATGAAAAAAAAAATGAAATTGTAAGAGATAAGGTAAACTTTTCAAAATTAAAATACCTTCAAAATCTTGACACTTTTGTAGCCAGACCTAAAAGCACGAAGTAGTCGCTCACATGCGTATAGTATCATAGGAATGGCAAGATACATCCAAGTCTGTGCCAAAAAATTGTGACCCAATTCAGAAAATAAGAATAAAATTTTATTTAAAGCAAATGAAAAGGTAAAAATGGATCGTGCATGCATACCGTTTTCTTGTACCATTTCTTGGAGAGGAATAGGTAGTATCCATGAACGATGAAAAGGGCATAAACGATGACAAAAAGATGGTGAGAGTACCAAAATGCATTGAAACCAGTGAGCTTTTTGAGAGGCTTAGGGAGCTTAAGTCTGTTTCTTCGGAACCAAGGTTGAGCTAAAATGTAAGCTATAGCCATAAGCACCACAATGGTTACTCCAGTCCAACCCTCAGTCCCTTTCACAAACCACCAATAATTGTTGGGCCTCTTATCACCAAAAAATGGCTTCATGGGCTCATATTCCTCGTCGGTTGCGTGTAACAACCTTGGAAAGTCGCAGGTTAAATGCGCAATAGCATGTATCCCAACTCCAATTGCAATGCCAAAAGCAATCACCTAAACAAACAGGTAAAATTAAAGTTTTTATTAGCTAATTAAAATTATATATATGTATATATATTTATTGAAATAAAATAAAATAAACATTCGAATAAACAACTAATTAATCTATGCACATACATACATACCTTGTGAAAGTTGATATTGTCATCAAAAGGAACAGCCATTCCTAACTTGGTCTTACTTCTGAGCCAAGTGATGGTATTTCTACATACAGGTAACAAAATCAAAGCCATGTTGAACTTGAGCGTCTCAGCAGCACCCTTGGCTGATGTGACACAATAGCCCATGACGTGGAACACAGCACGGTGCTTGTATTGGATGAACTTCCAAGTGAAGAGGGCAGCACAAATTGAAAGCCAAAGGGCAATAACCCAAATTCGTTTCCAATTGTCCTCAATGAAGTAGTTTAGTGCCCGAAAGCCCCGCTTTATAGGGTTGTACTCTTTGGTTGGGACTAGTTTCTGGCTTAGCATTTGGCTAAGGACTCGACTATCCGTGGTTATATGGGTTGATTGTGCTGGGGCTTGTAGAAGAAGCATTTCCAAGTTATACAACTGCATGAGAAAATAAAAAATTATTTTTACCACAAAAGAAATAAAGGTAGTGCGTTAAAATATCTATTTTTAAATTTGTTATTTTTTTTTAAAGAAGGTTATATAAAATTATTATGAACAAGGTGACATGAAAATAACATTGTCCAAGCCAAAATTCATAATGATTAAGCTTTGGAGCAAAACATTATAGAGAGTTAGATAGATAGAATATAAACCTCAATGAATCCAAGGTTATCCGGATCCAACTCCTCCATGATAAGGGCCGCGTATTCCTCTGCACGTTCTTGTATTTTTGATAGCTTATTAGCGGAAGCGCTTAAGGCGATAATCTGTAAAATGAATCATACAAGAATGTTCACATCTGCTCTAGTATGAAATAAAATTAACTTCAATGAAATATCAGTCTAATAATTCGTGTTTGGTTCAATTTATTTAAAATAATACTAATTGTTTATCTTTTTAAACTTTTAATATAACTTTTTTTTTCCAAACATACACTAATATCAAAAGACATGTTACCTAGTCATTTAATAAATTTAATATAATTATTATATTAAAGAAACCTCACCTCTTTAACTTCTTCTTGGGTAATTCTTCCGTCGGCATCCTTGTCCACCCTGCGATGAATTAAAATTATTTAGGAAAAAGTGATGAGGAGTGAGTGAGTGAGTGAGTGCAGATCTATTCGAGCTAGATTCAATAATATTGGCATTCGGCTCATAATTATTTTTCTATTTTGACTTGGATCGATATACCTACGTATAATATTTTTCTCAAATAGCTGCTGATTTCACATAGATTTTTCAATAGCCAACCCACCCCAACCACTCGTTGACTCATTCTTTTTCTCAAAGGGGCCAACCGTTGATTCATTCACTTTTTTTTAGCTCTGTGTATTCAATTTGATGATTTCTTATTGCATTGTAGTTCCACCCTCGACTATTCCACACCTAACCGTATAGTAAAGTATGTCCAGGCTTGGCCAATGAATAAAATAACTCACATTCTTAAAGAATAAACGATTTTTTCAAGTAGAACTGTTATAATGTTAATATAACTTGTTTAGCAACATAAAGAAAATTTTCAACTTAATTAATTTAAAATTTTGTTTGATCAAACTGTTTAGTAAAGGAAATTTATTTTAGTTTTAACATTTTTGTAGCATTTTCTTTAATGCTACTTCATATATAACATTCTTAATTTCATCAAAAATATTTTGGCTAGGACTAAGTTGACCGCCTCCAAGTAAAAACTATAATTCCACACTAAAAGGTGTAGAAACACTTAACCCTGAGAGTTTTATTGTAGATGAATTTTAATTTGTTAAACCAAAACTTAAAGAAATGTAATTCAAATAAATTATTACAACATGATATTCATATCTATTTCATAAATAAAAGACTGTTGACAATAACTAAAACAAAAATATTTTTTCAGTCACAAAATGTTTGTGATAAAAATAGGTATAAACTAAACATATTTTTAAAAATATTTTAACATCTAATAAATGAATATAAAGTGAGTGAAAGAAAGACAACAAAATATAATAGATAATATAATAAAAAAGAAAAGAAAATAAATAAAATAAAAAATTAGATATCAAACGATACAAAAACTATTTTTATATCATAGTAATATAAATTTTAGTATACGTTTAATGATATAAAAGAAAAATTTGTGTACAATATTTTTATTCAAAATTATAAAATTCAATCATATTAATAATATTAAATACTTTATTTTTTAATAAAATTTAATATTTATTAATTTTTTATTACATATCTTTTAACGTACATGTTCAAATACCCGATGATTAGTATATAAAGTCAATAATTGTATTATGACGCATGGTTCACATGCAAAGGCACGAAATGCGGCGTTGCTTTGTCAACGTTTGATAGCAAAAAATAATGGCTAGGTCACACAATCTCTGACGATAGCCTACAGTTTAGAGGGCATTTTAGAAATTTGAGTGGCAAGTAGATTCCTAATTCTGGATTCTTAATGAAAAAATCGAAACGAAACGAAAACATGAATGCAGCCTAAAAAGAATGAAATGAAGTGAAGTCTTACATATCAAAGAATGTCTGAAGCCTTGAATCAAAGCTCTGATCCGTAATTTGTTCCCAAAATTCGCGTAGCTGATCCTTGGTTATGGAAGCTGATGTTATGCCACGACGACGAGATAATGCATCAAATAATTCGCCTGCAAATTCTTTGGACTCGTGCATGCCTACATGTCATTTCCTCCCACAACGTTAGTTTCAGGAAAGGCATCCTTAGTCACTGGAGTAACTCTAATGTAAGTCATTTCCGTTATATCTTCTAGTTTTTGGTCGTAAAAAACAGAACACAGCATATGTTAATTACTGCGCTAATTGCTATCTACTTTTTCAATCGTGCAATGCTGGCCAAACTCAGTCGTATCGAGTAAATTCTATACAAGTTAAAAAATATATACTAAAAAAGCTTTATATTTAATTTGCTAGCGTTTCGAATGACACTGTCCCACGCACTATGCTAATACGGGACCAGTTTCACGGAGGGCTAAATGCTGTTGAATCACTTAGTAAAGAGTGTTGATTTTTTTTACACTCACTTCATACATGTAAATAAAATAAAATCGTAAAAATGTACTAAACAATCATTATTTTTTTCATAAAGATGAAGCAAATAGATTCATTGTTTTACATTGTCAAGAATGTATATATTCATTGAAAGTAAGGACTGATTAAAATAATAGATATAATGAAATATCTAAACGTAAAAATAAAATGGAAGAAAAGAGTGGTTGTGGTTTTTTGTAAGTGTCGGTAAGTGATGTAAGCAAAGTTAGTGGGGCGTGAAGAATAATAGAATACATAACATACATACCTATGCACTGGCTGAAGCGCGTTTTGGGCAACTTTCCCTCAACGGCCAACTCATCAAAGCGCTTATCCACCTGGGACCAACCTTCAGTTCCAACGTTTTTGGTCATGAACTTGAGGCCTCGGAGGGCACGAGCAGCACCGGACTTGGTCCTATCGACCCTATCGAACTTCTTCGACGACGTCATGCGTTTCAGTTCCTGCGACACCTGTCTCAGGCGCACCGAGAGCGACGAAGGACGTTTCTCCAAACGACTGGCCAACAACGCCGTTTCGGAGTCACCGCCCCGAATGTTTTGGACGGACACCGTGTCATCACGCACGTCCAACGTTATCTCGACGAAGTCCTCCTCGTCCTTGAATCTGGCGCTCTTCTTGCTGCTGTTCCTTTTGTTGGACACTAATGGGCCACTCATAGGCCCACTGAAGCCCACTCTCGTGCTTCTGCTTCCCGTGCTCTCTGTCTCCGACCATGATTCATGGTTTTCTTGAATCTCCATTTCTCTTCTGAATTCCACCCAACTATCCCTCTTCCAAAGTCGTGCTTATGATTGAGCAAATAAAAATTATATTACCTTAATTAGCTAGGGAGAATAAGAATAATGGTGTTGACGGTTGTACCCTCGATGGATTATGTGCTACGCATTGATGTGTTAATGTTCCTGGAGGGTACTAAATTTTGCATGAGTTATTGGGAATAAAAGAGATTGAGGTTGTGTTGAGAAACTGGGGAGGGAAAGGGTAATAGTATTGAGGAATATATAGGAGAAAGTGGTGATGAAATAATAGAACTAGCGTGTGAGAGGTAGGAGAAGTCAAAAATGGGAGGGACTATAATCAAAAGCACATGTCGACACTTTGGGCTTTGAGCGCGTTAGTTGACGGAGATGTAGAGTTGTTGGGATTCAAAGCCTCCTCGATGCTTCTTCAAACAAAGAATTAACTCCTATATTTTATTCTTAATTTCTTGCATGAAGAAAAAGCCAACAACTTTTTTGCCTCTCGACTAGAACCAAGCAATTTATTTAAACTTTGTACATGTACAAACTTTAATTTGTTATACTTTTCTCTAACTATGTACTTGCACTAAATAATTTGTAATAATAAACGTCTATTCTTTTGTTTTCTACTTTTCCTTCCTATCGATCTTTCTCCACAGAATCGATCAATTCGTTTCATTGACAAATTATGTGGACTAAGATATAACCCGAAATCCGTGTGCTCAACGTCACTTTTAAGGTGTACAAGTGTGAGAAAAAAATATTTTTGAAATAGTTACACGATAACTCGAACTGGTTTGGTGATAGTGAAATTAAAATAAGTTACTTTTATGTCAGGTTCAGTATTAAATATGTCACAGTAAAATTACTACAGCAATAATCTATTGTATGTGAATTTCATGTCGCGTAATAAATGAAGTATATGGTTAAATTACTAAATTATATGGTTGAATCATTGGAATATCGCATAATAAATGAAGTCGTTTTCAGTTTTCAGTTCATTGAGACAGAACAGCAATCATTTGTGATAGATGGAGACCTCCAGACACAAGAATTATAAAAATTGAAGTGTTGATTCTGCTTTTAAGGAAGATGGTGATGTGGTTTTCGTCACGAGCAAAAGAATGAAAAAGGTGAAGTGCTGGCAACTGCTGCAAAGGGGCAAATGACTGAATGAGAGTCACATGCATGCATGGATGAGGCTTTCTGGTTCGAGATCTTAATTTGTTTACAATATATGTTCATTTGTTCCTTGTTCAAAAGTGGACAACGGCAATGCTGGGGCCACTGGATTCCAAATTTGATACTTATTAATGCCAACATGGTTCTTCACAATTAAACCGTTCTTTTCCTCATTCAATTTTTTTTTTGGTTGAAGAGTTTCCAAATTAGGTTATTTTACTTTATTTTTTTATGACATTTGAAAACAATCTACACTGAAATATGAAATTTTAAAAAAAATTACAGAAACACAAAAACTCAAAAGTCATGGGTGCAATTAAGAAAATGCAGACATCAAACAATTAAAGATTATAATGAATTTTAAAATATAAAAAATTGCCAATGACCTTTTTTTAAAATTATTAACAAATTCAAATTATAAAAAATTATTAATGATAATTTTTTAAAAAAATTATAAAAAATTCAAAGTAAAAATTGACAGTTTTTTAAAAAAATTCATATTTTTTTTTGTTATTTTTAAAAAATCTTATATTTTGGTGTTCTAATTTTTTCCGCAAAAAAAAAAGCCTCCAAAGTTTTACATTTCAATGAAAATGTTGTATAAAACCTATGTTTCCATTACGTTGTCTCTTTCTTATAAAATGAATTATAAGACAGGTTATTTTAATTCTACATATATATATACTATCATTTGTTTAAATCTTACCGTATTTTGTGGCTAAGTGTTGCAGCAGAGTCGTTGGATTATTAAAAATATCGACGTACGAAGCATAAACACGTGTTCTGGATAAACATTTGAGACAAATGGACATATTAGATTAACATACGATGAAATTTGAAGCAAAATAATTAACAAAATTACAAATGGGCAAAAGTTTAGGTCTCGTGAATTTTGTCAGTATGAAATTGTCAATAAAGGTTTGCTATTTATTATTTTATGATTACAGGCTTTTTAAAGCTAAAAATATTTATAATATAATGAAATTGTTTTTTTCATAAAAGTATTTAAATATATATATATATGTATGAATTTTAATTGAATTTACTTAACGAATATTGAATATAAATTATCAAAACACATCACTTGGTAGTACTTTAAGCTTGCCATTTGCTGACGTTTTTATTTTTATGAAAAAATTGTAAATGTGAATTCTAGAAATACTAGAAACGACAAATTAAATAAGATTGGGGTTGTGTCTATATCCATTCAAGTAAATCTAAACTGGCTAATTTTATATTAACTTAATCATGTTTTTGTCTCTTTCATTAATTTTTTGTTAGATAAGTTTTGACCTAACTAACAAGTATCTAATTAAGCTCCACGAAATGTATTAGTATCTCACATATATTAAAGTTTATCATTTGACTATAGAGGCACACTGCTACTTTATTGATTATGGACTTTCTTGTTATACCTACCCTTCTAATATTTATCGTTTTTGCATTTTCAAGAAAAATAAAAAAATAATTTTATTCTTTAAAATAATAATTTAAGTTAAATATATTAACAGTTTATTAACAAATTTTTTAATTTTTTAATATTAATATAAAAATTACATTCGTAATATTTTTTATACTAACAATGTATTAAAATTATACTCTTAAAATAAATCAGGATAACATAATAATTTTGACATACAAATATCATCGCTTCGGTTTTGATAACGTCACAGAATATTTGTAAGTATTGACTCCTAATTTTTATATTCTAAGCTATTTTTACTGTTGTTTACTCTTGTCACAGACATAACGGATTTGACGTTTCTGAATAAAAGACGGAGTTAGCACCGTTAACACTATTTCACTCGTTCGAGAAGACATTTCAACTAATTAAATTTTATTTTGTTAGATAAAAATAATTACTTGGTGAGGTAGTTAAAATAAGTCATCATTAATATTTTTTAAAGATATATTAACTAGTATTTTCTTAAACGTTATTTTTAATTGCTAGTTTTTTATATTTTATATTTTATTATTTTAATTTTTAAAAACTATTATCTTTACTTTTTCGGCTCAATTTTTTAAATCACTCTTGTCATTAAATTGTTAAAATATTATTAAATCATTAATTTTTTAGAATATAAATTATTCAGATAATAATATAAAGTAATTTATATTATCTTATTTTATTTAAAAATATATAATTACTAGATCTTAAATTATTGACTAGAAATTAATAATGTTTAGATGTCATTTTATACTTATCATTAATTTTAAAATTAACTTTACAAAATATTTTTAATTCAAGCAATTAGCTTTTTACTTTTTATCTTTCAATAAAATTTATAAAACTATTAAAACAATATATAAAATTTGCATTATTTTAAAAAATTAGTTAAAGCAAACATCCATAAAAGTTAGTCTTTGGATATGTGTATGCATGCGCGCTCCCCCGCAGGCTGCAGGTTCCATTTTGTGGAAAATTACAGATAACGGCAATTCGCGCAGCTTCACGTAAGGTTCCGCCATTCATATTGTATTTTTATAATCTTAATCTAATAATATATATAGTACTTTTGTGGTCTTTGGATAACATTTGAAGTCAATATTTCAACCATGCCAAGTTGTATCAAACATTTGAAGTTTTATATAAAATTTTTTACATTTAATTTTAGCTTTTTATTTAACTTATATTTAATAAAATAATAAATTAAAAATATTTAGATAAAGTAAAATAAAAGTGTAAAAAAATCTTGCTCGTATATATATTCACCACACTTGCTCGTCAATGCATGCTTGGACATGATTATTTAAAAAGTAAATCCTTTATTTTTTTAATAAAATTGAACAATTATTTTTTTAAATAAATTAAATCAAAACATGCAAATGTTGTTTGATAAAGTTGTTTCAATTTTACTTTCACCCACGCATGGCAAAATTGCACCACCGCATCCGCTGACCGATCGAGAAAAGTCAGGTATGACTTTGACTTTTCTGGTTATGTGCGTGCGAGAAATAATTTCAATTCTGAAAATTCTCCTCCTTCCATCTTAGTGGCCCAGTTTCATAAAGTTTTACCAAAAATCTAAAGCTGAAACTTTCTACGTACATTTGAAATCTGAACCATAGCTGTCACGCAGTTTTATAGTTTCACCAAATAATAAAACTGATATATTATGCACCATTTTTAGTTAGAAGTCAAAGTGCAAGAAAGATGAGCCGAGCTAAGGAATTAGGATTGTCTAAATGCAATTCATGGGAGACGAAAGAAAATAGAAAATTAAAAACGCAGTTGTTGTGTACGGAAGAGAAACACAAATCTTTAAGCTGTCATTAGCAAAGGGACAGGAACTAGATTTCTACAAATCAATGACTCACACGGCATGTTTTCGATTGTGGCAAGATCGATGAAGGAAAATATTCACAAACACTTTATGGAATGTATGCATTTAGATGGGACTAAACTAAACTAGCATTTTAGTTCCTGAGAGATTTTAAATTCAGCATTTTAGTCTCTAAGATATTTAAAATATTATAGTAGTTCACAACTTCTTTTTTCGTCATGCATTTTAGTCCTTGAAGTTAGACCCTGTTAAAAAATCGTTACAGAAGACTGAGCTGTCAGGTTAAGTGTTACGTCAGAATTCCAGTTTGACAGCAACGACGTCGTTTTAGAAGATTGGCGTGGCACAAAAAAAAATCTTTTTTTTTTTCAAAAAGTCTCAACGTCCTCGTTGCGAGTCGCTTTGCAAGACGTCCAGTAATCTCTGACTTGGTCTTAGAATTGTAAGTTTCAACCCGTTCTCATCTTGCCTCCCTCTCAAGTTGGCCCTTCTACTTGACTAAGTAGTATTCTATTCGTGCCGAAGCTACAACCAAAGATGAGTGGCTGTTGCCCAAACACCGAACTATTGGCTCTAGCGACCCAATGTATGTAGATGAAAGACGAGTTCAGAAGTACTGGATAGGTGTCTCACCCATGAAATGTAGCTTATACGGAACCTATTATTCCTCAACCACCAACTAGTAGCTCTTGATAGAGAAGCTCTGTAAGGGCCATTTTGAGGCAAGCCCCACTCAATGCAGTTTTTGTCTTTTTTTGGTGAAATACAATCCTCTCTTATTGAATTTCTTATTTGTGATGATAGGGAAGCCCTTTCTTTGGCCGACATAAACCAAAAAACATCCTCTAGGCAGGTAGTAGCATTAGCGTACTAAGAGCCCTCTGGTTGCATTGAAAAAAGATGAGTTTTTTCCCCCTAACTACAGTGGTTCAGAAGATGCCACATTTGCCTCAAGACCCACAGCTTATTCAACAACTTACGCCCCGTGATTTGTTGCTTCCAAGGTTTTGGATTGGTCTTATTTCTACCTGAGTTTCAAGCCATTATCTCAGTCGGTGGCCTAAGATAAGCCAACTTACAAGATCCTAACTGAATGAATTGAGGTTGACTGATAAGTTTGTAATTAGGCCCTATTTTACAACCCATATATTCATATTTGACTTTTATTTTATTTGAATTTTACACTAATTTATATATTAATTGTGCAGTTTGGTATAAAGAGGCCGCAAGTGGATGTTGGGTGCATTTTGGGCCTAAATTGATGGAAGATTAGAGCCTCACAACAGTCAGCACGCCCAGACCCTTTCAACAAGCAGGGGGTGCTTCGAGCCTATGCACGGTCGTGCTTAAGGCCTTGCATGGTCGTGCTCATCTGCAAGAAGTCCAATTATCAAGAGTCTTTAGGATTTTCAAACCCTATTAAAAGGAGATCTCAGGCATCGTAAAGCGAGACCGTTTTTACATCTAGTCTTTGGCTTTCGGATACACTTCTTATCTCGTCTCTCAAGCACGGGATCATTAGCACATACTTGGCGAGACTTAGAGCTTCAAGCGATCGTACTTGAAGATCGGGAATACATCTCATACTCTAGTTTGCTATTTCTTTTGATTATGGCTTTGTTTATGATTGTTTTAGTTCTTTTCTTTAGCATGAGTAACTAAGTCCATAGCTAGGGCTATGAGAACTATTGTTCATGAATTTATGGAATTTTGATATTTGAATCTAAATTTGATTTCTGTTTTGTGATTAGATTTTATCCTATTGCGTTTCTTTCTTAATTCTAATTAATTATATCGTCAAGCGACCGTACCTCAGTTAATTAATAGATTTATAGGGTAAAACGAGACAAAGGATTAGATGGACCAAACCAATCTTTCTCTTCTAATCGTTATTAAATTAACAAGTTCATAGGTTTCGTAAACTTTCTTAAATTGATGTCTTGCATGATCATTGAGGATGTTAATTTAGAGAAAAGAATATTAATATTGCATGACTATTGAGTATTAATAGTATTCGTATAAATGATTAGTAATTACAAGGAAATCGAATTTAGAATTAAACAGAGAAATAACATAAAAGATTGAATAAGAAAATCCATATGCCCTAGGTTCCTCTCTGATAAGTTTAACCAAGACATGCATTGTATTCCTTGCTCTTAATTTATAATTAATTTTATAAATTCTTGTTTTAATTAATCTCATATCTTTGAAGTTTAAACAGTTGAATTAGGAAATTTTTAGTAATTGGAAAACAATCTTTGTGGGATGATATTTCGGGAACTTAATTTAAGAACTCTTTATTACTTTTCGATGGGTACACTTGCTATATGAACATTGAGTAAAAGTCATTCGCTTGAGAACAATTCTGCGACTGGAACTCAATCTGGGATTGGGATCTTAGGGCACTAAGAACCTATTGTATAGTACATTCAAGAGTACCCCTAACTGTTGTTTCCGGCCGACAATGTCCACCTTTTAAGATAAGAACCAAATATTGAGGTTGTTTATTTTTCATGGTACTCTGATCCAGGCCTTCATCCCTTATATCTTCCTCCTGGTGAAATCTGATAACGAAGTAACCATGGCTCAAGTCCACGAGTGCCAGACTATTCCCTTTCGCTCGTCGCAGGCTCCTTAGCCGCTCCTCCACATATTCCAACATAGGCTAAAGAGGTTTCAATGACAACACACCATTTCGCAATTATTTGTGTCACGCCAGCTTTCAAAACAACGTCGTTGCTGCCAATAAGGATTCTGATGTAGCACTTAACATGACAGCTCAGCCTTCTGTGACTGTTTTTTAACGGGGTCTAATGTCAGGACTAAAATGCATAACAGAGAAAGAAGTTGCAGACTAACGTGATATTTTAAATGTCTTAGGAACTAAAATACTAGATTCAAACTGTTTCAAGGACTAAAATGCTAGTTTAGTCATTTAAATAGAGATAAGAAAAGAGAGAGAGAAATGATAAAAATGATAAATAGTGTGATGGAATAAAAATAAATAAATAATAAAAAATAAAAAAAGTGTAATGTTGCTAAATATTTATAAATTAGAGTTCATCGAAGAATTCTGATTAGATCGTAAGTAGAAGTCTTAACTAAACATTGCTTAAAAATATAATAGGATAAGGTCCCCGTGCATCTTTATTCTTTCAATTTTTTCTGACATAGTTAACTTTTTTTTTTTTAATTATACAAATTTAGTTTTACATTAATTTTCTTCTGCTTAAAATTCTCAAATTCTAACTTTTTACTCAATTTTTATAAAGTGATTTGATTAAATATTTTACTATTCAAAATGAACTATCCAAAATATCAAATTTTATTTTAATTTAAAAATTTTTATTTTTTTTTCCAATTTAAACTCCAACATCTCATATTCTAAGGATATGTTTGGGAGAGAATTTAAAAAAAAAAAAGAGAGAAGGACTTATTTTATAATTTTATATTAAATAATTATATATTATTTACAATAATAAATATATTATTAATATATTAAGTTTTTATTATTATATTAATTTATATCTTTTACTTTTAAAAATTATTAATTTTAAATATATTTATTTAAAATATAAAAACAAGTTCTTCCACCTTTCTCTTCCAAAAATCCTCTCTCAAACATATTTTAAAGATAATTTTAGTTGACAGAAAAACTAAATTTTATAAAAAAAAATTATTTATAATATAAATTTAAAATTTATCGAGAATATACTCTAATTACAAGTCAAGTGAAAGTGAATCCAAAAATTGTAAGACCATTGTCATACATGGTCATTGAATTAGAAATTTTTTTTGATAGTTAGAGCTCGTTAAATATTAGCAAACTTAGTTTTTTATCATTAAGATTTGAAAAGTTGAAAAAGTATGTGTTTAAATAGATGTTAAAAGATTTGTAAATGTGAATTTAAAGTAAATACTATATTTAGTAATGTTGAAATAAATAAAATTTATAAATATAAGTACAAATTCAAGTATGTTAAATTTATAATAACTCATGTGAAACTCTTGTGGTACTTTAAAAAAAATTTCAGAGTACGACACATGAAATTTTTTATTAATAATATTTAAACACACATTTAAATAATAAATTTATTTAATAATAAATTATTATATTTTTATAATTAAATAATTTGAAGAGCGATTAAATTTTTAAATAAATCAAAAAATAATCAAAACAAAACTAACTAAAATTTAAAAATAAAATAATAATATATTAATATATTTTTATATTCTTAATAATATTTTTAATATATTTAATTATTATATTAATATATTATATTATAATAAATATAAATTATATTTTATTTGAAATTAAAAATATTATATATATATATATTTAAATAATAAATTATTATATTTACTATAATTAAACAAATTGAACAACAATTAAGTCTTTAAATAGAAATAAGACACGATTAAAATTAAACGAATTAAAATTTAAAAATAAAATAATAATATTATATTAATATATTTTTTATATTTTTAATTTTATTATTATTAATATTTAATTATTATATTAATATATTATGTTAAATTATTTTTATTTATAATAAATAGAAATTACTTAAAATAAAAATTATATTTTATTTAAAACTAAAAATTAATTAAAAAAATAAAAAAATATAAAATAAAAATTTAATATATATTTTAACTTATCATGCATTTATTTTTATTAGTATAAATTTTTTAAATATGATACACATAACAAAATTTGAAGATACCACGTTACATATAAACTTTTATTCACACTTAATTCTAGCAATGGAGTTTGTTGTAATGCAATCAATGAGTGTTTTGAGTTTTTTTCGTTATAAACTCTTTAACTTATCCATATTTCATCTAACGTGAGACTTTTATACAGAAAGAAGCATTTTGGCTTAGTGTTAAAAGTTAAATTAATATATCGAGACTAGCAATCACATTTAAATTAATATAAACTAATTTATTTTCCTTAAGTATGTGTTACAAATCTGAAAAAATGTACTATTATAAAAGTATTCAAAAGCCCTGATGAAAATCAAACTTCGTATTGGTTTTCCTGGAAAAGTCAAGAGAGAGCCGTTTAAATTCTCCAGCCAATGTGGGTGGCCCACAATAAAAAACACCTGAAAATAATTGAGTACATTAAAAATAAGTCAAGCAAAGGTATGATGATATGAATTTCAACAATTAAACTAAGAGCAACATGTAAGTACTCACCAACTCTTTTGCCAGGGTGTTTGAGGGCAGCATGTTTAAAGACACTACGCCAATTAGGTCTAGCAAAATGTGTCTTGACCCTTGTGCCTGAAACTATATCCACACCATTTTTGGCATAGTGGAGGTACTGAAGCATTGTAATCAACGCTGATCGAGCATCTCCTTCCTCATACACACTTGTGCAATAGTTATGAAGTTCGATTATTCCATCCTCGTCATATTCAGCAACATCATCCATCACACCCTTAAACCATTCAAAGGAACCTTGTTCACGAGTAATCCAATAGAAATAGGCCTGCTTGATGGCAAAACCTTTTCTCTTGTCCTTCACTCCATTTTCTACCATTCCTTCTTCTACGTCTTTCTGTTGTTTCAAATTGTATAGTATATCCTTGAGTATGCTAATCATAGGTGTGGCACCAATTCCAAGGCTCGCAAGAAGGATTACTTCGTAGTTTTTGTAATCTTGTGTTGAAGCTCCGTAAGGACCCTCAATTGAGAGTTTTGGCATTCTGCAATCAGTTTCATGTTGAATATAACCAGTAAAGAAACAATTTTGGTGGTTTGATAGTAAAGTCATGGGCCATTTTTCTCAATCACTTATCCTTTATTTGTTACATATTGAAAACCACATAAAAAAAAAAGCTTTACCTTTGTATGTTGTTGCCTTGTAATATACCACTTTGGTCACCACTTGCTGGTTGACATGCCTACATCAATTATAGGAAAAATTATTGGGTGATTAAAGGTGACTTGATCTCGACTAATTATATTGCATTATGTGTATTAAATTTAGAATTTATGAAAAAATAAATATGTATTGCAACGTGAGCAGAGTCACATAATCTTAGAGTATAAAAATTAAATATTTATGTCAATATATTGAAAGAAATGTATAGTACTAAAGATTATCCCAATAGCATGTTAATTTTCACAATAAAGAAAGATGGTTGTCTTGTACTAAATTCACCTGGGCAAAAACATGCTTTAGTTGCAATGTCCAATCACCCAAAGTTCGAATGTGAACACTTACGTACTCATCTCCAGGGGCTGATGTAATAAAGAAAGGATGCCTACGGATACCATTTAACAAAATTCTCAACTTTGCTAAACGTCACCCTCCTCATTTTAGAAAAACAAGAATGTTCTCTTACCGTTCAAATGGGGAGACATCTGAGCAGTTAACAAAAATATACTGTCCACTAAAGTATTTAAATCCTTGTGGTTTAGACATGTACAAGGCCAAGACATTTCCTGGATACACTACAACCTGAAATTTTTGTAAGAGAGAATGTTAGACGTTCAAGTAAATTAAATGCAAAATGAAAATTAAAAGAGAGAAGGTGAATTCATAAGAATTAAATGTGCACCTTCAAAATTTGGAGTCTTGTGTATCCAAATTTAAATGCACCAAGTAATCGATCGCTTGCATATAATATCGTGGGAATGGCAAGATACATCCAAGTCTGTTACAATAAATTTTGTGTGACCAAACTAAGAAATTCTTTTTAAAAAAATAAAATTAAAACATCTAAAAATGATAAATTTTCATTGAGAAAAAAAATTTATTATCTTAAAAATGTGAAAGTGTAATGAACATTATATCTTTTTAATAAAAATTTATTATTTATGACCATTTAAACTCAGTCATAAAAGAAGTTTTTTACGAAAATAATATAAAAAAGAAATAAAAATACTGAAATAGACTTCTCCTATAAATATTTACTAAATTAAACTTTTTTACTTTTGAAGTATAGAAATCATGTCTCCGTAGACCTATTTCAAGTTCTTAAGATAGATTTGTTAATGGAATTCAGTTTTTGGGCAACCGAATTCCAGACATAATTTTAATTTTTTTTCGTTTTAATTTTATTTTATATAATAAAAAAATATTATGTAATATTTTATGTTTATATAATTATATATTGTCAAATTTAATAATAAAAAGATTGTTTTAAATAATAAAATAAAATTTATTATTTGAATTATATTTTTATTTTTATATTATGTGAAAATAAATATTTATATTATGTTAATTTGTGTAAAATAATAAAAAATATTATATTGAATATGTAAATTTATGTTATGAATTTTTAATATTAATATAAAAATATTATTTTGAATAAGTATTTGAATTTACAAAAATATTTGTATATCAAATTAATAAAAATAATAAAGAATGTTTGGATATATATTTATTTGAATATGTAAATATGTGTTATGAATTATGAATATTAATATAATAATATTATTTTGAATAAGTATTTCATTTTAAATGCAATATGAGAAATTTTAATATTAATATGCAAAAGTGATTGAAGGAGCTGTTGCTTGGGAAGTAAAACTATGACATTTATTAATACAACGTCCTTTTTAGTTAGCTTTTCCTTTTTCTTTATAACCTAGTACAAAAAAAGAAATCAATGGCGAGAACTAGATGCATAACCAATGTTTGAACATGTCTTCTTTGTGTGACTAGGAGTGTGACAATAGGAACAATTTTTTACACGATTTTGTTGTTCTGTAATGTTCATATCTGTTCTTATCCTGCTGGACTTGGGTCGACCCTTTGAAATTCTTTTCAGTTCTGGATTTAGACACAAAGTTGGGTCAGTGTAGGTTGGCCAATAGTCTTCGTGTCTTAGTTTTCTAAACTAACATTCGTATACCTTAGAAACTTGTTGTAAGGAATCAACAGGAGATATGTAGATGTCAAAGTTGTGGTGTACGTGTAAGCATAAAGCAAGTACATGCGAGCATGGGATGTGAACTTTTTGGAACTTGCCACAATTACACCACATTTCATCTAACTGTACTGTAAATCTTCTTACAGGTCAAACTTCTCTTGGATGTTCCATTTCTTCCACTAAAAATCTAGTGATTGTTCGGTCAAAGGTGATGACTCTATGAGTGTTCGCCTTTAACTGTGCATCTTGAATTGCTTAAGTTGCAACCTCCGAGTACACATGTCCAGCATTAATCATTGCATCTACTTCCCTGCCTCTCTCAATGAAGAACTTGTTGCAACAGGTGTATGTCGCCATGACCATGGAACAAATTGGCAGATTTCTAGTTTTCTTCAAAATCGAATTGATTGACTCTGCTAGGTTTATTGTCATGTGTCCTCAGCGTCGTCCATTGTCCCATGCTAACGCCCATTTTTCCTTGGAATGTTGTCTAACCATTGTGCAGTTTTAGGATTATTATCTTTTACTATGTTGTAATAGTAAAAGAATCTCAGTTCAGTCATCCCATATGCTGAAAAAAATATGTCAAATTAACAAGTGTAAAAAATATTAATGATAATTTAAAGTATGAAAAAAATTAAAATTACCCATATTGACGACATATTTCTTAAGTGCAAGATTTTTGAATCATCTTATGAAATTTTGTGTAATGTGTCTAATGCAATAGACATGGAAAGAATTGTTTTCCGTCCAACCACTTCCACTTCTGGAGTATGCACTTCTTATGGCCTCGTGACGATTCGAAATGAGGCACAACCCCTTCTACAGGGTTACGTACCTCCTTAAGTTTCTAAAAAAAAAAAAAGAACCATGCATCGCTGGTTTCACCTTCAACCACAGCAAAGACAATGGAAATTAAGTTGTTGCGACCGTCTTGCGCAATTGCCATCAATAAAGTCCCTTTGTATTTGTCATACAAAAATGTTCCATTGACTTGAACAAGTAGTTTGCAGAAGGCAAAACCATCAATGCATGGCCTGAAGGTCCAAAATAACCTCTTGAAGAACACATTTTCCTCCTCTAACAAGCCACCCTTATACGCCGGTTGTATACTCAATTTCCAGATGAAACTCGGAACATACAGTTGCATTGCTTGCAACATACTAGGTAACTTGTGGTATGACTCCTCCCAATTTTCGAATATATTTTCAATGGCATGTTGTTTCCCCAACCATCCTTTTCTATAGCTGATTGTATAACCCATGGTGGACTTGATGTGAGCTATGATAGTTGTGATGGGTGTGGATGGATCAGCCTTAATAATTTCATGAATAGTTTGAAAAATCATTCGTGATCCCAAGTTGTTATGATCCTGTGAAATGAGTGAGGAAACACATGTATGGCACTCTTCAAGCTTCATTATTCTAAGTGTTACTCTTTGATGCGCAATATAGCTCGACATCTCCAGTCACAATCGTTTTGAACGCATTCTATGACAAGTCTAGTTGTGCTTCACATCTTCACCTTGTAAGTGCAGTGATTGACAATGTGAAATCTGTTTATGGCATCTTGCACCTGTTCTCTTGTCAGGAAGCGCTGGTCAACAAATAATGTTCCAGGCGAATATTTGGAACTGGGAGAGAGTCTTCTTCGTCATTCTGCTGTTGTGACATTATTTCATCTTCGTCCTCGCTAAAAGGATAAAAAACTTCTGTTGGGAGACCCACAATAGCATGTTCTTCAATGGGCTCTACTTCAATTGCCTGGGAAGGTATTTCATTGAGGTATATGAAACTACCAGTGTAAAGTTGTGTGTAGGACTGAAGGTCAGAATTCATATCATAAGTTGAAAAAAATGGATTAATGGTTTCCAAAGTTTGGTAAGGTGAAAGTTGTGGTACCTGGGTTACATTGGTGGCAAATGTAACATATAGTTCTATACCTGATTGAAGTTGATTAGAATCATGGATGTTGAAGAGTGCATCGACGTCCTCATCATCATTCAACTAAACACATATGTAGTTGCTAACTCCCGGGTCAAGTCTAATTGGGTAGCAAAAATGTATCGTTTCCACCCTTTCATTTTCATCTTGGTGAAGTTTAGTGTGGATAACTTTCTTCAGCCTTTGTAGAATCACTCTTCTATTTAGATGTACCAATTTGGCTGATGGTGAGGTGAACGTGACTCCTTCATTAGGACATTAGTTGATGGCACCATCAGAGTGAACAATGACATAGATTGAAGACATTTTGAGATTGAACCAAGTGAAAGATGAACAAACTTAGAAGGAGTAGGTTCACAAGAACAAGCAACAAGCTTAGAAGGGTGAATGAAGAAAATGAACAACCTACATGACTATTTATAACAGTAGCATTGGGTTCCCTCTCATTCAAAGCTTCACCACGTTTCATGAGTGATGGTGACCTCTCTATGTCACCACATGCACAAGCTTTCTCTCCTCCCAAGTAATGACTCTCTCCTCTGCCAAACACGCTTTACGAATGATGGTGACCTCTTAATGACACCACATGCACAAGCTTTCTCTTCTCCCAAGTAATGATTCTCTCCTTTGCCAAAGACACCACATGCACAAGCTTTCTCTCCTCCCAAGTAATGACTCTCTCCTCTGCCAAACACGTTTTACGAGTGATGGTGACCTCTCAATGACACCACATGCACAAACTTTCTCTCCTTCCAAGCAATGACTCTCTCCTCCGCTAAACACGTTTTACAAGTGATGGTGACCTCTCAATGACACTACATGCACAAGCTTTTTCTCCTCCCAAGTAATAACTCTCTCCTCTGCCAAACACGTTTTACGAGTGAGAGTGACCTTTCCATGACACCACATACACCTCTCTCATACCAAAGTTTATCTATAAATATGTTTATCAAGGCTATATGTTTTCATTCAACCCTGCATCAATTACTAAAAATGTTGTTGTGGAAGCAAAACAAACACAAGTCTGCCTTCATTAGGAGAACGGTAAGTTTTAATAAATATGACTTTCAAGATCTACGTATCATGTTACTAATTTGTTAATAAATGCTGAAAACTGAGAACATGATTTCATCTTTCTGTCATTTAATGTCAGAATCCAATTCTTTAATTGTTCCTTTACTTGAAGAACTTGGTTTTGCTTGGGTGGTAAAGCTAAGGCATCTTAAGGTAGATCATGCATTGATAACAGTTTTGGTTAAGAAGTGGAGACCTGAAACTCACATGTTCCATTTTCCAACAGGGAAGTGCACCATAACCCTAAAGAATGTTGCATTTTAACTGGGGCTAAGTATTGATGAATTACCACTCATTGCTCCAACAATGTTTGACTGGGAAGATATGTGTGCAGTCAAGGGAGAGACACTTATTGGCTCTATGGTGAAATTGAAGTGGCTGAGAGACAACATGTTACCATTACCAAATGAACCATCTGAACAGTAGGTTCACGCTCATGTTAGAGCATATATATTGAGTTTGATTGGAGGTGTTTTGATGCCTGACAAAATAGGCAACAAAATTCATCTTATGTATTTAGCTTTATTAACTAATATTAGAAGAGCTAGAAGATATAGTTGGAGGTCTACTTGTTTAGCTATGTTATATAGGGAAATGTGCAGGGCCACAGAAGTCGGGAGCAAAACAATGAGTGGTTGTGCATCACTGTTAATGTCCTGTGTATGGTATCGCATGCCATATATTGCGCCAATTTCCAATAATCCACCAACATACTCTCTAGTATGCAGATGGAGCACGAGTATAGTCCTCAACTTTCAGAATAAACCTCATAATGATGGTGTGGGATACAGATCAATGTTTGACCACATTCAACCTAATCAGGTAAATTTTCATAAATAAAATTTTAATTTTTTCTTGTGATATTTTGTTTTATATATAATCTTATTTAACAAAGTTAATTTTATTTGTAGTTTTTATGGGCACTATATCAAGAATTGCAAACATTAATACCTATGGAAGCTTACAGAGATGTCCGAATGTGGACTTCATGTACCGCTATCCTTTATTTTGTAATTGTTAAATGACACTAATCAGATAGAGTGAAATTACAATTTCGGCTCTTAAAAGAAGTCCCTTGTCCACCCAATAATTTGCATGATCTCCACACAATTGACATGAGAGGAAGACATGATGAAAATTGGATCACAAGACATGCTCAATGGATCGATGTGTGGAACAATAGACGTGACCTGACATTAACAAGTCATCCAATGTTAGGCCCATTATGTCACACACGAGATTACATGGAATGGTACATTGTTAATTCTATCTATTTTTTATTTGTGTCACCACTACTACAAGATCCAAGGAAAAGCCACCAACAGTTAAACACTACCACAACATTTGCCACCAGTACGACTTCTACACCATTGTATCACGAGACTACATCAATTCCTCCACTAGATATCACACCACATGAAAACATAATGGACAAAAGACATTTGTTTGCAACAACTTCAGAGGATTTTTTTACAAACTTATTTGGAGTTGATTTTACAACTCCATCTTCAGCACAAAGTTACATGCAGTCTCTTTACCAACCAGATTTTCCTAATGAACCTGATAGTTCTTCAGCTACATTTCAACAACTAGAACTTGATAATCCTCCACAAGTTCATCCTAAATTTCCACAATATCAACCACAACGACGAAATCCAGCACGTAACAGACGTCATCCTCGTTGTAAAACTGGACATCATTACGGAGATAGTGATACTGAAAATCACTAATGAATGTTGTTATCAATATTGTGTTATGTGTTATTTTTATTATTAAATATTTAATGAATTATAATTTCTTTTAAATATACTTTTAATTTTCTACATCATATTTTTTATTATTTTTATTCATCTTATATACAATTTTTTTTAATTTAATAAAATACTAATTCAAAAATATTTTATCATTTACATATTCAAATAAATATAAACCCAAATATTCTTTATTATTTTTATTAATTTGATATATAAATATTTTTTAAAATTCAAATACATATTCAATATAATATTCTTTATTATTTCACATAATATAAATATATAATTATTATTTCACACAAATTAACATAATATAAATATTTATTTTCACATAATATAAAAAAAATATAATTTAAATAATAAATTTTATTTTATTATTTAAAACAATCTTTTTATTATTAAATTTGACAATATATAATTATATAAACATAACATATTACATAATATTTTTTTATTATATAAAAACAAAAAAAATTAAAACAAAAAAAGTTAAAATTATGTCTAGAATTCGGTTGCCCCAAAACCGAATTTCATCGACAAATCTATTTTAAAAATGTGAAATAGAAGACCAAAATTCGGTCGTCGAAAACATGATTTCTATATTCAACAGTAAAAAAGTTTAATTTGGTAAATATTTATAGAAGAAGTCTATTTTAATATTTTTATTTATTTTTTATATTATTTTCATAAAAAGTTCTCATAAAGGCTAAGTTAAGAAAATTACTTGTTTAATATGTACTAAGTAACACACATGTTAAAAAATATTAGATATATCATGTTAAATATTTTAAGTTATTCTATTGTTTTATATTAGGTGCCATACTTTATGTCATTTTAAAATATAAAAAAAGTATTAATTATTTTTAATAATACCTTTATTTATTAGAGATAACTTTTGTCAACTAACTACAACAATAACTTGTGCACTTTTAATAATTTATTTTACCATATTAATTAATAAAACTAAACATTTTTTAGGATATGTATATTAGTACTAAATGACATCAATAATTATATTTTAAATTTCTTAACATGTGTTAATAGTATGCCTTAATTATTTTAAATATATACCTTTTTATTTTAAAAATATCTTCTTTATTATTTGACTCTTCTAAAATAAATAATTATAGTTATTAATTGAAAAATTAACAGTTAAAGCTATAATTAATCAAACGTATATAAGCACATGTCTAATAAAATATGCGATTATATGAATCACAATTATTATATATAATTAAAAACATACCGTTTTCTTGTACCATTTCTTGGAGAGGTATAAGTAGTACCCGTGGATGATGAAAAGCAGATAAACGATGACAAAAAGATGGTGAGAGTACCAAAATCCGTTGAAGCCAATGAGCTTGTTGAGAGGTTTAGGGGGCTTTAGTCTGCTCTGTCGAAACAAAGAATGAGCAAACATATAGGCCACAGCCATAAGCAAAACCATGGTTATCCCAGTCCAAGCCACGGTCCCTTTCAGGAACCACCAATAATTGTTGGGTCTCTCACCTCCAAACAATGCTTTCATGGGCTCATATTCCTTGTCTGTTGCATGTAACAACCTCGGGAAGTCGCAAGTTAAATGCGAAATAGCGTGTATCCCAACCCCAATTGCAATGCCAACAGCTATCATCTAAACGAAAGGATGGATGAAATTGAAGTTATTATAAGCTAATCAAGTAAAATAAAATGGGTAGATTATTGAAATAAAATGAAAAATAAATCAACATCCAAATTAATCAATCCATGCACACACTTTACCTTGTGAAAATTGATATTGTCGTCAAAGGGAACAACCATTCCTAGCTTGGTCCTACTTCTTAGCCAAGTGATGGTTTTTCTACACATAGGTAACAGGATCAAAGCCATGTTGAACTTAAGTGTCTCAGCAGCACCCTTGGCTGATGTGACACAATACCCCATGACATGGAACACGGCATGATGCTTGTACTGGATGAACTTCCAAATGAAAAGGGCAGCACAAATTAAAAGCCAAATGACTAAAATCCAAATCTGTTTCCAATTGTCGTCAACAAAGCAGGTTATTGCTCGGAACCATCGCTTGATGGGGTTGAACTCTCTGGTTGGAATTAATTTTTGACTCAGGATTTGGCTTAAGACCCGATCATCTTCGGTCATGTTAGTTGATTGTACTGGTTCTGCTTCCAGAAAAAGCTGTTCCAAGTGGTACACCTGCATGAGCAAAAATAATGTTTTTTTTAACCACAAATGAAAGGTGAAAATTCCAATGTATGACATCAATAACTTAATCTAGCTAAAAATTATACGGGCTTGGCGTTCTTATTTTAAATAATTGAGTTGTCGGGTAAAAGAATTCGTAAAAATTGCATGTATAAGTGTACCCACTCTTGATGCACTTGGAAAAACAAAACTTTGAAAAATGAAACTCATGATTAATTTTTCACTAAGCAAGACGGGGGGGTTGGATAGATAGAATATAAACCTCAATGAATCCTCTCTTGTCCGAATCCAACTCCTCCATGGTTGAGGCCGCATATTCTTCTGCACGTTCTTGTATTTTCCGAAGGTTATTAATGGAAGCGCAGTAGGCGATAATCTGTAAAGTGAAATCATGCAATAATATTCACATCCCCACAAGTTTCTTGTAAGATGAGCAATTTAACATATATATACTACTCTGAAGGATGTGATTAGTTAAAGTAATGAATAAGTCAATTAAAACTTTAAAAGCTAGTTGAAAGAATGATCTGCACTTGCAGGAGTCTTTTTTTTTTTTTTTTTTTCAATACTAAACCCTCACCTTTTTAAGATCTTCCTCCGTGATTCTTCCGTCGGCATTCTTGTCCACCCTGGCATGAATTAAAATTACATAGGGACAACTCACAACAAAATGAATTTAATATTATTAATTAAATTAAAATGATCTAATCTCTTAACATGGGTTTTTTTTTTTCTCTCTTGATAGATTAATGAAAACAAAAGTAATATTATAAAGTCAATAAATGTATTATGCGGCGTGATATATTTTATTAAAGAGAATGTATATTTTACAACAAAAGGAGAGAAAAATGTGATATATATATATATATATATATATATATATATAATTTACTGAAAGTGAAAATGAAAATGAATTGAAGTCTTACATATCAAAGAAGATATGAAGCCTTGAATCAAAACTCCGTTCCCATAATTGGCGCAGTTGATCCTTGGTTATGGAAGATGAAGTTATGCCACCCCGACGACATAATGCGTCAAAAAGTTCGTCAGCAAATTTCTTCGAGTCGTTCATGCCTACATGTAGCGTTAGATTCCGTTTAGTTTCAGGCTGTTTGTAAATAGATAAATATAATAACATAATATTGCTATTTAATATGCATAAATTATTATTATAAAATAAGATAAAAGTCCATCTTCCTATCATCATATATTATTTTATTTAATTTGGACAATTTTATATTTTTTTATCTTATCAATTAAACTAGTACAGCATATAATATCTGTTGGAAATAATAATAATAATAAATAATACAGCCTTGAATGTAAGAAAAAAAAATTGGAAAATTAAAATAACAAAAAAATAATTTCCTTGTTTGAAGTTTTTTCTTCTATCTCGTTAGCAATAGTTTTATCTTTATTTTAAACAAAACTAATTTTTTTAATTTTTAATTAACTAATTTCATTTTAAAAAGGAGTCAGAAACTTAGAAACCTTCTTACACTAGTAAGTAGTTTCATCTAATTGTAAGATAAAATAAAAAAAATTTAAAAATTGTGTGACACGAAACTTGATAAGATGATTTTGTCTCACACAATACAACATATCTATTCATCTTTTTCTTTCTTTTTCTATCACCAATATTATTTATTATTTTATTATTCTGACCGGTAACTCTACAACTTTCATATAACATGACTCACTTTTTTTTCTATCACCAACATCATTTGTTATTTTATTATTTTTGCTCGAGCGACTTTTCTTAATTCATTTCTTTTTCTCTCTACTCACTATAAACATTATTTATTATTTAATTATTTTCACTCTCATAATTTTATATTTTCAACACAATACAAAAGAGAAAAAGAAATAGATTGTATTGTGTAAAAGGTATAGAGTTACGAGAATAAAAATAATTAAATAATAAATAATGTTAGTAGTGGAGAAAAAAAAAAGAAATGGATTGTGAAAAGTTAGGAGAGTAGGGATAATAAAATAATGAAGACTAAAGGTATGTTAATAGTATAAATTTATATTATATTTAGAAAAAAAATAAAAAATTCTTTTTAAAAGAGAAATCAAACATACTCTAAATCTTCATTTTAGTCATCGAGAGAGTTTGCATAATACATTTTAGTCTTTAAAAAAATTAAAAATGTCATATTAGTCTCTGACTTTCATCTTCATCGGACATTTAAGTCTCTAAACCTAGACACTATTAATAGACGGTAAAAGAACATTGACAAGTCATATTAAATTATACGTGTCATTGATTACGTGACAAAATGACGTTGATGTGTCACATTAAGTGACATGTGTGATAATTACATGACAAAACAATGTTGTATGTCGTGTAATATATGTTTTTATTTTATTTTAGTCCCTAAGATTGTCATCTATGACCATTTTAGTCTGTAAGATTGTCATTGACCAACATTTTAGTCCCTAAAAGAATAATTTGTTGTTTTTTAGGCTTATTTTGCTTTCATCTTTGTAACTTTTCTTCACATCCTCTTTAGTTTCTTCTTATTTTTGTAGGAATGTGATTACACACTCTTCTTCATTTTGTTCTTTTTCTTTATATTTGTCTTATGAACAGGTGATTCCCAAAAGTGATTAACCAAAGCTACCATTTTGTCAGGATCAAATCTACACCTCATCAACAAAAGAGCATTCTTTGGAGGAATACATATGCTAATTCTTGCTTTCTCTTCTTCTCCTACCAACTCATAATTTTTCTTCCCTTCCACCAAATCAATATTAATGCCTTCAAATACGAGCCTTCTCTGGCTGCAACTTCTCTCACCTTTCCCTCTTTCATCATCATCATTCTCTTGCTCTTCCTCCACCACCAACTCAATCCTTCTTTCCTTCCCTTCTCCTTCTTGAAGAGCCACCAATCATCTTGCAAATACAACTCCACATGAACCATCTTTATCATCTCCTCTACCATATCTTTTTTCAATAAAACCTTCATCACTATTCTCCTCTTTCTCTCTCTTAAGAGACTAAAATATTTGTTAGTGACAATCTCAGAAACTAAAATACTTAACAATTTATAATTTTAAAGACTAAAATAAAATAAAAGTATATACTATACCATATACGACTTTGTTTTTTGTCACGTAATCAATCATGTATCACGTAACAAGTCAACGTTATTTTACCACATAATCAATATCATGTATCACTTAACGTAATATGTCAATATTCTATTACTATTTATTAATGATATTTGAGTCTAAAGAATTAAATGTTCAACAAAAATAAAAGTTAAAGATTAATATAATATTTTTAATTATATTTGTTAGTGGTGAAAAAAAAGAGTTATATTGCCAAGAACTTATAAAATTACAAAAATAAAAATAATGAACTAATAAATTTTATTAGTGGTAGAAAAAGAAAAAAAAATAAGTATATTAGGTTGTGTGAGATAAAATCATTTAATTAAATCACTTGTTATATAAAGATGGTGTAATTTTTAAATTTTATTATTTCGTCCTATAATTAAACCAAAAACTACCATAAGTGTCAGAGGTAATGAGAGTTACGTCTCATTCTTAAATAAAATTGATTAATTAAAAATAAAAAAAATAATTTTATCTAAAATAAAAACAAAACTATCTTTGATGTACCAGAAAAAAAAAATTATACACAGGAAAATTGTTTTGTTTTATTTTATTTTATTTTAATTTAAATAAATAAGCCAATAAATTGTGTGGGGCAGAATAGATACCTATGCAGTGGCCGAAGCGCCTTTTGGGGAGTTTTTCATCGACGGCCCACTCGTCAAAGCGGTTCTCGAGATAGTTCCAACCTTTAGATCCAGTGAGGCCATTGATCTTGAACATGAGGCCTCGGTGGCCACGAGAACCCCAATAGTTGAAACTGTATTGCGTATTCAACTTCACTGGATCGATGGGATTGGGCAGCGACGCCGTGTCCAACGTTATCTCCGACGAGTTCTTCGATCCTGCGCTTGTGCTCTCTGTCTCCTTTTGCTTTTCTTGAATCTCCATCACTCTTCCGATGTATCGCTAGCTAAAGCTTTTTGAATTATACATTCTAGCCAACTACTACAGTAGTTTGGTGCGTATAATATAGAAAGAAAGCGTGTGTGAGAGACTTAAGGGGAAAGTTGCGCTGAAATAATAATAAAGTACCGCGTGAAAGGTGAGACGAGCCAAAAATCGCGGGCTAAAAGATTAAAATAAGATATTTTTAAAAACAAATTACCAAAATAAATTAAAATTTAAACAATTTTTTTTGTCTTACATAAATTTTTGTCCATTTAACACTAGTTGTCTAGTTTTGTATAAAAGTCAGGCAAAATTAATTTTCATTTTTTTTATTTAAACATTTCGTCTAAGAGTAAGACGAAATTACTAAAATAATGACATGTGTCCCATATTTAAAAAGAAATAAACAAAAAGTTCTGAATTTAATATTTCGTCTGAATCAAAGATGAAATTATCTTATTGGTCTACGTCTCGACAGAGTGAACAGGCACTGCAAATTGTCTTCTCCTTCTTTCGTCCGTTTGATTTGATGTGGAAGTCATTACCATTTGTTTGAGCGATTTTTGAGAGAGCAAGTGGTTATTTTCTTAATCCATTACAGATTTGTGATTTTATCCATTTTGATTGTCGATTTGGAGTGTTTTTGGACTGGAAGTCTTAGAAACTTGGAAAAACTGCAAACGTTTGCTGGAGAAGAAAGGTCGGGTAGTGGAGAGACGCCATTGCACAAACTGCTAGCGTTTTTGGGGTTATTATTGCCGGAAAAAGTGTGGTTGGCTGGAAAAATCGATAGCAAGTTAGTTTTATTTTTTTGTAAGTAATTTAATTTTTTATAATTCAAATTAAATTGATTAGAAAAATATAGATAGAGTAGTTTAGATTAAAGATTGATTTTAATTTAATTTAGTAATTCTGTAGAAACATAAAAACAATCTTAATTTGTAAAAAAAATAAAATTTTACATGTAAAATTATCATAGTAATTTGAGGTGTAAATTGAAAAACAAATAAAAATAAATTAAATACATTAGATTAAATTATTGAATAATATTTAGAATAGAAAAATAAAAATAGTTGTATAAAATTGGTTGATTAATAATATAATAAATGATGTTTAGAATACATAAAAATTTGAAAATAAAAATTTCATTTTTTAATATTAAATAATATGGAAAAATGTAAAATGATAACTCAATTTATGAATAAAAAACAGTAATAGATAATTAAAAAAAATGATAAAAGTAAAAAAAATAAATGTATTATAATTGACTATATATTAATTTATATTTAAATTCTACTATTAAATATTTAAGATTATAAATAATTAAAAATAAATAATGTAATGACTATTAATTAATTATGATGAAATTGTTTTATTTACTTATGTAAATTAAATGTTTAACAAAAATAAATTTAAATATATAATTTAATTTATGATGAAATAACAATTTTAGTTAGTGAAATAAAATTTTTAGATTGATACTAATTATTTGAGAATAAAAAATGTTGTCATATAATATAATTTTCAATAAAATAAAAAAAGTTAGTAATCTTAAATTATGTCATTAGTTGAAAAAAATATATAGTAAACTTAAAGTAATTAGTTATGGAAAAAAAAAAGGAAAAAATAAATCTCATTTATAAAGGTCATTCATATATTTAGGACTAAGATTTGATTTAGATATTTAATGTAAAAAAATACAAATAATTGAAAAAATGTTAAAATATATGCAAATAGAAACTTTATTTACAATTTTTTTTAAAATTAAGTGTGAATAATTAAAATTGATATTCTTTAGGAGACAATGTTATTAACTTTGTTGTATAATTAATGTTTAAATTTTACTTTTTGACCATGTTGTTTTCCTGAAGATGGCTTCATCTTTAGGACAGAATAGTATTATTCATCCAGGACCAGAGAATCCTTCATTATTACACTTACAAAATATTTATGTGTCTGAACATATTTGGGATGGTCGGGAACATCTCATTTTGAAGGTTAGGAAGAGTCAGTTTATTTCAACTGGTTTGGATGGTGTTCCACAGGAGATCCTTCAACATTTTGAGCTTGCGGGATTTACTGGGATTGCTCATGTATGTCAATTTCTATTAGACCTGCCGTCAGCTGTTTTTTCAAATCAATGTTCTTGAATCTATGATTGAAATTGTTTGCTATATGACGAATGCAATAAACATGATATGCATTAGGAGGTTGCCAACCAATATGTGGGTTTGCAACAGCACTTTTGATGCTTTGATGTCTATCAGATATTAAACATAAACCATACCTTGTCATCACATGCACACGAATCATTGCAAAAAACCATTCCCACGCTGACAAAGTCTCTCCTTCAACAATTGCAAAAGCAATTGGTAGTACACAATTATTTCCATCTTGTGTCGTTGCAATCAACAATGTGTGACGATACTTACCATACAAAAATGTTCCATCTACCTGAACAATTGGTTTGCAATAGTTGAATGCTTCCTTACATTAATGAAAACACCAAAACAATCGCTCAAATACTCTAAATCTGTTATCCTGTTGATGCCCAACAACAAATGGTTTCGTTTCAATCTTATAAACAAACCCTGGAGCATGAAATTACATGTACTTTAACTATCTTGGCAAGGTAGCATATGATTCATCTCAGTCACCAAATATTCTTACAATCGCCTTATGTTTTGCCTTCTAAGCTTTCTTGTATGAAATTTTATATCCAAATTGGCTTGTCATCCTTTCTTGAAATAAACTTATAGGCAATGATGGTTCAAGATTTACCATACCTACATAACAAAAAACAAAACAGGTTAGTCCCTTTATTGTCAAAAGCCTTCACGAAATAACATTTAATGGAAAACTTACCAATGATGCATGAACAAATCAAATCTGAATCTAACTTGGTATGATCTTGAGATATTGTTGGGTTGAGACACGTATGCTTACCCCCACACCTTGTTATTTTCTACTTTGTTGCATTTTTAAGCAATGATGCTCTTATTTTCCAAGGACAACCATTGTTATGGTTTAAACACCTCACATATAACTTTGTTGATTTTGACTCAACAATATAATAACTTTGATGTATTTTCATTGCATGTTATTTTAAGGCATTTTTCACTTCCTCTTTCGATTCAAATAATAAACCCACATGTAACGCATCTCCAATAACCCATGAATTGTCATCACTAATTTCTTCTGCTTCAATTTCTTGGTCTGGGTGGTCCCAATTAATATAATTGTAGTATGGACTTATATTCCAAAAAAGTATTTCACCTACAACTATATATAAATAGTAAATATTCATCCATAAAAAATAATTTATTTAATCAATATACTTTATAAATAATACCTCCAACACTTTCTTGTTGTAAATTTAAATTAGAATCAAAATCACCATCTACATCTGTGTCCGATGAGCTGTCTAACAGAATATGTCCTTCATCAATGTCATCATAATCACTATTGACTTCATCTTCATCTTCATAATTGCATAATTCTGCACATCCTTCAAAATACATACACTTATTCAATATGTGTAGTCATTAAAAATAAAATAAAATTAAAATTATAGTTTAATTTATACCTTCTGTAATATTTATATTTGTCATTTCCATAAGGTTAGGCGGTGACATTGATAAGCTTAAGTTCAACATATTTGACCCACCTCTTGAACTCTTACCAAATGCAATCTGTACATATAATTCAATAACAGTTGTAATACTTTGTTGTTGATACGCACTAATCATACAATCAATGTCTTCATCATCACATATATCCAATGCAGTATATTGTTTAGCGCTTGAATCAACTATAAAACGAAAAATTATTCTAGATATGAAATTATTATTACTAAGATTCAACTTGTCATGAATCTTTTTTTTCAAATTCATAAAACTTATCCTTCTTCTTATCTTTATTATTTTTTTGTTACCTTCAAATGTCACACCTTTGTTTCCAACAACAATTTTTTCATTCCAATATACAATAATAATAATTTCACTCATCCTGCATTTATAAAAAACAAAAATAAATATCAATAAACAATTTTAACTATACTTATTAATATAAATAATAAATTATTAAATCTTTATTAACATACACAAACATATTACAACATTTATATCATTTTATATTATAAATAATTTAATAGTTTATATACATATTTTACATATATAAAATAAATTCTTACAACAAATATAACATCATTTTTATTTATTACACAAGTTAATATTAACTATCTCCTAACTTTTATATTTTTTTAATAACATTTAAATAATTACATTTTCATTTTAACATTCATACTAATATATTTACTAAATATTCATAAATTTTAACTATCTCTATTTATTTTATTAATTAAAAAATTATAATTTTAATAAAATATTAATAACAAAAAAACCCATAAAATATCTAAAATCTGGAGAAGAACAAGTCTTGGAAAGTTTGGATACACTTCAATTTCGTTGCCTATGTGCATACATAATATACTAAATGGCATGCTGGATTTTTGGGGGCAACAACAGGCGAGGGACCGGGGGTAATTGGCAAGATTGTTGCACGTTGCATAATTTTATGATTTCGTCGAAGATTGAGACGATTTGTAAGTGATTTCGTCCAATGTCAAGACAAAATTAACAAGATTGGACCACGTGTCAACATCCAGTGGTTTCGTCCAAAATTCAGACGAATTTACCGACATAAGACACGTGTCAACATCCTACAATTACGTCCCAGTGACAGACGAAATTAACAAGTACTGTTTCGTCTCACTTTTAGACAAAATGCTTAAATAAAAAAAAATAAAAATTAGTTTCATCTGACTTTTATACGAAACTAGTGTTAAGTTGGCAAAAATTTATCCCAGACAGAGAAATTGTTTAAATTTTAATTTATTTTGGTACTTTATTTTTAAAAATATATTATTTTAATCTTTTAGCCAAAATCGCGTGGGTGGATCATGGGGGCAACTTTAATCAAACTATAAAAATAAACATTTAAATTCATATTAAGTCATTAATTCTCCAATAATCCATGTTTATTTATATGCAATTTATGATTGTATTAGAATTAACAAAAATGAGAATTTTCTCTTTCCATTTAGTTTGTTTACATAATTTACGTGTAATATATAAAATAAAAATAAAGTGTAAATAAATATTACAAGAAGAAAAAATAGCATATAAGCAATGTAAAAAACCATTTTAAAGGGGAGGAAAAATTGATTTATCATATTTCTTTCTCCTCAGAGGCCTGGTGTCTCAAATACAGCACTCTTAATTTTCTAGCTTCTATCTTTACTCGTATGGTGGTTTCCCATCACTTGAGCCTCTATGATAGCCGCAAAAGGAAAAATTAAATGTCTCTCGTTAATACATCCCTAGTAGAAAATCATAAGGGTGCCAAAGAAGCATTTTTTTCCTTTTGAGAAAATTTAAACTTTGGCTTAATGTCAAGACTATATTTGATTACTCCGTCAGATCACCAGTCACCAGGAATTCGGTGTGAACACTGTATATTGCTAATTAAATTTTCATTAACTAAATATGTTACAGTTGGAAAAAAAATAAAATAACGAACTATCATAAAAAAATATTAGCGTTAGTTTTGCTACACAAAAAAGTCCAGTGCATGAAAATCAAACGTGGTGTTGGTTTTCCTCGAAAACTCTAGAGAAAAGCTTTTAAGTTCTCCAACCAATGCGGGTGCCCCACAATAAAAAACACCTGAAAATAATTGAATACATTAAAAATAAGTCAAGCAAAGGTATGATGATATGAATTTCAACAATTAAACTAAGAGCAACATTAGTACTTACCGACTCTTTGGCTAGGATGTTTGAGGGCAATATGTTTAAAGACACTAAGCCAATTAGGTCTAGCAAAATGTGTCTTGACCCTTGTGCCAGAAACTATATCCACACCATTTTTGGCATAGTGGAGGGATTGAAGCATTGTAATCAACGCTGATCGAGCATCTCCTTCCTCATACACACTTGTGCAATAGTTATGAAGTTCGATTATTCCATCCTCGTCATATTCAACAACATCATCCATCACACCCTTAAACCATTCAAAGGAACCTTGTTCACGAGTAATCCAATAGAAATAGGCCTGCTTGATGGCAAAACCTTTTCTCTTGTCCTTCACTCCATTTTCTACCATTCCTTCTTCTACGTCTTTCTGTTGTTTCAAATTGTATAGTATATCCTTGAGTATGCTAATTTTGGTGGTTTGATAGTAAAATCATGGGCCATTTTTAGTAATTTCAATATTTATTAAATTAATAATTAATTAGTTTAATGAATATATATATATATTGATTTTATAAATGAAAATGACTTAATTATATGATAATTAAGACAATCATGTTTCAAATGATTATTTATATATGTATACACCATATAAATAGATTATTTGTATTTTTAAGTCATCGTCTAATCATGAATTATTATGTTATCAAAAAGTGTTAACTTTTGCAACAATTAACTACTTAAAAAGTTGCATTTTTTATTTTTTTCTTGATTGATAATGGAATATATATATATATTAAAATTAATTTAAAATAAATAAATATATTAACCGTGTGAAGAATATTTTTTATTATCTAATTATAAATTATTATATTATTAAAAATTATTAATTTTATAATAGTTATCTTAAAAGTTATGCCTGTAATAATTTATAATTAATTAATAGTTTAAAAAATTATATTCATAATATATCAAAATAAAAATAAATATAATATGACTCATGTTTTTTTAAATTTTTTTAATGTTTTTTTTCTTTAAATACGAGGAAAAAATTGAAGGAAACTATAGTTCTATTATTTTCTTTTTCTTTTTTTCATACACTAACCTTTTTAACAACTTCTGCAGTGATTCTTCGGTCGGCATTCTTGTCCACCCTGGCATGGATTATAATTATTTAAGGGTTATTTGGGACGAAGTTTTTTTTTTTGTAAGGAAAGGAAAAAAAGAGAATACATATTTTAATCTTAAATTTAATAAATTATATATTTTTGTGATATAAAATCAATAATTAATATATTAAATTAATATAAATTTGATGCATTAATTTTTTATTTTACATAATTTATTATAAAAAAATTATTAACATTACCACCTCCCCCTTTTTGTTTTCAAAATCTTTTTTTTTTCAAACGACCTCTTATGTTTATTTGTTACTAGAGAAAGTACAGAGAAAAAAATAATTATCATTATATTTTTCTTGTTTTTGAGCACTATAAAAATAAAAGAGAAAGAAATAACTCTCCTGCGACCCATATAAAATATTTTCTCCAAAGCATATTATATTTATGATGATTGATAATTAGGTTCTGTTTTGAAATACAATATTTTATATTTGTGATTTTTCTCTAGTTCTTATTTTAGATATTTTTGTACCAAAGTATATTATTATGAAGTCAATAATTGTACGATGATCATGCTAGATAAGCAAAAAATGGAATGTGAAGTTTTTTTTTTCTTTTCTTGCAAGGCACAAATCTCAGAGATTCAGACCGTAATCTGAGTAGTGTAAGGCATTTTAGAGAATTAAGAACTTTAAAGAGTTTATTTGAGAGTTTGAAGTAACAATGAAATTATTGAAAAGGTAGAAGAGGAAAAAAAAAAGAGAGGTTAATACAAAAACTTCTAAAAGTAGTAGTCTTACATGTGAAAGAAGGTGTCGAGGCTTGATTCTGTAATTTGTTGCCAAAATTGGTGCAGCTGATGCTTGGTTATGTAAGCTTATGTTATGTCACCACCACGGCAAAATGCGTCAAATAACTCGTTGGCAAATTCTCTTGATTGCAACATGCCTACATGTGATTAGATAAATAACGGTGAATTCTGCATCCATTGTTATGTATGATTAGTTTCACTGAATTTCTAGAAAAGTGAGGAATTATCTAGTTTATAAGAAAAAAATTTATTAACCTTTTGGGGAGTTTTAACCCACGTACCCTGCTTTTGTTATATTTTATGCTCGGAATTTCATTACATGAAAAGTCCACTGCAATATGTTATTTCAATGTGTAATTAACAAATTTAGTTGTTTTGATAAATAACTTCAAACACCAACCTAGTTTATCAATGTGTAAATACTTAAAATTTGCGACGCGTCAACTTTAGCTTTTTAATTTAAATATATTTTTATAAGTTTTATTTTCAGTTCTTCCAATTTTAAGTTTTTTTATTAATAACTACAGGGCTCGTTTTAAAATAATGACAAAAACAACACGAGACCTAACATGAAGTCAACATATGTATACGAGCTTATGGGTTTAACCAATAATTAAAAAAAAGGAAAGGCTTACGCTTTTGTGTCTAAATGATATCAATTCAGACTTTTTCATACAATTGATTTGCCCTCTTGAATGCAATTGCATCACAAATTGGGAATACGACACGAACAAGGTCTTCCACGAAGGCAATTGTAGATGTCAAAACCAGATCATTATCCATAGATGTGCATGTTATTGTTAGTGTGACACTTTCAATCCCCTTTCCCTTCATTTCTCGATCATATATAATGGGTGTGATTGTCTCAAATGGTTAGGTTAGGAAAGCGGAGTCTAATCACATTCCTCTAATGGTAAAAAAAATCGACATCCTTCTTAACAAACAGTATATAACATACTTGAAAGTTGGAACCAAGAAAACAACCGGCAATAAACATTTGAAAGTGAAATCATAAAATATTTGCATCCATAAACATTTGTTAGTAGGACTCTTGGTCCCCTACTATACTAGCCCATCTCTCTTCTTTAGTGGGGTTGGAGAAATCTTGTGGAATCACCCGAAGAGAGTTAGCCAAGCCCAACAAACGGGACCCACTATCCATTTCTACGTTGTTTTGATTAGATGACTTTTGAACTACATTTTGTAGTTTTAAAAAAACATAGATGACTTCTCAGCTACCAAAATGCTTTACCCAGCTGCAACGATCAAGACTCAATTATCATATCCTGAGCTTTTGGATCCAGAAATTAACACTCCAAAGGGGAGTAGGCTACAGTGCTTAAGTGAATAGCTTCCATGTATGGAATGAATTTATCGCTGCTCGTAAGTGTTATTATCACCCTTATTTAAGCATTTTTTTTTTCAAATATTATAACCATATTAATAATAAAAAATTATTTAACTGACAATCTATACTTTCCATATAATTTGTGACAATATATATGGGTTTAAATTGCATGTAAGACAAAAGTCTTAAGTCAAGTTAAAGGGAAAGATACAGTGTCATGTATGGTGGAATTGATTATGGTGAGAACTAAGAGATTGAGTGCACTAAGAAGGAAGTAAAGAACCAATGCAACAGCCAGGTTCGTGGATTCCTTGGAGTGGCATTAAAGACACAGTCCTGGATCTTCTTCAGCATAACCTGCACCAGCCGTATCTGCTTTTCTTTTGTCTCATTAGATAAAGTAAATTAATGTGACAAAAAGAAATTCAGATTTCAAAGAAGAGAAAGGTGCATTGATGGATTGAGAACTTTCGATTCTGAGGCTCACACCATGATTTTCATCGTTACCATATTGATGTTCCTATCATTGCAAAGAACCCACATTTTGACTGTGCATGCAGTGTTGAATGCAGCAGAAACCTTCCATGTCCACGACCCTTCAAAGATCTATTTCACCGAGGAGAATCATCAAGAAAATGAAAACCAGATTAAGAAAATGTCAGGAATAGAAGAGAGTGAAAACAAGCAAACTTTCATGGTGGAAAAGTTTAGAACTTTGCTTGGACTCAACAGATTCCACTCAAGAGGACCAAGTTATGACAACTCCGACTTTGTTTCCCCATCACATTCTCCTCCACCCAACCCAGAACCTAAGGCTCTAGCTCCAGCCCTGCATGTTCTCCTTCATTCCCACCCTCCAAGATATGACTCTCACAAGAAACAGCGACTTAACAAGGTTCAACATGGAGATAGAGCTAGAGTTAAAAGAACACTAGTGGCTGTTTTAGTATCTGGTGGAGTTGCCACGTTAATTTGTGCACTTGGGTGTTTCTGGGTCTGCGGAAAATTCAGAAATCAGAAAAAGAAACCCAAGAGGACAATTCCACTCTTTAGCAAGAAAGGAAGAACTAGAGGTACTTACCAAAATTCATCAAGAAATGTGAGTTTGAGCTATGAAAATATTTTTAGTTTGAAACAAACTTGTGAGAGATCACAAAGTAGCATTTCAAGTCATAGCTCCCCAACATGTACAATTTATGAGAAGGAGATAGAGTCATGCCAAGAACAAGAAGTAATTAATCCAGAATATGAAAATGCTAGTAGTTCTTCCACAAAGGAAATTCTCTCTGTTCACGAGGATTTGGAGTCCGTGAAATACGAATATAATGGATGCAACTCTTGCTTTGGAGATTCAGATAACGAAAGTTTTCATTCATGTGTTGATTCACATTCACCAATTCTCGTATTTTCTAATGCTTCATCTGGTAGTCTAAATGAAATATTGTCCCTCTCCCCAAGAAATTCAATTTTGTCATCGACTTCAAAGGTAAAATCTAGCCAATCACCATTCAGTCCCAAACAGGAAGGGCCAAGAAAGATTGAAACTTATTTTCAGTGTCCACAATCCTCTACTTACCCTCCACCATCTCCACCACCTCCACCTTTACCACTACCTCAACAACTGGGTAAGGATGGAAACACCCTCCCAAAACTCAAACCCCTTCACTGGGACAAAGTAAGAGCTAACCCAGATCGAATCATGGTTTGGGATAAGCTACAAACAAGCTCATTTGAGTAAGTTCTTCAATCACAAACACTAGCAATATCATTTACTTCACTTTTCTGTTCCATTAGATCCTCTTAATATGACATGATCATCACCACATCAGATTAAAAAATATATCATTATTTATTTGATAAAAAGAGTGTTTTTTTTTCTTTTTAACGTGACCATATAGTTTTATTTAATAACTTAGAGAATTTAAGTTTATTTGTATTTTGTATTTCTTAGCTTAAGCACGTGATGAATTTTAATCAGGTTGGATGAGGAAATGATGGAGGCACTTTTTGGTTACAATCTACAAAATTCAATGAAAAACGATGAAACAAAGAGCAAAAGCCCATCACCAATGAAGCACGTACTTGAGCCAAAACGGCTACAGAACATAACAATACTCTCCAAAGCTCTGAGTATGACAGCTGAGCAAGTTTGCGAAGCCCTAATACAAGGTAAATGTCCTATATTGTAAGCATTATTTCCCACATGATAAAAAATAACCTTTAGGAAGGAAAATTCTTATTCAATATCCGTGTTAGAAATGATAAATGATAATCGTCCTTAAACTCAATGATAAATTAATTATCCTATTAAAAATTAACTTATAAAACAGGGAAGGGTTTGTCTTTGCAACAACTAGAGGCACTGCTGAAAATGGTACCCACGAAGGAAGAAGAGGCTAAGCTCTTAACTTATAAAGACGTCAATGAACTGGGGTCAGCCGAAAAATTTGTGAGAGCAATGCTAAGCATACCATTTTCCTTTCAACGAGTGGAAGCCATGCTTTACGAAGAGACTTTCGAAGATGAAATTGTTCACCTCAATAACTCTTTTTCAGCGATAGAGGTACCCACATATATATTTTACCATTTACAAATAAAAGTTTATACATAATGTGACATGAGTGGTCTCAAAGTAAAATATTTAAACGCATGTCACGTTAACAAGTGATAATAAAATATTTTTAAGAATTTGAAAATAACTAAAGACTATTAAAAACATAATTTATCCTGGGATTTTTAGTTTCTGATGTTGTGAATTTGTCTCATAAGGAAGCGTGCAAGGAACTAAGGTCAAGCAAGCTCTTCTTGACATTACTGGAAGCAGTGCTCAAAACGGGAAACCGTATGAACGTTGGTACAATAAGGGGAGGTGCCAGAGCATTCAAGCTCGATGCCCTTCTCAAGCTTTCTGATGTTAAAGGAACCGATGGTAAAACCACATTGCTCCATTTCTTTGTTCAGGAGATTGTTCGGTCAGAAGGAATTAGAGCTTCATCAGATCATAGCATTAAAGGGAAGAAAAGTGAAAACAGAACAAAAGAAGAAGAATATAAAAGAATAGGACTTGAACTTGTTTCTGGTCTAAGCACTGAATTAAGTAACGTTAAGAAAACAGCTACCATTGACTTAGATGTTCTTTCAAGATCTGTCTCAAACCTATCCGATGGAATGGCTAACATGCAAAAGCTGGTGAAGGGGCAGTTGCATGAGGATAAAAAATGTGAGAGCTTTGTAAATTCTATGAAGTGTTTTCTGAATTATGCAGTAAAAAAGGTGCACGAATTGCAAGGAGAGAAAGATAGAGTCCTGACACGCGTGAAGGAAATAAATGAGTATTTTCATGGGGATGTGAGTAACGAAGACCCAAATCCACTTGGAATCTTCATGATCGTGAAGGACTTTCTAGACATGCTAGATAATGTGTGTAATGAGCTTAGAAGGTTTATATAGACAGAGTAGAGACCCTCGTGTGTTTGTATAATATGCAAAATGATAGGATTTGGAATTATGCTAACACTTTCATTATTCTAATGTTGTAAAATAACTTATATGCATATATTTTGTATACACGTGTCTCGAGTAATTAGCTTTCTATTATCTTATTTTTGTATTAAAAAACATGTTTCCTTATCGTTACTTGATCATACCTTTCGTTTTGTGAAGTTTTCCAGTTCTGTATATTTGTTTCATCAGTATAAGTCTGTTATTCATGCGCTAATTCCACTTGAATTTCTTTAACTTTGTTCATGTTTCGTGCTTGAAGTTTGAAAAGTTAAATTTAAGGAATCTCAATCCTCAACTTTTTATTGTCTTCTTGGATTATATAAAACACTGCCAGAAGTTTTTGAAATTGTCACCTGTTAAATTAAAATATGTCTAGAGAGGTTGTATTTTCAGATTTAAAGTAACTACTTTTGCTTCCCTTATGATGCTCATTAATTCAAAGCTACTTATTAAATTATTTTATAGTTTAGTAGAAAAATAATCTTCAATTTATTACTTTTAAGATAAAACATCTTATGTTTTATAACAAACTCAATCCAAACGGCAAATATTTTATCGTCTAATAGGTTTTAACAATTTTATAATTTTATAATTCGAATAAGTATTTATATAATCAAAATAAATTTTATAATTTAATTTATAATATTAAGATGCGTTTAAATTTATAAATATCTTATGCGTATACAAAGGCAAACTTAATCACTTTAAACTTGCGTAATATGAACTATAAATTTCTACACTCTGCTGCTTTAGCTCCACATTGTTTCAAACGCAGCGAGGTATAGGAATCGAATCAATCGATTTCAATGGCGAAGAGCAAAATAACGGCGGCTTTGCTTCTGTTTGGGTTCGTGCTACTAGTGGAGATACCCACTTGGGAGGAGAGGACTTTGACCACAGCCTCATGGACTATTTCATCCAATTGATAGAGAAACAACTGATACGAGATGCCTTTGATGGGAAAGAACTGAGCAGGGGTATCAACCCTGATGAGGCTGTTGCAATTGGTGCTGCTATTCAAGGTGGAATACTCAGCAGTGAAAGAGGGGAAGAAACCAAAAGTACTAACCCAATCTAATCAGGGTTCTAATTATTACCTTACCTATCAATTGGTTGGACTTAGTGTTGTAATTAGATTGAAACTAACCCTTGATTCTTTATCAGTATCACCAATGATAAGGGGCGTTTGAGCCTTAAAGGGATTGATAGGATGGTGAAGGAGGCTGAGGAAATGACTGAAGAGGACAAGAAGGTGAAGGAACGAATTGATTAAGGATTTAATTAGATAATTGAACTTCATTACTTTCAAAAAATTTGTTTATATGCCCACCCTAGTTTTAGCTTAGTTTTTTCTTAATTATTAATATTATATAATACAACAAAAAAATAATTACAATTTTTTTCTTTTTACGTTGAAGAATTATAAATGTAGAAACAAAGTTGACCAACGAAGAGAGGCACTTCTTAAGCCATGCAATGAAATGAATAACGATTTGTGTTTGCATGTGAAAATCCGAACGTAGAAATAACTGAAATAAGTTGAAAACGAAAGGAAGCATGAAAAGTATGGCTTGTGGGGCCATGGGCTTTTGGGCCTTGGCATATTGTAGTGAATGTTTCCTGCTATCTCACACCTATTTGTTTCTGTAACTTCCGCATTAGCGACATTTTGACGTAAGTCTATTTTTTCTTGGCTCGTAGAGGTGAAGGGTGCGCAAGATTGACGCCGTCGTTGGTCATGGTGCATTTCATGGTATCGTTATTTTATGCGTTCATCGTTTTATGCAATTTTATTTTTGAAGTGAGAGACTCTTATTGGGAGATGAATGCGTCGCAGCGAAGTTTTGTAGGTTTCAGCAGAAGCTCTGCTGTTAGAGCTATGGCAATCGCGACTTTCGGTTCTGCTATTCTTTGGTCCAATAACAATGCTCGTTTCAGTGAGCATCTCACCCTCTATTATTAATTTATTGCTTTACAGGGTGGGGTCCTTATAGTTTGAGCTATATGTCATATGCCTCCCCTTTAAAATTAACAAGATTTGAAGTGTTCTTAAAGAAATTGTATAAGAATTTTTAAAAGTAAAATTGTGATTTTATTTCTGTATCTGGCTGAAATTTAATGTTAAGCTTAGTGTATTTTGAGAAAGAGAATATTTGTAATAACTTGAAAGATTCAATTAATCAAAATTTTGAATAAAAAATAAGAATTTAAATGTTTTAAATAAAATTTGAGAAATAAATAAATTTAAATAAAATTTGAGAAATTTAATTAATTTTAACAAAAATTAAAATCATATATTTGTCAAAGTAAAGAGAAAAAAAAATAATTAAACCTAGTTAAAAGTTATTCTGGTGATGAAGTTTTATTACCTATTCTTTACTTAGTCCCCTGAAAAATCAACTAATTCAATACATTTTGCCTATTCTCCTATTTCTTCATACTCGATATTTCTTTCCTCAACTTTCTATCCGCATATACTAGATTTTAGAAGTGGTATATTTCATTTTCTAGCAAACTCGCATTTTACGGTTTTTAGACAATATTACATATAAATTTTCTAGTCTAATTTCACTTTATTTTACGCTTGACCAGTTCCCACTTCCTTATACTTTCTACACTTGGAGCTTGAGGATGTTTGTCTGTGCATTATCAACCTCCTTAGGCCAAAGCATTTTTTGGGAAATCTGGGAAAATCCATTGCTTTGTATAGACAAACAGGCTCTTCTTACATTTCGATGGGTAACTGCAAAAGAATTGAAGTTACCACTTATAAAAAATGTATTGGTAGAAACTTTTTCTTCAATAAACTCTTACAAACATAAACATAGGATACAATCCTGTTTCTACAGGAGCATACTTTAGTAATATTGTCATTTAGAGTCTTCGAGGGAGCGTTTATAATTGTGTAGAATTTGCTGTTGCCCTGAACCATAAAACATGTATCCACACTTCCTTTGGTGGGTTGATATTTGTCAATTAAAGAAATGTCATTTCTAAATTTAGAAGTGATATTGATTTTCTACTAATGTGGTTTCAAATTTAGAAGCATCAGTTACAGCGTGGGTGCCCGAGCCATTACAGGATTCCCTGTGGTTGACACGTCCAGTTCTGCATGATTTGTCCCCTCAATGTTTATCTTTTTCCAACCAATCTGGTGTGTCCTTACTTTGTTTTGAACTTGGTATATGCGTGTGTTATGTAAATGTTTGTATTACAATTCGAGCTGAAATATTGTAGGAATACAGTCGCTGTTTTCGTTTGGCATATTCAAGGGAGCTTCTGGGGCTGTCCGTGATGGATCAAAGCCAAGTGATAGTTTTGGCAGAGATACTATTGCAAATGCAGCTGCTAAAGTTGGGCCTGCAGTTGTTCATATTGTAGTTCCAGAAGCTACATGCTTTGGTATCTTTTATCCTTGAACGTTTAATTTATCATGCCCCTTTTAGTTTATTCTGAGCATTAGCCATCCGCCGCATAGATTTCTTTTGTATTAGGACTGGAAGGGTTGTGGGTTCGGGAACAATCATCAACAAGAAAGGGACAACCTTGACATGTGCTCATGCTGTCGTTAATTTTGAAGGCATGATAAGTTCATCCAAAGGGAAGGTTTGTTTACACGCTGTGGCCTATCTCTCAAACATATAATTGCCATAATGTGTTGGTAAACTTGTTATAGCTTTATATGATGCAAAATTTGAGATCTTGTAAAAGTTGGACATTTCTCAAACACATCCCATGTCTATTTACATTAAACCAGCTTCAAGTTAGCATGACAGGATTTTTTTTAAGAAAACGCTAACCTCGGTCTACACCGAGTTTAAGCAACAAATAATAATAAGATTTCATTAAAATTATAGGTGTTTATTAATATTTTTAACTTTAATACAATAAATGCATTCTTTCTTGAAAAAATCAACTTTTAGATGTTTAAACATAATCCTAAGAGATGAGGTTAACAATACCTTTCTTCTTAAGATGTAGATTTATGTTGAAGATGTTACAGACCTTGCTTGGCTTTGGATGACACAACTTTCTAGGTGATGGTTTGAAAATTCATTAATCTATTCCCAACAAAATAGGGCATTCCTAAATTATAGCTGTTAGGTATGATTGCTTACACAACTGAATAAAAATGATTCTTTCATTCATATGGTTTGTATTACTATCATAAACACTCTTTAGTTGCAACTTGAATGTGTGATGATTTATTACTCAGTATATACAAAATAATGACAGGTGAATCACTCTTTAGTTCTATTTTAGTTGGTTGGCTGAATAATTGGTTCTTAATATGCTTAACTTGAATGTGTAAATCTCTTAACTAAAATACTTCTACCCACATATCATTTTAGACTATTGATATGCAAGTTTTTGTATACATGGCATTTTATTTTTCCCCTTTTCGTTAGTTTTTGGCTTCATGAAGACATCAGACACGAATCTTAAAAATTACGACTCTGGAAATTTGTTTCTCGGTCTTACAATTAATGGCTGATCTTAAAATATCAACCATACTACAGATTGAAGTCGCTCTTCAAGATGGAAGAACATTTGAGGGGATAGTGATAGATGCTGACCGGCATTCAGATACTGCCATTGTGAAGATCAATTCTGAAACCCCGTTACCAGAAGCTAAACTTGGTTCTTCAAGTAAGCTTCGTCCAGGGGACTGGGTAATAGCAATGGGCTGTCCACTTTCTCTTCAGAATACTGTCACTGCTGGAATTATAAGGTATGAAGAAAAAAAATTAGGCAATTCCGATTTGAAGCCAAGTTATTTTGTAATAAGTTATGCCATTTCATATGATGATTTGACAGATTTTGGAAGCCAAAGCTCTATGGTTGTTTAGTGCAGTAACCTATCTTTTGAGTGTGAAACTTGAGGTGTTTTAAAGAAAGAGGCACTTGACTGTCTTTTTGACTAATCAAATCACTTCTTGTATCGTTTCTTGCATAGCTGTGTAAACCGCAAAAGTACTGATTTGGGTGTTGGTGGCATTCCGAGAGAGTATTTACAAACAGATTGTGCAATGAATGCGGTACTTCTTCCTCTTTTTCTCCCCTTGAATTATCCGCCTACCCCAATTAGATTTGCATGTGGTATAAAGACTAAATTTGAACTTCGATATCTGTTCTGTCTGCTTGGCATGTTTTTATTTGCTTCTATGTCATAGGGAAATTCTGGAGGGCCTCTTGTAAACATGGATGGAGAAGTTATTGGGGTCAACACCCTGAAAGCGGCTGCTGCTTTTGGGTTGAATTTTTCTGTACCAATCGATTATGTGTGTAAAATTACAGAGAATTTCATGAAAAGTGGGTACGTTATTGGTTTCATCCGCTCTATTTCATTTGTAAAATATTGTTATCTTTCCATTTTGGCGTTTATGTGACATTTTACTCGGAAATTGTATGCAATTTTTTACATTTTTGAAAATTAATATTCCAAAATCAAATAGTGTTTTTTTTTTGTTAAATTCATACTTGCGTAGTTGCGCTCTTTTATTAGCATGTTTGGTTTTAAATTACGACGTTGTTGGATGCAAATTTACTTTTAACACTGTTAGTTATAGTTTGTGCGTTTTTTACAGGCTTTGGAATGTGGTTCCAATATGCGCTATATTTTAGAATAAATCAGTAAGCATTATATAATGTTGTTCAGGAGATTTGTTCAGCCTTGGCTTGGGCTACAGATGCTTGATCTCAATGAGATGATTATTGCGCAGCTTTAACTGATAAATGCTTCATTCCCTGATGTCGATGAGGGCATTCTCGTTTTAATGGTATGCCCTAATTAACACTTTCTATGGATGCTACTTGTGTGGTCCTTTAGATTCTTATTTGTGTAAATTCAAAGCGATGGATGTTTAGAGCAAGCTTAGGTGGAATATTAATGCTTTTATTTCCTGCAGTTTCTGCCAAAGCAATATTATGACAAATATGTAATTCTCCATGTGAATAGATTTTGCTCTTAGTCTGGGTTGTTCATCCTCAGTTTTTTAGGTATGTCATCGTTTCTTTTCTGGGACAACATGCTTTGCATTCAATGCAAGGCAAACGTTGGAATACTATAAATTAGCTGTTTATTACAAGGGAACCTCAATGTTTTTGGTTAGGTAACCCCTGGGTCCCCTGTTGATGGTGCTGGTTTCCGTCGTGGTGATGTTATCATTGAAGTTGATGCGAAGCCTGTTAAAAGCTTGATGGAGGTAGTGACTTGTTTTACAAATCGTTATTTTAAATTTTTAATCTGATTTTATTATTGAAGTAGGATGATTCCGTAGCCAAAGCATGCACAGGATTTGTTGTCAATTTGGAGTTCTCTATTGAAGGCCGAATTTAAGGTTTTTTTTTTTTTTTTTTACTTAAGAATTTTAGTCAAAATTTAAATGAATCCGTTGGTATCTAATTGAAAATAAATAAATTTAATGTAATAGTATAAAGTATATTTTACAGAAATAATTTGAATATATATTTAATACAGTTAATATATAGACTAGATGTCCAGTTTCATTTTTATTTAGCTAAAAATAAATTTATTTAAGTAAAAAATGAATAAAATAACAAAAAAAATTTATACAAATTTAGTTTAAACGAATTTTATAAATTTGTTTAAATAAATTATGTTAGCTTAAGCGAAAAAAAAATTATATAAAACTTGATAAATTTTGCTTTAAAAGAGAAAAAAGAAAAAATTAAATTCAAAGTGAGGATGTATACAATACAATAAAATTAATTTTTTTAATTTATGGATAAATTTTGAATTCAAAATATTTGTAAATATTTCAAACACTAATAAAATATAAAAAATAAAAAATTTCTTCTAACTTTACAAATCATACGCCCCTGCTTTTATTTTAAATTTGCAATATTTGCTATTCAAGTATGATCTTAAAAGCATTTATTTTAATTATTGAATGAACAACGTTTTTTAAAATAATTTTAATATTTTTCTTGCAAAACAAAAAATGAACCTTTGAACATCGTCTAAAATGATTAAAAAAAATGTCCAAAGGCGCCTGCAATATTTGAAGGAAGAAGGTATTAAGCAACTGTTGAGCATTCGACTTCCTTCAGTGACGTAATTTGATGCTGTATTAAACAACTACGATCAAGCAACACCGTTAGACCTAAGGCAAAAACACGGATAGCCAGCGTGTCACACGAAGCAGCCGTCCGATTAAGCTAGCCACAATGCAACCAAGGCAAAAAGTGACTTCCAACTTCAACATCTTTTAGATTGGATCTGACAGCCACAAATCGCCATCGTGGCACAACCCTAACCGTCGGATCCGACCCCTAGAGACAAACGGGATCTCTAGCATTTGGCATTTACTGTTAGTATTAATACCACGCGCCCTTTCCTCTCACTAACTCCACTCACTTTCAATTTCAGTTTCAATTTCAAATTCAAAATAGAGATTAATCTGATTCCACACATTCCCTCCCAACGAACCGTTTTGCTTCGTTCTCGGATCACACAACAATGGAGGCCACCAAGGGTGCTGGTGGAAGAAGAGGCGAGAGAAAGAAGGCCGTTTCCAAATCTGTCAAAGCTGGCCTTCAATTTCCGGTTGGTCGAGTCACAAGGTACTTGAAGAACGGTCGTTACTCTCGGCGATTGGGAACCGGAGCTCCCATCTACCTCACCGCCGTTCTTGAATATCTTGCCGCCGAGGTACTTCTTCACCGTGCAACGAAATAAATAAAGTTTCGTGTTTGCACTGTCGAAATCCTAACATCGAAGTAGATTTTAAGCTAACGAGTTTTTGCGATGGAATGCGATGCAGGTTTTGGAGTTGGCGGGGAATGCCGCACGTGACAACAAGAAGAATAGGATTAACCCTAGGCACGTGTTACTTGCTGTTAGGAATGACGAAGAGTTGGGGAAACTGCTTCAAGGTGTGACCATTGCTAGCGGTGGAGTGTTGCCAAATATCAACCCTGTTTTGTTGCCTAAGAAGAATAAAACCGCCTCTGCCGAGACGTCTTCAACCCCTAAGTCTCCATCTAAGAATTAGATGTGTTCCATTTGTAAAATCTCCCTGTTAGATTTTCTTTTTCTTTTTTCGTGAAGATTATATATCTATATATACAGTTCTTAGTTAGTTGTAGTGGTGTTGCCGAATAGCAACTTCTGTTACCTTATTGGTCACCCTATAGTTCGATCAAACATGACGATGCATAAATGTAGGTTTTTCAATTCATATATGGAAGATGAAGCCTTTTTCGTGATTCGTATTTGTTAACCGCTTATTTGTAATGTGGAATTTTCAGTGGTGGTTTACTCACTTTCCCGGGATTTTAACTGACGTTAGCTTAAAAAAAATGGAAAGGTGAGAATAAATAAAATTCATGTTGGGCCATGGGCTTTTGGGCCTTGGTATTGTTGTCAACGTTTTGTTGATACTGACCTATGACCTATTAATGTAACTTGGGCTTCGGCCCGTGATTTTGCATAAGGTTGGTTTTCATCGCTCGGTTGAGGTGAAGGGCGGGGAAGAGTTAAGCTGCGCCGGTCATGAGCTATTTTCTGGTACCACGACTTGATCTATTCACCGTTTAGCTAATCTAATTGTTAAAATGAAACGCGCTTTTAATCTCTTAATGGGTTATGGAATGCGTGGCAGAGAAGTTTAGGGCGTTTTAGCAGAAGCTCCGTCGTTAGAGCTGTGGCCATCGCTGGTTTTGGTTCTACTATCTTTTTCTCCGATAACAATGCTCGTTTCAGTGAGCATCTATCCCTCTCTATTGTTTATTCATTCGATATTTCGGTGAACGTAGCATAAAGTCATATTACATACTTCCCTTTACTTGGTCCCTTGAGGACCAATTAGTTTAATGCGTTTTCTCTCTTCTCTTATTTCTTCGTACTTCACATTGATTCTCTCCTTGACTAATCTAATGTCTATCTGCATATGCTTGGTTTTAGCGGAGTAGTATATTTCATTTTCAAGCAAATTCCGATTTTATTTTTTTCAGACAAATTTACAAATAAATTTGTAGTCAAATTCCACTTTAATTTTACGTTTGTTCAGTTCCTATTACTTTCTACTCCTGGAGCATAAGAGTGTTTGTCTGTGCGTTGTCAACCTTCTTAGGCTGAGGCAATTTTTTTCTGCTTTGTATAAATTCCGTTGTTACGCCTCGGAAATCTTGCAAGACCCGTTGTTATGTATAGACAAACGGGGTCATTTTACATTTCAATGGGAACTGCACAAGAATTGAAGTTACCTCTTATAAAAAATAATTAAAATAAAAAATGTATTACTATAATTAAAATTACAAACTTAAACATAGGATAGAGTCCTGTTTCTACGGGTGCATACTTTAGTAATATTGTGTCTTTTGGGGTCTATACTTGCGACTGTAAAATTTGCTGTTCCCCTGAACCATAAAAATAGGTATTCACACTTCCTTTAGTGGTTTGTTATTTCTCAATCTAAGAAATGGTATATTCTTTTAATTTGATGTGACAATGATTTTATACTAATTTGGCTTCAAATTTAGGAGCATCGGTTATAGTGCGGGTCCCTGAGCCATTACAGGATTCCCTGTGGTTGACATATTCAGTGCAGCATGGTTTGCCTCCTCAATGTTTACCTTTTCCCCACCAATCTGGTCTGTGCTTACTTTGTTTTGAACTCAGCAAATGCATGTTGGTGTAGATGTTTGTATTACATTTTGAGCTGAAAATTTGTAGGAATAAATGCGCTGTATTCTTATAGAGTCAGTCCTGTTCCATCGTCTGACATATCCAAGGAAGCTTCTGGGGCTGTCCGTGATGGGTCAAAGCCTAGTGAATGTTTTGGAAGAGATACTATTGCAAATGCAGCTGCTAAAGTTGGGCCTGCTGTTGTTAATATTGCTTTTCCACAAGGTGCTCACTCTGGTTCTGATATCTTTTAACCTTGAACATTTAATTTTTCATGTCCGTTTGTGTTGACTGAGGATTAGCCACCCCCGCATAGATTTCTATGGAGCTACTGGAAGGAGTATAGGTTCAGGAACAATCATCAACAAAGATGGAACAATATTGACATGTGCTCATGTTGTGTTTGATCATGGCACGAGAAGTTTAACCAAAGGGAAGGTTTGTCTACATGCTGTGGCTTATCTCTAAAACATAAGATTGCCATAATGTGTTGGTTGATTTGGTATAGCTTTCTATGGTGCAAATATGAGATCCTGTTGAAGTTAGATACTTTTCAAAGACATCTCAACTGTGTTGACATGAAACCAGCTTCTAGCTAGAATGATAGGATTATTTCTTTCAAATGTAGATTTATGTTGAAGGTGTTACAGCCTCTTGCTTGGTCTATGGCTTTGGATGACCACAACTTTCTATGTGATGGTTTAAAAATTCATTAATCCATTCACAGCAAAATTGGGTATTCCTAAATTTTGTCTCTGTTATATTTGATTGCCTGATACAACCTGAATGAAAATGATTATTTCATTTATTTGCAATACCTTAGTATTGCACAAACACTCTTTAGATACAACTTGACTAAGTGATGGTAATACTGTTATATGAAAAATAATGACAGATGAATCACTCTTTAGTTATAGTCTTTGTGCTGTAGTTGGTTGGCTGAATGATTGGTTTTTAATATTCTTAATTTGAATGTGTAAATCTCTTGCTAAAATATTTCTACCTACTATCATTTTAGACTATTCATATGCAAGTTTTTGTACATATAGAATTTTTTTTTTCACATTCTCGTTAGTTTTTTTTGGCTTCATGAATCTAAAAAGTAAAAAATTATGGCTCTGGAAATTTGTTTCCTGGTCTTACAACCTATGAGTGATCTGAAAATATCAACCATTCTACAGGTTGAAGTCACTCTGCAAGATGGAAGAACATTTGAGGGGAATGTGGTAAATGCTGACCTTCATTCAGATATCGCTATTGTGAAGATCAATTCTGAAACCCCGTTACCAGAAGCTAAGCTTGGTTCTTCAAGTAAGCTACGTCCAGGGGATTGGGTAATAGCAATGGGCTGTCCACTTTCTCTTCAGAATACTGTCACTGCTGGTATTGTAAGGTATGAAGAAAAAAAATTAGGCAATAACAATTGTTTTCCTATTTGAAGCCAAATTATTTCGCATTAAGTTTTGCCATTTCATATGATAGATTTTGGAAGCTAAAGCTACATGGTTGTTAAATGCAGTAACCTATTTTGTGTCCATGAAGTTTGTGGCGTTTTAAAGAAAGAGGCTCTTGATTGTCTTTTGGACTAATCAAATTCATTTCTATGATCTGTGCTTAGTTGTGTTGACCGCAAAAGTAGTGATTTGGGTTTTAGTGGCTTGCCGAGAGAGTATTTACAAACAGATTGTGCAACTAATGCGGTATGTCACTGTGTCTGCCGCTTTTTCTCCCCTTGATCTATGCATCGACTCACTTAGATTTGCATGTGTTGTAAAGACTAAATTTTAACTTTGACATCTGTTCAGTATGCTTATATGTTTTTATCTGTTTCTATGGTATAGGGAAATTCTGGAGGGCCTCTTGTCAACATGGATGGGGAAGTTATTGGGGTGAACATCTTGAAAGCGGCGTCCGCTCATGGGATGAGCTTTTCTGTACCAATCGATTCTGTGTGTAAAATTATAGAGCATTTCAAGAAAAGTGGGTATGTTATTGGCTTTATCCGTACTTTTTTATTGCATTTGATGTTTTATCTTCTGGAAATTGTTTACATTCTTTCAGCTTTTGTGAAATTAATATTCCAAAATCAAATATTGATTATTTTCTTCTGAAATTCATACTTGTATAGTTGGTTCTGCTATATTGTAGAATAAATCAATAAGCATTATTTTATGTTGTTCAGAAGAGTAGTTCGGCCTTGGCTTGGGCTAAAGATGCTTGATCTCAATGAGATGATTATTGCGCAGCTTAAACAGAAAGATGCTTCGTTCCCTAATGTCAATGAGGGCATTCTCGTACCAATGGTATGTCCTTAATTAAACCCTTCTATCTATGTATGCTACATGGGTGGTTTATTATCTGGGATAATGTGCTTTGCATTCATCAATGCAAGGCAAGCATTAGAATACTTGAAATTATCTATTTATCACAGTGGCACTTCAATGTATCAGGTAACTCCTGGGTCCCCTGGTGATCGGGCTGGTTTCTGTCCAGGTGATGTTGTCATTGAATTTGATGGGAAGCCTGTTAAAAGCTTGACGGAGGTAGTGACTTAGTTTTTATATTGTTATTTTAATTTTTATTCTGATTTTGTTATTGAAGTTGGATCATTTGGTAGTGATTTGTTGCCCCTTTGGAGTCCACTATTGAAAGCGTTTGGCCGAGTTTAAGCTTTTTTTTTTACTTAGCTTAAAATTAATAGTCATGATTTAAAAGAATCAGTTGGAATCTAATTAAAATTTTTTTTAATGTAATAGTATAATGTATATTTTGCACAAATAATTTGTGGTGTTGGTGCGGAGAATCTTTGAATTGTTGTTTGTACTGAAAACCGCCTGTCAAGTGACACCTGAATTTCTTCATTATGAATTTATGATATTCTTATGTTTATGTTCTCATGAAGATATAAAATTATGACAGGTGATTGAAATAATGGGGGACAAAGTTGGGGTGCCCTTTAAGGTTCTGGTTAAAAGAACAGGTGATAAATTGGTGACTTTAACTGTGATCCCGGTGGAATCCAATCTTGACGTGTAAAAGGCTGTAGCCACAAACGCACCAACTACTGTGATAAATTGGTAGCTTCGACTGTGATGCTGGCGAAATCGAATCTCCATGTGTAAAGGCTGTAGACACATGCACAAAGGAAGGTGCCTGTTGGTGATGTAACGATCTTAATATAAAACTATTTATCGCATTATATTAAATATGGTTAAATTAAAGGGAGAGACTTTTTAAAATAAAAAAAATACGTTATGAAAATTTTAAATTTAAATTAATTAAAAATCTTTAATGTAGAAAAAATTATGATATAATTAGAAAGAGGTCTAACATTTAACAGCATCTTTGTTTAAAATAGTTCTTAGAATAATTTGTTTAAGAATTATAACTTGTATTTTACATTAGAATCACCTTATTTGTTTGTGTTTTCGCATTTTGTTTCCTAGTTATTTGTATGGATAGGCTGCTGATGCATTGCTGCCTTTTCTTATGCACGTCCCCAATTACCATGCGCATTTTGTATATTTACACTTTTAATAATTTAAAATATTATGTTAGTTTTAGAAAATTATGTTTAAAATATGAATTATAAATAATTTAAAATGATTTTTATCTATATATCAAGACATGTCTCATGTTTTGAATAAATTATTTAATATATTTTTTTCTATCAATTAAATGTGTATTCAAGTTAACCTCTTTAAATTTATAGTTTTTGATATAATAACAATAATAATAATTTCAAGAAGTAGTTTATATGATAAGCTAAAAAAATTTACATTTTGTATTTTTGTAAGATACCCAATTACTGTTTATTATCAAGATAAAAAAATAGTATGCCATAAATATATCTGATAGACTCAGTTAAGTTAAAAGATGATAATTTTGATGTGCTTTTTTTAAAAAAAATTAAAATGCTTAATATTTATTTTAATTATATCAACTTATTTTTTAAAAATAAATGATTTTGATCATACCTTTGCATACACATATTATAACTAGTAAAAGTTAAAAATCAAGTCATTATGTTTTTTTTGTACATTTCATATTTTTTACTTTATGATATTTACAAAATAAGAAAATTAAACATTTAAATCATGGAAAAAGAGAACTTATTTCTAAACTATATAGATTACTGTGAGGATAAGTGTTATATTTTTTATTTGATATGAACGCTGACTTGTTATCCTGGACACACAAAACTGCCTTGAATAGCTTGAGAAGCAGCAATAAGCTTGATATTAATTCCACATTAATTAACAATTATTCCTTTCGTGAATGAGTTGATACGTCAAGAGTTTATAATTTCAACTTATAGTGCAAAATATAAAATGCATATAGCCGAATTACCCTAATTTAATATTCCTTTTTTTTAAGATTCGAAGAAAAATAAGGCTTTTCATGAACTGAAAATATTTGTATCGAAGTGATCAAAACTTGATTGCATTGTATAAAAGACCACTTTGTTTTAGTAAAACCATTTAGAGTAACCTAAGGTTTATTAACAAGGCTTCTTCACTCTTCCATTTATACTTCTTTTCCCATAGCGTCTTTTGTTTTCTTCACATATGACCGAACCCACCTTAGCCTTGGGCAAGTTTGTGTCTTCTTATGATCAATAGGAGCTACGCATGCATTCTTCCGAATCTAATTGTCTTGGGTGCGAACTTATTTACCACAATTTTCTTCATTGGCTAAAAGTATTTCTTATTACTACCGATTAAGATTCAAGAACCAAACAATCAGTCACGTGGGCTAAATTGCAAGTCATGTAAATGTTTCTTGGACTCAACGATAAACATGTCAGCCACTGAGCACAAACAGTGACACTATCAATTCATAGATGAAGAGTCATGTGATTAGGTGCATAACTGGAACGTTTTTCTCCCCCATCAAACAAGCATGAAAAGAAGCATTATTTACCTTCGTATTTTGAGGCACGTTTTTCTTTCTTATTCCACCACAGTGAATAAAGCATTTTAATACGAGTTCTAACAAAACCTTCACCTGCGCAAAGAATTTCACTAGGTTTTCTATTAAGTTGTCGGGCTATGGGCTTTTCATGTGATCGTTCCCTCATTTGTCTCTTATCATCGTAATTACGACTCATTCACCCAAAAAATTAAAAAACACGGAATTACGATTCTACCTTTGGTGGCTCTTTGCAGTGAAGAGTGTGGCCTGTGATGAGCAATTTCCAGGCATCGCTTCTTTTTGGTATGCATCCATGTTTGTTTTATGTATTCCATATTCTATTTATAATCTTAAATTGAAACTCGTTTTGAATCTGTGGCAGAGAATGGTTGGGCATTTTAACAGAAGCTGTGTAGTTGGAGCTGCGGCGATCGTTGCTTTTGGTTTGAATCTTCTGTGCTCCAATAACGATAATGGTTACAGTGAGCACATAACCCAATCTAACCTAACACTCTCTTTATTATTTTCAACCTTCCAATGAGATTTTGACTTGTGACGAAACACTGCCTTAACTACATTGTAAAATGCTGTTTTCTCTTTCAACTAAACGTCGTTTTGATTTTTTTTCGTTTTAACTTTACCTCAAATTGTAGGAATGCTTGCGCCGTATTCTTATAAAGTCAGCCCCATTCCTTTGTCCCACATATCTAAGGAAGCTTCTGGTGATGTTTGTGATGGGTCAAAGCCAGGTGATTGTTTTGGAAGAGATACCATTGCAAATGCAGTTGCTAAAGTTGTGCCTGCGGTTGTTCATATTTCAACTCCAGTAGGTATCCAATTTGCCACCTTTAAACTTTTAACGTTTTGAGTTTTCATGTCTCTGAGTTTACTTCGAGTATATGGCATTGACCATATAGATGGCCATGCATTTACAGTGGGACGAGTATGCTCAGGAATAATCATCAACAAGGGTGGTACTATCTTGACATGTGCTCATATGTTTGATCTTCAACGCTACTGGAGGTCCTATGGGAAGGTCTGTCTTTTTGCTGGGGTGTATCGCTCAAACTTATAATTGGAATACTGTGCTGGTAAATTTGTTATAGCCTTGTGTGATGCAAATGAGACTATGTTGTGTTTAGACACAGTTTAATTAAATGCTTATTAAATAAGTTTTTTTTTAAATTATGATTTGTGCCATAAATTTAAATCATGCAACTTATTGGAAAAAGCTGCAAACAACTTAGGCTCATTTAGAAGAGCTTATGGACAATTTATAAAAATAATTTGTGACTTTCAAACAATCCCTATGTAAGATGTTTTAAAAAAGATCTATGTATGATCTTGGACAAGTTGGATGTATGTCAAACATGTCTCAAGTTCATTTACATGTAACCTGCTTCAAGCTTGAGCAATTTAATTATGTTATATAGATTTCTGTTTAAGGTTTTACTGTCCTTGCCTAGTTTATGGCTTTGGATGACACAAAACTAGGGTGGCTTTAAATATGATTTGGGTCAGTTGGCACTTTACTGGTTACAGTCTGATAATTCATCAATCCATTCCCAACAACATAGGGCATGCCTAATCTTAGCTCATTAGTTTTGATTGCCTAACCAGCTTAATTGAAGTGAGTCTTCCGTTTATTTGGGATTGCTTAGTGTTGCATCAGCCCTTCTGCTCATTACAAGAATATATGATGATTTATTACTGAGTGTAAAGAATGATAGGTGAGTCACCCATTTAATTGTAGGCTTCATGCTGTAACTTGCTTGGTTGAATGGTTGGTTCTCAATGTTCTAAACATGACGTGTTATCATTTATTCAAGTGTCTCTCTACCTGCAAGTAATTTAAGACTATTCAAATGTGAGTTTCTGCCTATATGGCATTTTATTTTCCCATTTCTGTTATCATGATTCTGGACACTCGTTTTAAGGTCTTACATTTGAAAGTTGATATTAAAATTTCAGCTATATTATAGGTTAACGTCACTTTGTCAGATGGAAGAAGTTATGAGGGGACAGTGCTAAATGTTGACCGGCCTTCAGATATTGCCATTGTGAAGATAATTTCTGAAACTGCTCTACCAGAAGCCAAAATTGGTTCTTCGATTGGACTTTCTCCTGGGGATTGGGTAATAGCCATTGGCTGTCCATTTAATCTTAAGAATACTGTCACTGCTGGTATTGTAAGGTGTGTCCCTATTTAAAACTGTTGTCTTCTGTATTAAATTATGCCATTTAACATGTTAGATTTTGGAAGTTAAAGCTATTTAGTGAAGTAATCTATTATTTCACTGTGAAACTTGTGTTTTTGAAAAAGGGGCCGCTGGTTATCTTTTGGACTAACGAAAAAAAAAATTCACGTCTTGCATTATTTTTTGCATAGTCGCGTTGGCCGCAAAAGTAGTGAATTGGGGTTTAGTGGAGTCCCGAGAGAGTACTTACAAACAAATTGTGCATGTACTCCGGTTTGTCTTTTTCTCTTCCTCCCCATTAGCTACCAAATAAGTTTTCATGTGGTTTACAGGCCAAATCTTAAATGGTCAGTCTGCTTGCTTGTTTTTATCTGCTTCTATGGTATAGGAAAATTCTGGAGGACCCCTTGTCAACATGGACGGAGAAGTTGTTGGCATGAACATCACACATGTGAGGGATGATGATGAGTTGAGCTTTACTTTGCCAATTGAATTCGTTTGTAAAATAATAGAGCATTTCAAGAAAAGTAGGTATGTTATTGGTTTTATTTGTGTTATTTTGTTGCATATGCCTTAGAAAGCAGGATAATATTTTAGCTTGCCATTTGTGTTGTGACTTTTGAAAATGATGTTTTACTCTGAGAATACTGGTAAATTACTCAATCTTTTTCAATTTTTCACATTTTTAAACATATTTTACAAATATTCCATAAGCAATTGTTGATTTATTTTGTATTCATACTTGAGTAGTTGGGCTATGCCGCGTTGAGGAATAAATCAATAAGCATCATTTAATGTTGTTTAGGAGAGGAGTACAGCCTTGGCTTGGGCTACAGATGCTTGATCTTGATGAGATATTTATTGCACAGCTTAAAAAACAAGATGCTTCATTTCCTAACGTCAGTAAAGGAATTCTTGTACCAATGGTATGTTTTTTATTGGTCTTTTCTATCTATCCTACTTCTGTATGGCCCTTGATATTCTTATTTATGTAATTCTTCCAAATTATAGATTTGCTGTGTGGAATCTTAAAGTTTTGTTTGAGACATGGTTGCAAAATTTTTTATAAAGCTGGTTATCGATGGCAATGAAGGAATTTAGTTTAAATTTCCTCTTCTGTTGTGAAATGCTTTGGGCAATAACTTATGTTCCTTTTTTTTTTGAGATGTTAGTTTTCCAGACAGACTGTTTAGTTGAAGCTTTGGTCAGTACACACTGTTACAAGCTTGTTTGTTACATGTAGCCGGCATTCTTGAGCAGTGGTTCTCTGTAATTCTGGGGACCAAGGAATTAGGGGTGGATATTGAGAAAAAAGTTAGATGGAATTTGTGTATTTGTGAAAGAGAATGAAATAATAAACTACAAAACTAGAAAATGAAGAACTTAGGCCTGTTTGATTTGAGAAAGCGTTTTGTTTTCACTAAATGTTACCTTGCATTTTATATCTTATTTCTAAAGATTTGTATATGTTATCACAGTTTCTTGTATAATATTTAAAATAGGAAACGAAGTGAAAATGAGGTAGTAATAATTTTGAATTTATTTATGAATACAAAAAAAGAAAACAGAACACATTTTCTTCAATGAAATAGCCCCCAAGGACAGAGACTATCATGAGCTACAATGCATAATTTGTTTAGTGGAGAAAATTTATACAGGTTTTGGGAGTGGGATTGTGCTAATGCTTAATTAATTTTCCCTTAATATGTGCTATTCACTGTAATTATTCTTAGTACGGGAGTATAAGATTGTTTCTTTTCTAGGATAAAATGCATTGTGCTCGCCAATGCAAGTCAAGCATCAAAATACTTGAATTTACCCGTTTGTTACTATAGGCAACTTCAATGTTTTTGACTAGGTAACTCCTGCGTCCCCTGGTGATCGTGCGGGGTTTCATCCTGATGATGTTGTCATCGAATTTGATGGAAAGCCGGTTGAAAGCGTGGACGAGGTATTACCATATTTTACACTGTTTATTTTTATTTTTTTATTTTGTTATTGAGGTAAAATGACTTCGTAAGCAAAACATTCAAACTGTGATTTAATGTCTCTAGATGTGGATTTCTTATCTTAATTTTCACTCAATTACCCTTGCTCATATAATATGACTCATGAGCCTGATGTTTTGCACAGTTTTATATATCTTCTTATAAATAGTTTAATCCCCTCACTCTTTTAGCATTTTATTGGATTTTATTTCATAATATCGTACCATTTTTTCCATTGTTTGGATAGCTGGAAGTATAGGAGAGAAAGAAATAGGGAGTGAGACTCGAGAAAAACAAAATCACCCCAATCTGGTTTCTGTTTTAGGTGTTTAAAAATAATCAATTTTTTATAAGATAAAATAAAAAAAACTTAAATAATTTTAAATTAAAAAAATATATAATATAAAATTCAGATATTTTGAAGCTAAATTAAAATTTTCAAATTAGTATAATTTTCTTTATACAACAATTGAGTCTTGTCCCACTGGATAATATTTTTTTTTATAACATTTATTTATTTTTACTCTATTTTTCACTTATCCAAACAAACAAATAAAAGTTTGTTCTCTTCTTTCTGTTTTATTTTATTCATTTAAACAACACAACTTTTCTATTTTATTTTTCTCCTATTTCTTTTTTTCCATATTTCACTGTTCATTCAAGTAGAACATTAATGGGCCAACCGATATCTTTCTTGCCTAGACCTTTCCATACCTCAATGGGTATATTTTCTGGTCGAACTACTTTGCCATTTGTTATGCTCCTAAACGCTTTTACAGTAAAGCTACAATTTTAGCCCTCATTCCTTGTGTTTAGCCCATCCATGTCGTTCATCATATAGCTTGTAGAAGTAATTTTTCCATCTTTATTTGAAAAATAAATATATTCTATCAAATAATGTAATGTACAATTGTATATTTTACGTGAATAACTTGTGTTCTTGGAATGGAGAATCTTAGAGGTGTAATTGAACTCACTGATCTTAGAGATATAAAATTATGGCAGGTAATTGAAATATTGGGGGACAAAATTGGGATGCCGATGATGGTACTAGTTAAAAGATCATGTGATGAATTGGTCACTCTAACTGTGATTCCGGGGGAACGTAACCTTGATGTGTAAAAAAGGCTGTGGACACACGCATGCTAAGGTGGTGAGCTTTCTTCTGTGTTTCGGTTGATGATAGTAAGATATTAAGAGGCCGTTAGGTTTACAAAAAAATGTTTGTTTTGGTGTCATGTTTTAACATCGAATTTGTGTTTGATTTATTCATTTTCAATAAGTCAAAAGCTCAAAATATTTTTATATAAATTATAAATAATAAAATAATTTGCATTTTTACGAATGAACAATTATGAATTTTTTTAATATATCGTATATAAAATCCCAATATAACGTGACATACATGTAGATATTGCAAGGTAGTAAATCCTATGAATGCTTAAGTTTATACATAAACAGAAAATATGTTTGCTTCTCCATAATGTGTGTAGAAATATATATTCTTGGTGCATAACCATATATAAATATACTGATGTCTCCACCACAGTGGATGTAAATATATTGTCTACATTGGGTCAATGGTAAAGTCAATCTCATATATTGTCTCCAGTTTTCTCTTCTCCCCGGTATTGCATACAGAGATTGGCTTTCCAATTCGTGTTACATTTATATAATTTTATTAGAAAGTGGAAAAATGACAAAGCAAGATAGTTCGTTTTGACCTTGGTTTTAGGGGACCGATAGAAGCAGAGCAATCCAACAATTGCACAAAATTTTGGTCATAAAGCATATACAAGTAAACAAAATTATATATAAGTTATCACGCTCACAGTTATTAACTAATTTAGTTTTAATTGACAAAAAGGTTTTACGGGACCAAAAATTTCATTTTATGAAAAGTCTATACGATCAAGAAGCTTACAAGGATAAGTAAGTTAAAATTAACCCATACGTTAACTACCTTAAAAAATATAATTATAATCTATTAAAAATATTTATTTCATATAATTTTTTACTTATAAATTTATCAGATAAATAAAATTAGATGAAGAAAAATTAAATTTATATAATATTAAATATATAAAATAATTTATTGTTATTAAATAATATTAAATAAAATATAATAATTTATTATTAAATTAAGTTATATATATATATCTAATTGTTATTTATATTATTGATAATTATTAAATCATAGTAACATTTTACATTTACATAATTTTACATTCGTTTAAAATTTTATTTTGAGTATTAATTATAAAATTTTCATATTTTAATATTTTTAAATTATTATTTTCATAAAATTAGTACACTGTGTACTTAATAAATGTTTTTAAAGTTACAATATAGGCACAAGAATGATAATAAAAAAATGCTCGTAAACTTTGTTAATGTCATCTCTTATCAAAATATTTAAAATAATTGATTAAAAAATTAATATATTAAAAAAAAATACAACACTATCGTTATAAAAATCATAAATATATGATACTTAATTTTGTAAAATTTATAGATGAGGAAAAATAATTTGTGAATTTAACAAAAATTAATGAATATTTATAAATTTAAATTTTTGTTCTTAATTTTATATAATTTATTTTCAAAGTGAAACAACATAATTTGATAAAAAAAATTATTTATTATCTGTTAAAGCTTAAAATCAAAGTAAACACATTACATGTAAAAAGAAAATAAGACTATGTAATGGTTATACGGGGTGAACTAAGTCATATAGCCCACATTAATTACTATTCTAATTATGTCCACTAAAAAACTATTCGAGCAACATAATCTATCAAAAAAGTTGTATATAATTTTCATATCATAAAAGATTTTTGCCTATCGTGGTAAAACAAATCAAGCACTTATATATCAACAATGAACAAGAGTAATGTGATAAGTTGAATTGATTAAAGTCAGGCAAAAACAATTAAACAACTTTAAAAGGAGTGCTAAGAACATATTCTTTTTAACATTTTTTTATTATTTGTTAAAGTTTATTAAAATTATAAAAATTAAGTTAAAACATTTAAACAACTTCAAGAGAAAAATTAAAAGCACATTTTTTTTACATATTATTTGTTAAAATTTAATTAAAAAAATATAAGAGAAATTAAATTAAAAGTGAGACAAAATGAGAGACTAATATTATTTTTAATAAATTTTAGTCAATAACTAATTGTGCTAAGAAATAGTGTGTTATATGTGTTGCCATTTCAAAATAAGACTACTGAATCAAAATCCTTACTAACCAGAATAAACTAAAATTGAAAGAGCTCTTGAGAATCGATTATATTCAAAATAAAAAATAAAAAATAAAAAACAGAGCTCACATGACTGAAATTTTAATAAAAGTATAGAACTGACTAGGTACTCATTCTACAAGGGAATTGAAGGTGCACCATTGGACATTTGCTTCTAACAATACCTATTGGGCCAATTCGCAGCAAACTGCACCAATTTCTATCGCTCCACGGCCTAAAACATTCCTATAACATTTCAGCAAACATGAAATAGAATACCATAAAATAAATAACTATTATACAGTGTTCCTTATTTTTTATTAATAGAATTATAACATAAAAGATCCCCCAATACGATTAATGCAAAATTCGAACCAAACGATTTTTTTCCTTATTTCGATTTATGAACTAGCTATTTACATCACTAGCAGCCTTTCATGCACAAATCATGGAAGCCCATATCATGCATAATAGTGCAATGTTTATATTTGGAACAAAATCTAACTTTTGACCTAAAAAATAACATTCTAACTTCCAAAAGGTCGCGTAATGCGATTTACTAAAGAAATACGGTTATAGTTATTGTTCAGCAAACTCTACCATTCTATGACGTCAAATTTGAAATTGATGCGCAATTATCAAATCTTATGCAATGGGGACCCGAAAGCAGAGGGAAGGGAAGGGAAGGGAGTCGAGGACTCCAAATTTAGGTCGTTGCAAGGTTAAGGTAATGTAGGCAATAAGGTCAAGCCTCTCAGGTACAATACAAATACAGGGTGAGTACAGAAGTACATGTGAGCATCCATGTGCCATTAACGATGATATATCAACTGAGTACACCCCAATAGGAAAGCGGAAAAGGAAAAAGCAGCTAATAAGACGCCGATGATAATACGAGTGCATTTACAATTTTGGAGCCCAAAAACATCATCAAATAAAACCTCTCGGATTGCTCTCGGCCCCAACGTGACCTCGCGCCCTCTTGCACAACTGCTATTTTTTGCATTTCTATGAGCAAGTCATCCACAATATCTAACTCTAATTTTTCTTGTGTATGATACGGTGTAACGTCGAATTTTTTTTTAGTCAAAGTGGATGGTAAGGCACGTAGCCTAATAAACCTGTCAGGTTAGTCACGACATCGCTGCACCTCGTCAAAAGGTTCATCATCTGCTGTGATATATCAACTGTGGTTGCAGTAGCTGATGCAGCGGTGTTAATAAAATTGGGACTGTTTCGGGGTGCCATTGCCAGTTCAGAATTACGCAAATTATGTTGTGGAGTTTTTGTAAACTGAGTAGCAAGGGGAAGAATAGGCAACGGTGGTTGAGAAGGGGCCTTTGGAATGTTCTTACTATTAAAATCCATTGCAACAGGAGGTGCACCAGCATCAGCAAAACTAGCATTGTTGAAGTTGTTTCTACTACCCACCATTAATTGGTCTCCCCTACTACTTTCTTCCCCACCTAACATGAATTTTACACGAGGGTTTCCTTTACTACTTCCATTACCCATAACTTGACCTGAGTCATCACCGGTTGATTTCTTCAGACAGGATTTGAGCTGGATCATTGGCTGTGAAAGAGGTTGCAGTGATGATACCGATGTCTGGCGATGAACCACTGCAGGGTCCTTGACCTGAGGTGTTTCATTGGCACCATCATCTACCCTAGCCTTGACACCTTCAGAGACTTCAGGAGCGGAATCCCCAGACTCGCGAAGAAAGCACCTCACACCCGCACTACCAAATAAGGATTGGTTTGCTACAGAATATTTATATGCAGCTTGTGCATCAGCCTTATGCAAGAAAACAACACGGCAAGTTGAGGACTTCCAGAATACACGGAAACCTGATTGATCCATTGGGCCAAAGCGAGCAAACCTTGCCTTCAGCTCCGCAATAGATGGAAGGGAAGTTGAGGGAGGAAATTTGATCACCAATATAGTGGGCTCAACTGCCTTAGCTGGACGGTCCACTTTCTTGGTTGAGTCTGCTCTCCCTAACTTGTATGGAGCCTGGGACATGGATTCTTTGCTATCGTCTCGCCGGGCTTCAGATGTTTTCTGGTTGGCCCCTGCTTTCTCTGCAGCTAGTGCCTTTAAATCCTTGATTTTCTTCAACCTCTTTGCAGCAATTTCTTCTTGCCGATCAGAGGGGGCCCTTTTCCGCCCAGCTTTTGTAGGATCATCAGGACGAACTATATGTTTTACAGGTTTTACCACTGGCAAAGCTCTGGCATGATCATCAGGACTGTCAGATGTCCTGACACTTGGAGATTTAGTAACACGAATTTCAGGAGCTTCATTCTCACTCTGAGGAGACAAGAACAAGCTTTTTTGGTAAACAAGAGATCTGAACAGCAAAAAGAACTGTCGAACAGCTGCAGGGATCTTTCTTTCAATGCCATGAAAGGGATCCAAAGCAAGAGCTTGTAAATCACCCAACAGTTGCGGCAGTTCAAAATTAGCATCTCCCATGGTATCCATGGGAAAATTACGGATATTAACATCTACCTGCATTTGTTCTGCAGACAAATCCTCTCTAGGAGCCAAACCACCTGAGACATCTTTTCCTGTCAATTTTCCAGAGAGGTGTACCGACTTTCCAGGAGTAGAATGCTTCTCCAGAGAGCTTGAGGTATGTTGTAAATTTAAATCCTTTTTCTTTTTCTTCTTTTTCTCCCCAACAGCAGAAGTCTTCAAGTCATCTGCAGGTCTCTTATGACCTTTTATCTTTTTCACCACACTAATTTCATGATGCTTTGCTTCAACTGGTGAACTATATACATTATTTTCACTCTTAGCTTGATGCATGTCATTTCCTCCATCTGCAACAGCCAGAAGTCCATGTTCCCCTGGCTTCAAATCCTCACATGGTCCTGACAGTTTTGCATTCCCATCATGTTTAACATCAACTGAAACTTTTCTCTCCAGATGTGATGGCTGAGATGTCTCATCAATTGTGTTTTGTAAAGCCAATTCACCAAACAAATCAGATCTAACCATGCTTTTACTTGAAACATTATCCCGTTCAATGCTATGATTCACTTCTTCAGAATATTCCTTCCCCTTGTCAAGATGAGGCTTTGCATCTGAGAAAATGGCTTGAGATGTAAGACCACTGCAATCTGCTTGAACCTGACCTCTAAAAGCTTCTTTAGCATCTGAAGTCGAAACTGCACCATCATGCTTTTCTAAATTATGCGGCGTTACAAGCTCAACTGGAGTCCTCTTCTGCAATACATAACGAGCAGCTGCATCAGGTGTCTCCTCCTTGCATGCCAATTGGAAAGAGTTACTTGTATCATCTCTCCGCTTAAAAAGGTACCTATCCTTCTTCAAATTGTCCTTAACTTTAACAGATTTGGCTGCACTCTTCCCACCACCCAAGGCTTCTGCTATCACCAGTGGACCACTCAAAGGAGCTAGAAACAAAGGAAAAGATAGGCATCCTTAACATTTGAAAAAGCTTTGAATAAGCTTGAGAAACTGCTATAAGTTTTCATTCCACTAAAGTAACATCCTAATATAAATGCAAGGATAAATTAAGAGAGCTCACCATGTAAACTTAAGTTAATTGTCAAATCAGGCTTGTAAAATACAGACAACCGAGTTACCTTAATGTGATATTATAGAAAGCTTCCCCTTTCATGTAACTATTTGCCAAGATACAAAGAAAAGTTAATCATATTAACAAGGTTCTGTGAAAAACATTTTTTTCAAATTTATTAAGAATAACAACCAAGCATAACCTCACTAAATGGTTACAGGGATTGAATGATGCCAGTGGATTTTATAAGAATCCAATTTTTCAATAGTCATTCACAGTGAGTTATTTATGGTACAGAAGTTTCTCCAGAAAATCACTTTGGCCTTTGTCTACCATCTAATTATCTTCCATTTGATCCTTTTCTCCTAATAAAGCCTCTGGTGGTGTTCTCACACCACCAAAACCACCCTAGCCTTAAGCAAGTTTCCGGCATCATCTTGTCAATAGGAGCTACTCTAACTCTCTCCCAAATACAGTCTCACTAAACTTCTCTTTGTCAGCATGCCCACTCATTCACCTCAATTTTCTTCCTAACCGAGCCTAATCATATTTCTTATGACAAAACCTACAATGTTTCAGACTCAATAATCAAACAATTCATTGACTGGGCACAGACATCATAATGATTCAAACTTCTATCATATTAGAATGTTGACCTACAATCTCCACTATGTCAACTATACCTAACCACAACACAAATTTTGGAACAAAGAATATCTAAACACTCATAGTCACTTGGGTCTAGTGCTTAAACATCTAAGGGCAGGTATTAAGTCGTAAGACTTGTTTCTTCTTAATCACTCAATTGCTTGATTCCATAACCATAAAAATCCAAGGATATAGAGATCAATTTCATCGTCAACAGTATGCCTGTGAGGAAACACAAAAAGGATCATTATATATATACCTCTAGGAGGATGCCTCACAGTCACAGCTTGATCAAGTGGATTATTCTTAGGATGAGTGGGGCGCAACGGCTGCACCCCAAAAGCCTGGGCATAAGTCTCATCAAATTGCTCAAACACGGCCTTCCGATAAGCTGAAACGGTAGCCTTATTCTTAGTGTAGCCAATGCCTCCACGTTCACCATCATGTGGAGCAACGGCCAATTGCTTTACAAAAGCAAGAGTTTCAATTGGTTTAAAACTATTTCTCGCCTTCCTAATCTGAATATCAGAATACAACCCTCCTGGCTCATAATCTTCGACATCAACACAAAAGTACCCTTCAACATTTGTGGCACGAAAATTATCAGGGTTTCTACATCTACAAGCTAACCCAAGACCACGCCTCCTGCAGGCTTCATCAACTGCCTCTTCCACGGCCTTCAAAAATGTTCTCGAATTCGTCTGCTGCGATTTCTCGGCAAAATTTGAATCAAACGGAATGAGTTCAGCTGGTTCAAACCACCCATAACTGCTATCGCCGAAGAAAGCCACCAAAACATGACCTTCCCTCTTCGTACGACGAACCGAAGGTGATGCAAATGCTTCATTGTATATGTGACCGGGCCACCATGGGTGAGATTTCACCTTTCCCCAAACCATATCACCCACTTCAAAACCATATCCAAGATCCCTCGACCCGCTTCTCTCAGCAGCCACGAACTCGTCGAATTCCGATAACAGAGATTTGCTATCAGAACCCCCAAATTTCTCCGAATCTCGACGATTACCATCATCCTCGGAGAAAACCCTAAACTCTTCCGTCGAAGCGTCCATTCGCGAAACCCTAGCTTGAGGCTCACTTAACGGGCTGGAACAGTTGTCGTCGGGTTTTCCTGTAACCGCAGCATTGTCTTGTAAGGGGAATTCGGTCATCACTGGTGTGATCGAATAAAATGGGAAATTCCCGAAACCCTAGAACATGCGAGGTAAAAGTTCACTTGCAGCGCAGCGCGCGTGATGCTTCTAAGGTTGGGAGAGAGAGAGAGAGAGAGATGCGAATTCTGGGTGGGTGGGTGGGAGGAAGAGATATAAAACCCTAATAATAAACACACGGCGCGCGCCACGAACAAGAGATGCGTTTGGACTGCAACAAACACCGGGATCCTGATTTCCTTCTTTCATCTCCTTTTTCATCTTTTTTAATTGCCAATAAATTAAAACGAATTTATTAGAGTTTTTTTTTTTTTTTTATCTCACCGGATGCTCGAATCGGTTCTTTTAAGATTAAAAGAAGTGTAAAATGATGAAAGTGAGAATTTGTTTAATGTTAACTTAAAGTTATTGTATTTGTAAATATTTAAATTAAAATTAAAGATAAAAAATTCTCACTTTATATTTTAAAAAGGTTATTTTTAATTGAAGTGTATATATGTCTGATTTTTTAAAATTCAAGTTTTGTCTATAAAAAAATCATTAAAAGTTAAATTTACGTGTTGATGTGTATATTTCAATATTGTATTTTTTTTTAAAGAGATTGTACTTATTTTAAAATTTTAATTTAAATATATTTACATTGTAAACATCTTTTATATTATATGAATTATTATATCAATAAAAATTATTAATTTATATAATAACTAATATAAAAATATATTTATAGTTATTTTTAATTGGTCCCAGACCTTGCTTGGATTTTGTACAAAAGCATCTTAATTAGTTATTTTATACATGAATGGATTCTGCGCTCTTCAAGATACATCCAAACAGATGGACGTTTATTCAAATCATAATTAACATTTTTCTATCGAAACTCAGACCATGTTACAGGTCACACACCGATGATATTATTATTATTATTATTATTCCATCACCAGTTTTGTGTATTTTACAATTCTAGTGATAATCCGTTAAATAATATTAGGAAATAAAAACATACCATCAAAATGAAACTCTTAAATTATCATACACAAAAGAAATATATTCAATGTTTTTATCTTTTGTGATCATTCTAAAATAATCTTAAAATAAATTAAAATCCAATTATGGGGATAGATTGGGTACCAAAAGAAAAATTGATGTCGTTGAAAATGCCTTCTCTCCCTCTCTCTCGATTTGCCGACCAGGATCATTGGTTGAATCAAAATTCTAATAAGGGAGCAACTCTCACAAAACAAAAGAATTTCTATATTTTCATTCAATAATGTACTCACTTTGAATACAATCGTCTGCAAAAATGGCGGCAAAAATAACATGCACTATACCATACTAACATCCTCATCTTCAGGCAAAATAGAAGCTAAATCTTATTTACATCACTAAAAAAAGAACTGAATTAATACACAATAAGTATTGGAAATAAAATTGGTTAAATAAAACCAAATGTAGCATTGGTATTCGGTTAAGAGGTTCACGCATCATCTGATTCCTGGCTTGGGGGAGTACCGGCAAGCCAACCCCACACGCCACCTGAACTCTGCCTCTGTTTTGCATTTAAGGCAGCTTGCTCTGATGCAGCCTTTTGCCGCTGGAGGAGCTCCAGCTCCTTCTGTAATGTCCCAATTGTTTGGAGCTTCTGACCTAATTCAGCAACTTCCACCTGCGTTCTCAAATATTTTCTTCAGTTTAATAATACTAACAATAAATCCAACTTCGTTCATCCATGAATGGAGACAAATGACAAAATTATAATGATTTGCCCACAAGCAGCATAAGTTAATAAAAATACTACAATTTGGCACCAAGTTTTGAAAGAAAGAAATTTTGAAAATCAAGTTGTCATTGCATGGATGAATTGTCAATCTATGAATAGGTTATTGTTATTGATAAGATGAATGATGCACCATGTTTGCTCCAAAACTTTTTATGCAACCATCTACCTGAACAGCAGATCCAATTCAAAAGCAAACTCGTAAAAGACCAAGAGAAGACTCTCAGAAGCATTAATGCATACCTCAAGTTTGAAACACCTTGACTGCTCAGAAGCAAGCTGACCACGAACTGATTGGAGCTCCTACATTATCAGTCAACAAATTTAAGGACCTTTCATAGCATTAAGAACAATGTAGTTCAGACCTCATAATAAATACAACGACCAAACCTTTTTCCACAGTGGTCCCTCATAAGTCATGGCTCAGACCCCATCAACAAATAATACAAGATATTCAACTTTTAAACTTATACCATATGCCACGTTCTGCTTAGGTCTCAACCCAATTAATCCAAGAGACCGACAGACAAAAATACTGGTTTACTTAACAGATAACAGAGAATGTTCCCCTTGAATTCTAATTTTTAATTGTCATTGATCATTAAAAATTTTAATCTTTTGCCAATATAGTGCTTGCTTCCTGAATCCATTCCTGACTGGTTCCAAAATAGAAAAAGGAACTTCACCTGTTAAAGTAGTTAGTTACCTTGTAAAGGTCGGAATTACGAGACTCAGCTTCTGCCAGCTCTTGCTTTAGTTGAAGAGCCAGCAGCTTCTCCTTGCTGAGTGATGATTCCAACTCTTCTTTCTCAGCCTTCAGGACTGATATAAGATCACCTTTGGATTTCTGTATGTCATCAAAATATGGAAAAGCAGTGATGAGCAGGAAAAATAAAATGAAATGGCACAAATGCTGACTATGATTTGTTTTTTTGGGGCCGGGTACAAATGAGGGGCCATAGACCTGAACTAACAGGAATAACAAGCTGGAGGCTACATTTTATAGTTTGATGGCAGATTTGGCCAATAAACAGGCAGATTTTTATAAAGAAAAACTTTAATAGAGCCTACATTCTCTGCAAGCTATAAATGGAAGAGAACAGAAACTGAAACAAAAAAACATGGCAAAATTTCAGATCTTGGATTGTAAGCCAAAGACATGCAAATGGGAAATAGATGTCGTGTTAAATCAGATTCACAAACAGATGATTTTTGGAAAGTAAAGCAATAGATTTTAACAAAACTTAACGCAGGAACAAGAGGCTTCTTAAAACCAGACAGAAATATGTACATCCTTTGCAATAATACATACTGCTGGGTCAGCATTGTCCATGACAATTTCCCAAATTTTCCCTTCATGGTCAGCTTCAAATTCAGACTCCACATCTCGGGTAGCATTTGTGGCATTTGGCACAGCAGAAACACTGTCTGGTATGGAGTTTTCAATTATTTTGGATTGCAAGGTTGATTTGTGGCTTGGCTTAAGAACATAGACCTGAATGCAGCAGATTGAATCAGATGAAGAAGATAAAACCAAGGTAAAAAAGGGCAGAAACAGGGCAAAATTTTAAAATGATCTTTACTTCATTGTTGTAATGTCCATTGTATCCTCCAAAAGATACAAGTACATCTTCACCATCATAGGAGCTCACAACCAAACTCAATCCCTGCAATGGGAAACATTTTAATCATCTTAATCAGATGGCACTCGAAGAATGACTTAATGACAGCACAGTATGGAGTTCACAAGGATTAGTACTCTAGTTAGATTTCACAGCACATGCAATCTTGTTAAAATACATAGATAAAGTACCTCACTAGCAACAGGTACTCGTCCTTGAACAGAAGTTACCACTGACCAAGCCAGTGTAGACATATTCAGTACAACCGTCTCTGAGACCCCTGCAGAATAACATGGAATATAAACTGTAAAAGGCATATATAGTACCGGCACTTTTATGTGCATGCATATAAGATTTATTTTTTAATGTTTTTAAACTGATAATTAAACCAATATCTATTTTTTATATATAATTGAACCTAGAATAAACCAATTAACTTCACAGCAAGATTGAAATATAGTTTCTGTGGTTTAGTTTGACCCACTGCATAGACTAGTACACTCATAGAGTTCAGATAATATTTGCTCAAGATATTGAGAAATATTTCATAAGGTGGAAAACCATTCCTCAATGCAGAAGGTATGAATCCAAGACGCAAGCAGCAAAAATACATACCACTCTTATTATCACCACCACCAACAATGAACCAGTTTTCCCCAACTGTCACTCCAGCATGTCCAGCACGTGGTGTTGGTATTTCACCCAGTTGTGTGGGGCGAGACCATTCCATCTGCAGAGTTCACACCAATGATTAAATGGAGATGATTTTCCAGTACATTACCTAACAGAAGAAGCAATGACCTTACAGTTTGCAAATCAAGAACATGTAAATCATTGTAGCAAGTAGCATGTGAGCCCCCACCAAAGATAAGTAAGTATCGCTCCACATGGACAGCAGCAGTATGATCAGACCTTGGAGAAGGTGGCACCCCACTGCCAGTTAAGACTTAGTTAGCACCAATTCTTAAGATATTCTTTTTCATTTTCTCTTTCACATTAGATTGGCATGGAAAACCCAAATATTACATATTCACCACTGATGAGAACAACCAACACAATTTATCATGAATAATAACCAGATCATGGCATAAACAAAAAATGCCCGCTAAACCAAGTTTTTATGAGAAATTTTCTCTTTCTTACAACATAAATCATTACCAATCACAACCATATAAAGCCTAACCCCCCCCCCCTCCAAAAATAAATCATGAACTTAGATACCAGGGTGATTGAAAAGGGTTGCTTGAGAAGAAATACTTACACAGCATCAATTTCATCCCATGTCATGGTCTCCAAGTCAAGAATATGAAGATCATTCAAGAGAGTCCTCTTTGCATCTTGCCCACCAAAAATTACTAAGCTTCTCCCAACAAGGTTCACTGATTGACCTCCACGTGATACCTAGAAAATGTGCATGATTGAAGAGAAGTTAACAGTCCCTTAAAATTATTTTTATTCCAAAATGTAAAAAGGAAAGAAAAAGAGAGGGGCACTGTTGTTGTTTGTTAAAAATCCATGCAACTTATGCATTTCTAGTTAAAAAAATGCAAATGCAACATGTCACATACTGCTAATGCGATAAAAAGTTTCTAAGAGATTTTTGGGTTAATAAACATAAACAACAAGTAAGACATACCGGAGCTTTCCCAAAAGTCTTTAGAACTGACCATGTAGCCGTTTGAAGATTAAACACTTTCACTGTCATGATATTTAATAGTAATGCAGATACTTAGTTGCAATCACAATAGAAAATTCAACAACAACAAGTACAGGAGTAGAACAGGAATGACAAAACAGGGAGGGGGGAGGAGGCCATAATAAATGGAACATAGATTGAACCAGTGAAATGAGGAAACTGTTACAAGGCTTTTATTTTCAACTAAAGAAATATTTCAAGGCTAAAAAAGTGATGATAATTACTTAGCAAAACATATAAGCTAAATGTTCAATTTAAATATGCACAAAAAAATCATCACTCCCTCCAATTGGTATTTTCCTTTGAAGTGAAAGAAGTAACAGATTCATGGTTTTAATTTACTAGATGAAAAAAGAACATAAATTTTGAATAAGAATATATTATGATGATTTATCTAAATGAAACTTCTTGCCTATCAAAAAATAAAAAATCTAAATGATACTTCTGAATGTTTCCCATTTCTTCATGTATTTATGCACAGATATGATGTCAACCCCTAAAAGAATAATAACACATTATGACATTATTATTATACCTTGAATACTTTCAGAAGGATCTTTTGTATGTCCTGCAACTGACAGAAGCTTATTCCCCCATGGAATCTGTAGTGGAAAAACATTTCCATTACCAAAATCCAAAACATTCTAGAATTAGTACTAGCAGCCAACAAACAACAAACAACAAACAGATTGAACACAGCAGTAGATGATGTAGAGTCTAATGTTCAATACAAACCAAAGAATGGCCAGCGCAAGGGGTTGAAGTTATTGGGGGCTCAACTCCAGACTTAGCCTCAATCTTTGACCAAGTCCAACTTCTCATATCTAAAACCTGTATTTTTCTCCATTTAGTTCAAAGTGAAAAACATAACTTAGTTAACCAGAGAGGCAGATTACAAAAAACTTATTGATGAAACACAAGATATATGACTACTTAGCCAAAATTGGTGGCTTGAATCAACCTCACAAGATAGATTATTACTTAATCAAAGTGCATAACTTCATGCAACAGATACATTGAACATATGCTTACATGAAGATCATTAAGGTAACGACCATTGTGATTTCCACCATATATGTACAATTTATCTTGCACAACTGCAGCTCCATGCTGAACATATAAACAAACTAGGATTAGGGAGGAATAAACTATATGAGAATAAACTAATAAAGCAGAAAATAAAAGACTAAGAAGAATGGAATTTGATAATTTTTAGATTTCACAAGAGCCAATACCTCATATCGGGCTTTTGGACATTTTCCAGATACTGGAGGTGCAATCCATTGATCGTATACTCCAACACAACCAAAGCCTTCCACAACAACATCTTTAACCTGTGTTCCAACTAGACTTCCATTTTCAATGGAAATAGTCTTTGTCTCTGGATAAGAGTTTCCATTCTCAATTACTGGTTCAACTTTGGAATTATGCTGTCAAACCAGCAATATTGAATTGGAAAGCAAGAAAAAGAAAGGTGAAAATTACAACTTTGACAGTGGCAACAAAAGTGGATAAGAATATCTAGGAAGATGTTCTTGTTGCAATTCTCTTGACACGTTGACATGCTTACATTAATTGATTAACCTGAAACTATAGATCAAATCCCAACACTTTGTTTGTTTAAAGAGAAATAGGATAGAAGAATATGGGAGAGATAGAATAGAGTTGAAATAGCTTATTTCTGTCATTTGGTTACTAGAATTTGACCATTGGTCCCACCAGAATAAAAATCACACCTATATGGGAGAGAATTTTGTACAGGAAAAAGAGAAAAGGGTGTTTATGACAATTTTATCCCTGATACTTTGGTTCTACATCCCATTTTCATTCCTTTTCATTCATATTTAATAGAAATATTGTTTTGTTCTTCATTTCTCCCTTCATCTAATACTTCATTCTTCTTTCTCATTTAACTGGCGTATGTTATGTCATTCTTCACAATATCTATTGGCAAATATTTTTTTACTATTTCCTATATAAAAATAATAAAAAATAATCTAAATAATTTATAAAATATAATATATATTTTAAATATTCCAAAATAAATAATAAATAAATAGTTGTTAAAAAATAATAAGGTATAAGAAAAATTATTTTACTATGGATCAATTTGTGTGAACTAATGAATAAGTCTATAAGAGAGAAAAAATGTGAAAAATGAATAAAAAATCTTTTATAAATTAAAAACAACTAATCTTTTCAAGTTTTTAGAGAAATTAAATGAGAAACTTTTAAATAAATATAAAAAAGTATAAGTTTATTTTAACTTAATGAGAAAGGTTTGATTCATTTTACTACTTAATTTTTAACACTTATAAACTGTTATTAAAAAGTTTATCCAAAATGAACCTAAGTGTAAGTATAAAATTTATTATTTCTTTTCACTTCTTTTTTTATTCATTCAAACAAGTGAAGACAACTTTTTTGTTTCTTTCTACCCATTCAAACAACAAGTTTTTTCATTTTATTTTTACTCTATTTCTCTCCTTTCTGTTTATTTCCTCTTTATTTCATTTCTAATCCAAAGAAAGTGTAAACGCCATAACATGGGAGTCATGTATATGACTTACAACTCAATCATTAAATTAATTGAGATATATAAGAATTATGTGCATGCCTAGTGGGTGAAAGGGAAGTAAGAATACAATGGCGATTATAAAATATCCCAAAATTTATTTGCCAAAGAACAGATTTTTTAATTATTTGACCCCAATACAGACCATGTTCTGATCCTTCATTATTTACTCTATAAAAATTTGAATACAATACATGAATAAAACAAGTAAAGCTCATTGCAAGCCAACAGCATAAGTAGAGATGAAACTTGTACCATTTGAATAAAACACCATAGCAAGCATAGGACTCGTTATTATATACATAGCCTTAATAATACTCACATTCATTTGGACCTCTACGACCGGTTCTTCTACAACAGAAATAGATGCTCTTGAATACCAACCAGGATCTTCTTCCTGCACAAAAGAAATTATTTTAAAAAAAAGTAATCAGCTGACATTCTGTGTTATAGTTATACTAAGGAAGAATGGTTAAATAAATTATTTGCACAACCTCCAATATTTTCACAAAAAGTCGCATGGCTTCAGTGGAAGACATGTTTCCAAGCTGGTTCCAGCTGCATCAATAATTAACTGCTTTGAATAACGTTCTCAACATAATGAAAGCATGAACTCAATATTGCAAGTATAACAATAATATTATTAAATATAACATCGAAAAAAGACAGTGGAGTATCCATGTAAAAATAACTGCATAATATAAATATATGGTAAAACCAGAATGCTATACAAGCGCATACATATAGAACAGAGGTGTCATGGAGATATATAGCAGCAGCATTAAGAAAGTGGAAGGCAGCATGTGTGTTGAAAGCAAACAAACCTGGCCCATTTGCTATGCTCCACAATTTTCCATGCACTGGGTTCTGGGACGTTACAAGGTCCTACACTAGCCTGAAATAGCAAGTTTTACAAAATTAATATGAACTTCGCTATTCCGTTTTAAAAACATCAGCACATTTGACAAAAGAATAACTAAATAAATCATATGCCAAAGCTAGAATTCTTGGAATCACTAGTAATGAATAAACCATCGGTTCATTCCTTCACATTTAAACAGTGACCTATCCAGCTTTTGTCAATGAGAATCTCCCAAAAGATGCCGTAGACTTTTATCAGAAAACCAAAATTTCATAAACACCACATAGATCAACCAACAAATCTTTCCATGGCCAGTGCCGAGTTATGAATGTCTGGCAATTGCAAGCAACCAAACATTGTCGAACCTTCACAGCACGGATAATGTGACATTTAACATTAACCTAATTCGCTACTCGAATTGCTTAATTCCCCCTCGAGGAAGGCAAATCAATCGGCCAGGACTTTTTTATACACTGTTAATCAAGTAACCACTGAGTCATATAAAAACCCTTTCCATTTCAATTCCACCGATCCCATTAATCAACCAAACGAATGAAAACCAGATCTACCAACAATAACACCGACGCAAAGTAGTAGCAGATACACAATTAATTGTAATGGCATCACCGACAAGATAATGAAAAACAAAAAAACTAGAAAGATGTCAAATCCATATTCATAGACTTAGCATAAGAGAAAATGCAGGTAAAGGGAAATGATGAAGAAAAGAACGTACCTGCTTATATAAGCTGTAGAGAAGAAGAGCCGTGGACTTGGGGAACTTGGAGGTGAGAGCTTTGGTTGGAGAGGTGGATCCATCGAACCCTACATAAGAGGCCGCAGCGTAGAACCGCTCTGGGTATTGCAGACCAGAACTTGCTCTCGCCATCGCCATCTCTCTCTATGCTGCTTCAGATCCACCAATTCAGTTCAATTGAAACAAAACAGACTCTTATGCATAGATTAAAGACAATTACGTGAACGGATTGGGATTACAGAATTGAGAAGAACAAAAAATAAGGATGCTAATGCAATCTCTTTTTCTTCAGGTTAGCATTAAATATTAATAGATCCACTCTGTTCTGATGCAAAAGTTTAACATAGTCCGCTTAGTTTATCTGTCTTTAGCACTCCACTTCTGGGTTTTTTGTCTTTTACTCCCATCATCCCAATTTTTCGTACTAACGGAACAAATAGATAATAAAAATCATTTAAAATTACATTAAATTAGTTAAAAAATATATTTTAATAAAAATATTTTAAATTTTTTGACTAATGCTGTTAGTATTATTCATGTTGAAATTATATGAATGAATATTCAAAAAAAATATTTTATATGTATGATAAATGTAATTCAATATTGTAATATATCTATTTATAATTTTATTTGGTTTTTTTGTAACATTCATAATAATTTTCGTTTCAACATTTTTAACTTTATAATTTTTGAAGAAAAAAAACTGTACATTTTATTATGATTCTTTTCTTACATAAATCATAACTTTTAAAAGTTTAATTTTATAATGAGTTATATGAGTTACTCATGGTACATCTTTTGATGTATCAACTGCTCCAAACACTATTACGAGAGTCGTGAAACATATTTTTCGTCTTTTGCTGAGTTTCTCATAATACTATTTAGCCAAAAACTCAACAATTTAAAAGAAAAATCAAATTGTGTTTATAAGCTGTATATAGTAGTTAGATTCTTACTCCATTGGTAATACTACTTACTTTACTGACATCACAGAGCCTTATGATATCTAAACTCAAAAGCATTTGAACACAAGACATGTTCTTTGGGTAGAGTTTCTTCAATAACTCGTTTTTGTTATCAACAAAGGGTTGAAAACAAAGTCACTAATATCTCCAGCAGAGTTGAATATAGAAGATGCATCAAAGAATTCATAAATATGCATATCAATAGTTATAAAACACGGTATGAAAACCATTCTTAGAGCAGAAGTAAATATACATAATATATAAAAAAAAAAGTTAAAGTATAATATTTTTTAAAAAAAAAATAAGTCAGTAGTTTTTTTTTATATTCAACATAAAAATTATATTAAAATTATTTTTTATTATTCAAATATATAAATTGTAATAATTTTAGAATACCTTAATCTTACGGAAAAGAATGCTGTTTGTTGGTAAGATTTTTCGTGACTGTAATTACGACTCTACCCCGAGCAAGGTTTTGAAACACAGAGACTCTACTTCCGTCCCTCTTTGCAATGAAGAAGGTGGAAGTTTGACGCTGTCGCCTGTGACGAGCAATTTCCAGGTATCGTTGATTTTCACGTTTGTTTTATGCATTATATTTCTAATCTTGAATTAAAACTCGTTTTCAATCTGCGACAGAGAATGTTTGGGCATTTTCACAGAAGCTGCGTCGTTGGAGCTGCGGCGATCGCGGCTTTTGGTTCAACTCTTCTGTGCTCCAATAACGACAATGGTTACAGTGAGCACATTACCTAACCTAAACTAACGCTCTTTTTTTATTATTTTCGACCTTCCAATGAGATTTTGACTTGTGACGAAACACTGCCTTAACTACACTGTAAAATGCCGTTTTGATTTTTATTTTTTTTTCCGTCTTAACTTGACTTCAAATTTAGGAGCATTGCTCACAGCGCAAGTCCCTCTATCATTACAATCACTGGATTCCTCGTCCTTGACATGGCCATTGCTTCATTTCTTTCCTCAGTATCTGTTTTCTTCCCACCAACCTGGTCTGTCCTTATGGGTTTGTGTATATGTTTGTATTATGTTTAGAGCTGAGCTTAGCTGAAAATTTGTAGGAATGCTTGCGCCCTATTCTTATAGGGTCAGCTCCATTCATTTGTCCCACATAACTAAGGAAGCTTCTGGTGATGTTTGTGATGGGTCAAGGCCATGTAATTGTTTTGGAAGAGATACCATTGCAAATGCAGTTGCTAAAGTTGCGCCTGCTGTTGTTTATATTTCATTTCCAGAAGGTATCCAATTTGTGACCTTTTAAACTTCAACTTTTTGAGTTTTCATGTCCCTTTGAGTTTACTCTGAAGATTTGGCTCTGACCATGTAGATTATCGTGGTATTTACACTGGAACAAGAGAATGCACAGGAACAATCATCAACAAGGATGGTACAATCTTGACATGTGCTCATATGTTTGATCCTAAACGCCACTGGGGATCCCATGGGAAGGTTTGTCTTTACGCTGGGATGTATCTCTCAAATTTATAATTGGAATACTGTGCTGGTTAACTTGTTATAGTCCTGTGTGATGCAAATGAGACAATGTAAGATCTTGGACAAGTTAGATATATGTCAAGCATATGTCTCAAGTTTATTAACATGTAGCTTGCTTCAAGCCAGAGTGATAGAATTTTTTTGTATAAATTTCTGTTGAAGATTTTACCGTCCTTGCTTGGTCTATGGCTTTGCATGACACAAATCTAGGGTTGCTTAAATAAGAGTTAGGTAAGTTAGCATTTTACTGGTCACAATTTGATAATTCATTGATCCATTCCCAACAAAAATAGGGCAATCCTTACTGTAGCTCATTTAGTTTTGATTTCCTAACCAACTGAATTGAAGTGATTCTTTCATTTATTTAGGATACCTTAGTGTTGCATCAGCATTTCTGCTCACAGCTCATTACAAGCATATATGATGATTTGTTATTGAGTGTAAAGAGTGACAGGTAAGGTACTCATTTAGTTGTAGGCTTCATGCTGGAACTTGCTTGGTTTAATAGCTGGTTCTCAATATTGTTAACATGAATTTCCAATCTCTTATTCCAGCATATCTACATGCAAGTAATTTGAGACTATTCATAAGTAAGTTGCCGTCTATATGGCATTTTATTTCCACATTTCTCTTATTATGACTTTGGACGCTTACTTGAGGGTCTTACAATAAAAAGTTTATGTTAATTCAATTATATTTCAGATTGAAGTCATTTTGCAAGATGGAAGAAGATTTCAGGGGAATATTCTAGATGCTGACATGCATGCTGATATTGCTATTTTGAAGATCAATTCTGAAATCCCACTACCAGTAGCAAAACTTGGTTCTTCAAGTGGGCTTCATCCTGGGGATTGGGTGATAAGCCTGGGAAATCATAATACTCTTATGAAATCTATCTCTTCTGGCATTGTAAGGTGTGTCCTTATTTTCAGCTAATTTCTTTTGTTTTAGATTTTTCCATGCATTGATAGATTTTGGAAGTTAAAGCTATATGGTTGTAGTTGGGTATACTGACATAGTATTAAATTAGTATCTGTTTTGAAGGAGTATTGGAACTTTAATACTCTAGGAAATTCTTTCTTTTATTTAGTATTATTGTAAATAAGATATTGTAATTAAATCTTTGATGTATGTATAATCCTAAGTAGGCTGAGTGCAAGTAACTCAAGCAAATTTGTAAGATATCTGTTCTACAGTCTTTTGAACTGTTCTTTAGTGCAGTAGCTAAAAGGAGCTCCTGTTTGTATTTTGTACTGATGAAGTTATTGTCTTGTACAAGTTTTTGAATAGTTGCCCTGACCGCAAAAATAGTGATTTGAATTTAAGTGGCATGCCGAGTGAGTATATACAAACAGATTGTGTATTAAGCCCGGTATGTCTTTCTCTCTTTAAGCTATTCAACTAGATTTACTTGTGGTACAGAGAAAATCTTATTTTTTATGCTTATTCAGTGTTGTATGCATTTATCTGCTTCTATGGTGTAGGGAGGTTCCGGCTCACCGCTTGTCAACATGGATGGAGAAGTTGTTGGTGTGTGCCTCATGACAGTTGAAGGAGCTCGTGCGTTCAGTTTTGCTGTACCAATTGATGCTGTGCATAAAATTACAGAACAATTCAAAAAAAGTGGGTATGTTTTTATCAATAATATTTTATTGCATTTGCATTGGAAAGCAAGTAGCTATTCTATTGATCCTTTCTATCTTGGAATCCTACTTTGTGGCCTTTCTGATTTTTATTTGTGTAACTTTTCGAAGTGTAGATTCACTGTTCAAATTCTTATTTGTGGCCGTTGGCTGTATTCTTATAGAATCAATCCCATTTCTTGGTCTGACATATCTAAGGAGCCTTCTGGGGCTTTTTGTGATGAGTCAAAGCCACATGGCTGTTTTGGGAGACATGCTATTGCAAGTGCAGTTGCTAAAGTTGGGCCTTCTGTTGTCAGTATTACAGCTCCACTGGGTATCCAATTTCAGATCTTTTTACCTTCAACATCTGCATTTTCACATTTGGTTAAATTTACTCTGAGGATTTGGCAATGACCATGTAGATTTCTTTGGTATTCCTACCGGAACAAGTAGAGGCACAGGAACGATTGTCTACAAGGATGGCATAATCTTGACAAGTGCTCATGTGGTTGATTTTCAATCCATGATAGGATCATGCAGGGGGAAGGTATGTCTACATATTTGGATATTTCTCTCAAACATATTTTTCTAATACTGTTTTGGTAGATTTGTTATTTCTTTCTGTTATGCAAATATGAGATCTTGTACAAGTTGGATATATCTCAAACATATGTCTCAATCACATTGACATGAAGCCTGCTTCAAGCTAGAGTGATGAGATTTTTTTAATACAAGTTTCTGTTGAAGATGTTACAGTCCTTGCTTGGTCCATAACTTTGAATGTCACAAAGCTAGGGTGGCTTTAGGTATATTTGGGTAAGTTAGCACTTTCTAGGTTGTGATTTAAAAATCCATTGTTTCATTCCGAATAAAACAGGGCTTTTCTAATTGCAGCTCAGTTGGTTTTGATTGCCTACGCAACTGAATGGAAGTGATTCTTTCTTTCATTCATAAGTTTGTTTTGCCGAACTTCTGCTTGTTACATATGATAATTCATTATCAAGTTTAAAGAGTGACAATTTAATTACTGATTTAGTTTTAGGTTTCGCCGTGTAGTTGCTTGGTTGAATGTTGGTTCTTAATAGAAACTAGCGTATGCAAATCTCTTAATAAAATATCTCTACCTGCTGATCATTTGAGGCTATTCATACGTGAGTTTTTGTGCGTATGACATTTTATTTTCCCATTCCTGTTAGTTTGGCTGCATGAATATATTAGACATTTTTCTGAAAAATTATGACACCCGACACTTCCCGCATCTTACAACACAAAGGTTGATTTTAAAATATTGACAGGTTGAAGTCACTCTGCAAGATGGAAAAACATTTAAGGGGAGAGTGCTACATGCTGACCGGGATTCGGATATTGCTATTGTGGATATCAATCCTGAAAGCCCACTACCTGAAGCAAAAATTGGTTCTTCTAGTGGGCTCCGACCTGGGGATTGGGTAATAGGCTTGGGCTGTCCACCTACTCTTGAGATAACTGCCACTACTGGTATTGTAAGGTGTGTCCCCCCTATTTTAAGCTGTTTACTTTTCTGTTAAATTATGCCATTTCACATGATAGATTTTGGAAGCTAAAGTTATATGGTTGTTTGATGCAGTAACCCATTATTTAACTATGATGCTTGTTGTGTTTAAAAGAAAATGTTGCTCCTGTTTGTATTTTGGACTAATGAAATTCACGTCGTGGATGATATTCTGCATAGTTGCACTGATCGCACAAGTGAGGAGTTGCATTCTAGTGGGATGCCAAGAAAGTTTATACAAACAGATTGTGCATGTCATGTGGTATGTCTTTTTCCTCAACTAGGTTACGTGCGGTTCATGGACATAATCTTAGATGTTTGTTCAGTTTGCATATATATTTTTATCTGCTTTTATGGTATAGGGATATTCTGGAGGACCACTTGTCAACATGGATGGAGAAGTCATTGGCTTGAACATCATGAAAGTGAAGGATGTTGATGGGTTTTGTTTTTCTCTACCAATCGACTTTGTGTGTAAAACTGTAGAGCATTTCAAGAAAAGCCGGTAAGTGATTTGTTTCATCCATACTATTTTATTGCATGTTTCGAAAGTGGGAGTTGTTTGTTATGACATATTGTTAGCTTTGTAGACATGTACAGATAAATTTTATTTTTATGATATTAATTATTAAAAGTTTATTAATTATAATAGTACTTAAGTGGATATTATTTAAATTGCTTATATCTATGAAAATAGAATTTTATATTATAATAAAAATAAAAAATTATTTAATCTCATAAATATTTGTATTATATTAATTTATTATCCATTGATTTCTAATATTAAATAAAAATTTTAAAGATTAAAATTATATACTTTTCTGTCTTTCATTTTCAAAGGATTTTCTTAAAGCTTTATGTGAATAAAAATGTTTATCATAAAATATAGCAATTGACTTTGTTTTTATTTTCATTTTTTATAATATTTTTTTAGAATATATGAAAAACATCAAATATTATCTTAATTATGCCTTAGAATACCTTATCTCTTCTGCAAATCTGTAACTCTCCATTTCAAACGCCATAGACCATACCCATTGGTACATATATTTATTTAGATGGTTTTTTAATTTTTAATTTTTATTGTGGCATGCAGAAGATGAAACGTGGGGATTTGTCGTGTTTGAGAGGGCATCTTTGCTATCTCGTAGTCTTTAAGGGTGCTTGGAAGTTGCAATGCTCGTACGTTTTTCCTTTTTGGTTTTTCGGTCAACATTGCAACACTCTTCAAGTAAAATGATTGATTGTGTTGTTCTGAGAACGTGTACAGCTCTCTCCAATCCAGTTGGAGTTTGTTTGTCATTTCCAAACCAACGATTGTCAATTCTTATTTGTTAGATTGTTTCTTTCTCCCAATCTTGTTATTGACTTATATTAGAAATATACTATTATTTATATCTTTTTTATTTGTTACTTTTCAAGAAAATTTATGCATCTATTTATTCATTATTTTAAATCTTCTAGTATGTTAATATTTTTCAATTATACTTTTCTAAAAAATAAAAAAATGATAATATATAAAATGTCAAAGTAATGAATAAGAGATGAAAAATATAATAAAAACTTACAAATTGTTTTAATATAAATAGATTAGTTGTTATCTTTGACAAATGTGCTATAATCTTAAACCACAAAAAAATGCTAACTATTGTTCGAAACATGTGTTTGATTTGAATGCTTCTAAATACATTCAAGTTTTTTACCAAAAAGGAAAAAATGGCAAAAGCATTAGAGTTGTTGAATTTGTTTGCTTGTTTAAATAATTTAAAATTCTTAATGTTATTAAATCGCCAGTGTTATAAATATACTAGGTTAGTTGTATTTATTTTTTTTTTCAAATTTGTTCCAGACAAGAACATATGAAAGTTGGTGTATGTTTTATGTGTGACAAGAGACGCAAGTTTGGCCTTTTTTTTTTTTTAAGTTAAATTTTATGATGCTTTGAAAAGGGAAAGAGTATTTTATATTTTTATATAAATGGAATAATCATAACTACTGATTTTAGTAGTATATTTAAAAAATATATAAATATTTTTTAATATTTTAGTATAATCTAAAAAGAGTATTTAATACTTTTTTAAATTGAAGAGTAGCATAGTAAGCACTTTCTTTTAATAAATTTTATTTTTGACACATACAAAATTTATGTGTTTAGAAATAATAAAAATTACTCCAAATTAATTTTTATCACATTTTTTTATAAATAATTTCAAACTTTACACCAAATTGTTCAAAAAAGTTATATTACAAATTGCCACCATGCATATTATTATAATAATAAAATTTTACGTTAATTAATTTAATTGAAGTAACGTCATAAACACATTTGAGATGTCCCAAAATAAAAATTATTCGATTATATTTTTATAATTTTCTTGTTGCTTTATTATAAAACAAAATATAATTAATCAAGATATGCAATGGATAATTGTAATTCGATAATTGAATTAATAAAAATTATAAGTTATAAAAAATATTAAATGTTATAATATTTATACATATAAAAATGTATTATATGAAATTAGTATTTTTATATAAGAGTGAAAAAATAAGTTTTAACTAAATTTTTCATAAACAATTTAAATTAAAGTGTAAATATTCCTACCAATTAATTTTCAGGTCTAAAAGTACTACAAACATCTACACGTACACACGCAAACATATATTCCATGCATGCCAATTAATAAGATATATGACTAAAAAAGGGAACCATTGAAATTGAAATGCTGTGAAGTCGCAGTGTACATATTTGAACTAATTAATATTCTAACTCGCCATTTAAACACATTGAACACTAAGTTAAGGGACCCAAAGAGTGGACCACACTGACTTATCAAGGGATAAATTAAACTGATCAATGTTAATTAACGTGTCTTGGCTTTCCCACTATATATATAATTCATATATGAGCTAAAAGGAATTAATTAACTAGTTCATAGACCAAACTCAGATGAAAATTCGACCTTTCCAAAATAGAAGGGACATGCATATTATTCTTCAGATGCTGCTTGTTGCCGAAAATGATTCAGACCTTGCATTCTTGTTTGACCAATTCCTCCAAATTCCATCTCGTGCAGCCGTTTCTGACTGCTGGGCACCGCCATATAGAAATTACTATGTGCACCATCACCACCACCACCTCCTCCTATCCCCAACAAGTCCAAAGTCATCACATCCTCACTTCCTTTATTAGTAATTCCATTAATATCATTGGTGCCACTTATGGACCTACCATTCATTGTTGCACATCCACCATGCAAAGCACCATTAGTACTACCTCTATTGTTTTGCTCTATGATCTTGGACAAGGCCTTACTTTGATCCAATATAACATTAAACATATCCAAACCACTCATTCCCAAGACACCACCATCCATCCCATTCGCATCGAAATTGTAATGAGACATGTCTTGTTGACCATTGTGCACATATAATTGGTTGTGGTTCATCATCCCATATGATTGTTGTTGTGCCTCACCTAGTGATGATGGTGCCATGCTTGTCACAAAGCTTTTATCCATTATTCTGTTGTTATTGTTCGTCACGGTTGCACCCATTTGTGCAGCTTTTTGGAGCAATGCTGTGGCAGACATGTGGGGTGATGAACCTGCAGCTAACTGAAGACCATTTTCCTCGAACATGTTTGAGCTCAGTTGAAGAGAGGAAGACGAAAGAGTTCTCGTGAATGCAGCCATATTGTTGAAGGGTTTTGGAGTGATGAGGTCTTGAGGGAGTGATAATGGGTGTTTATTAATTTGATGATTGGTATTGATTGGTAATGATGGAACTATGTTTGGGATTGGTAGTAGGTCCGGATGCAAGTTTGAACTATGCATTTTTGACAATTGCCCTTCATTGAATTTGTCATTCTCCTCAGTTAGTGCATCACAGAAAGCTCTGTGAGTGATGAAGCTGTCCCTTCTGCAGTTCGTAAATACGCAATCATAGAGAATAATGCAGTAAGTTAATTTTGTTTACTAATAATATCAATTAAATAAAAAGATAATAACATAAGATAAAAAAAAAAAACAAAATTAAAACAAAGGCGAGCACGAGAGCTGTGTTGAGTAGTTGATAGGTAAAATATTGCTCATGAACACCATGCATGACTATTACGTCGAGTTTCATTATTTGGATTATTAAAAATTTTAATTAATATTGCATGAGATACTATATGTTATTATTTTTTTATATATAACTAAAAAAATTTAAATATAATAATTTATCTTTTTTAATGATACAAAAAATGAGTTCAAAGATTTATAAAATGAAAAATACTTTATATATATATATATATATATATATATTTAAAGAGATATTTCTTTTAATTTAAAAAATGTAATATATATATATATATATATATACATATACATAATATCAAATTTTAAATATTCACATATATGACATAAGTGTTATGGAATAAAAAGAGCTGACAATAATATTTGACTGGACTAAATACATATATATAAGTATATAAATACATATCAGTGCCGTGGGGAATAGAATACATAGAAGATAGAGATAAGAACCAATTTATTGTTATGAAAATGAAATTAAAGAGATGGCAAAACTATATATATATATATCACAAAACATCGATTATAAGTAATTGTATAAACCGCTAAACGTATGTGTGGTCAAAGTCGAATCACTTATTTGTGGAGATCTGGGGGACCTAGCTATTGCATGCAACTTAATTGTGCACAGAAGAGAAATGATAATTATATAATAAGTGTGCATACTAGTTTTTATAAATTAGAGAGATAAGAAAAGAAGAGAGAGAAAGAGATAATAAAATGAGTATGTGATGAAAAGATCGATAGAAAAGAAATTACTGTAATAAAATTTTATTGTAGATTAAGGAGATGTTTTTTAATAAAAAAGTTGATAAAATTTTAATACAATATCTTAACTTCATTTATTCATTTAAGATAAAATTATTTAATAGCAATTAATTAAGACAAATACAACTCATAAGTCATATTGATATAGATAGATATATTATAGTTGGATGATATCTACCTGGAAAAGATTGTACCACAGTCACATTTGTATTCCTTTGTACCACAAATTTTTGAATGGGCTTTCCAGTCAGATTGGACAGCATATTTCTTGGAGCACTTATCACATTTCCACTTCTTCTCGCCGTGCTTTCTGCTAAAGTGCTTTTTAATGCCAGTAAGATCGCCCAGTGCTCGAGCTGGGTTGTGGTGGACACATGACGGTTCTGGACACACATAAACACGTTTTCGAACTTCTGTGGTTGTTCTTTGTTTAAGCTTCCACGGAAGGTTATGTCCTCTCCGGTGCAATTGAAGGTTCTGATCCCTTTGAAACCCTTTGTTGCATATTTCACATATGAACCTGTTTGTGGCCACTAGGGTGTTTGGCGATAGAGCTATGACTTCTGCACTTGGATCTGTACACGTGCCAGCACCACTCAAATTAATTCAACAAATTTATTATTCATACAACACTTTTATATTTTACTTTTTTTTTTCATTAATTATATCATATATATATTACACATTCAATTTTTCTCTTTTCTCTTAATTAATCTGTATAGGTTTCCTGGTCCTACTATATATAGAAGCTTACCATCAATTGTTATTTTACATGCACCGAGAGAGAACCCAAAAACTTAATTTTAAATTTCTTCAAGTTAATATTGGGATATGTATATGGGTCAAGAAAGTGACAGAAAGCCAAAGAGTATTCAAGATAATGCAATTCAAAAGTACGAAGAAAAATGTGTGATATTGGATTGCCTGTTCACATGGAGAAGTCATAAATAGAAAAAGAAGAGAAAGATATATATAATCCGAATAAAATTCAAAATTTCCCTCAAGTCTTCCACAGCTTTCATTTTTGAGCCACACCCACGCATGGAAACAAAACAAACACGTCAAGAAGACTCAGAAGCAAAGGAGGCAGAAAGAGTGGATATTTTTCATATGCAAAGTACTTCACTTGAAACAGTTGTGAAACAAATAAAGGGAAAAAAAAAGTAGGAGATCGAGCCAGCAGTGAAGCAAAGTCAACAGTGAACACCAATGATTGCGAAACCCCTGCAGGCAATAATTGAGCTTCTTTGAACTACACCAATAATTCAACCATTTTTGCTATCCAGTTTTGAATTAAGACACCCCAGACGATCCTTGTTGTCCTCTTCAAAGAAGAT